CAAAGTGAAGGTGAGAGTGATCTGTTTACAGATGCAGGCAGCATTCAGCCCCAACTCGGGGATCCGTGTGATTGGCTCAGCCAGCAGCGTTGCCATGCTCAGTAGCTGTGTCACACTCTATTTGGCTTGCAGGCATCCTCAGACTGATTGAGATGCCTGAGCCTTCATCCCAACGACACAGGTCCAAGCTGGCAACGTCTGTGACAGGAGCTTCTCAACAGCAAACTACCCCTCTGTGGTACCTCAGCTAATCCAGCGTGCACTCCTGTTGCTGGGCCACACTGATAAAGCACTGTCAAAGGAGCCTGTGGGCTGCTGCTGCTACTGCTGTGGCTGTGATTGTGTCTAAATCTAATCACTACTATCCTGTTCTGGATCTCCCAGGTTCAGAGCAACCCTAAGGATTGGAGTTTATTTAATGGACAGAGATGATTTATAGCGGAAGAGGACAATTACATATCTGTTTGTCGCAGATCACAAAAGCCTTCCTTCAGCTTTTGTGTGTGCATCAGTCACTGGATGAGGGGGGTTGCTTTTATGAAATATCAGCTGGAAATCGGTCGTATTTTCATCCCTCAGCAAGAGGCTTATAGGTTTCATTTTGACTTTGCTGGGAGGTATACACTCCTACCCGTCCAGGTTTCGCTCCGATTGTTTTTGCACAACAGAGGGGATGGCTTGTCTATACCTATATAGTCAGTAGCAAATCAAATCACACACTGCTGTTGTTCCTCAGGGACAGAAACGCAGCCTGCAGAAACACAGCAGAGCGATGGCCACAATAGAAAAGGAGGTGATGTCATGTGTTTTTATGTGTGACTGCAGTCCTTTAATGATAGGGACTCCACAGACAGACACCGGGTCGTGTTATAAGCTGCAATTATAAGCTGGAAATTCAGCTTCTTTCTAAGCAGGGATGGAAAAATATATATTTAGAGGCATGTATACTGTGGAAAGCAGGGTGGCAAAAGCAAGAACAGATCACACACATCCTCTATCCCAGAGGTTCCCAAACTTATTTGCTTGTGTGGTTGTACATGCTTATAAGGCTATAATTCATGCAGTAATGTTTTTTAAGTATTTTTGATGCTTATGTGCCTTTATTTGATAGTCAACAATCAAGACGTGAAACAGAGGTCCCTCAGCAGACACGACCCCTATAGGAGCACGCCAGTTGCATCAATGTTATGCTACTTTGTGTCACCCAGCATGTTTGTGTGCCGTCATTAGAAGGTTGAATTTGTTTCCATTGTTGTCATATCAGTATCTTCCTGCCCTATTATATTAATACAATACTTGGTTTTAGAACATCTTGCCAAAGGACTACAGTAGAAAATTAGCTAGCTAACATCGGCACATTTACAGATTAAAGGAGCTATTAGTATTTTTTTCTCTGCCGCTGAATGTAGTTTCTTGCCAGGAGCGGTTGGTGGCGATTGTCGTTTGACAGAGGTTATAATTTGCCCTCTCAGCAATGCTAAGTCTTCAGGCCAGACTGGAGGCTACAGTGAGTCACTATCAGAAAGAGACGAGACGGGCCGGGGCTAGCTGGTTAGCGTCCTAACTTCAGTAGAAGACAAGACGTGACGAGACAAGAATTGAGACATTGGCGTTGTTTTCCACCACTAGAGACAGCTCTTGTTGAGTAGAGGAATAAAGTTTCATGGTGAACTCGCAGCATTTCTTCTGGTAAATAAACAGCTGTTAATGGTAACACTGGGTATGCAGCGATAGCAAAACTTATAGCTCCTTTAATGTGTGTTATCATTGTAAATAAAGAAAATGCTTTAAACTTTTTTAATGTAGTGTAAGACTCAAAGAGGTCAAATTATTGCGTAATTAAAAAATTACATTTGTGCATTTTGTGCAGCATAAAAATATTTTTCTGTTTATCTGTTGTGTTCATGGGATATTCCAAAGTTAGGAAGAAACAAAATAATGAACTGAAGCAGCCTAGATTTTTTGACTTTTGTTTCCTACTATCGGTCCTAAAAGCCTGGATCATACAACTCCCATAATGCTATCAGTAGTTAGACCCCCTCTGGTCCTAAATGACCATGTCTTTAAAATCCCACAGCGCCAGCTTTCTGTTAAAAGCGGTAAGTCTCAGGCTGAGATGACATCAGGGTTAGACATTACACAGCTGTTTTTAGAAGCTGACCGGCGCTTTTCGTGATGAGTAAACTGAACTTCATCTGTGAAAATTGGCTGCCACCTTAATCATTTCACAACTCCTCAGACCCCTCCAAACATCGTGAACACTCACGGGATCCCGACCCTTTGTTTATTTGTTTTCTCCCTTATCTGAAGAAATGTCTCTTTATATACATTTCAAAATCTAAAAATGCAAGAGCAGGAGGGACAGTTATGTTTAGCACATGATGAATAAATGAGTTTCATCAGCATTGCTTGGAGAGACAAAGCTCTGACAAAACAAATGAGTAGCATGGTGATGATACATTAAATTAAGGGCACAAGTCAGTCATAATTACAACCTCAAGGAAAACATGCAGCAGGCTGAGTCCAGGGAGAGTGTAGTGCAGCCAGGGGGGATGTTTATTAGAGATCAACCCTCCTGCTCCACTCAACAAGGCTGAATCATACCAGAAAACAAGGTCAAATCAGGATCAAAGTCCCTAAACCAACAGTGATGGGCAGTAAGGCCGGGATCCTCCTAGTGGCACAGGCAGGTAGTGGCACCTCAGTGGCAGCCTGTGGCTCTCTATTGGCAGGTAAAGACACACTGTCAACTAGGACGGGGCCACATTTCCTTGTTTGTCTTCAGGACAGGTCAGCAGCCATGGGTCTGTCTTAGGATGGTGGTTGAGCTGCCACGTTCCACTTTTTAGTTTTTCATCCATTTTATGTAATAACTTCCACCAAGAAGGTTATGATTTTGCCCATTTTGAAATAAAAGGGATCAAAAAAATAAATATATAAACTATTTACTAATCCTCCATGTTTTTTATTGCAATTGTGGCATGTAAACATAATTTCATAAACACACAGTATGTAATTTTCTGCCAAGTAGGGTCTCTCAATCAAAACAATAACAAAAGACCACATTTGTTGACATCATGAAGTAGCGTGGGATCAGGGGGGCTGTTGTCACTATTGTTGTCATTTCTGTCAATCGGTCGTTCAGGAGCTTTTTTACCAGGAGCCAAAGTCTCCTCATCCTCTCCAAAACAAACAGACCAGGTGACTAAAACCTGTAAAAACACTGAATGAAGCAGTTTTACGTTTAAAATTGTCCCAGAGAGGCTGTGAGCTGAACATTTGCTCAGTTTGTTTCTCTGATAACTTTCAGACATCTGATGAATATCCTCTGGTCAAAATGTGTAATTAAAAACAACCAAGATCTGTAAAGTGTGTAGTAAACACGTGGCATGAAAACTGCGTAAAAAGTCAATTCTGACCATTTCTGGCAAACAGCCGAAAGCTAACGCATGCGCAGAGAGGATATGTCGTCATTGACAGGCGACTAAATGAAACCGACTGTTACCTTGATTAAATTGAGATTTCTATGGGTTTGAAAATTGCTGGAAACATTTGGGATAATGTAAGTTCACAACTCAACAAAATATATAGGCTAACATAGGTCTGGTCATTTTTTATACATTTTTCATACATACAAGTTAGCTTTAAACATAACTGAGCAAAGTTGGGTTTAGTAATATATAGGCTACTTAAAAAATGAAAAATAAAATTCTGTTGTTTTCATATATTTATTTACAAACTTGTGTGTTTTGATACGTGAATAAATGGAGTAAACATTAATATATTTTCGTTTCATGTACATATATATGTGACCCTCCATGTTACTAAACGTAGCCTATGTTTGCTCAATTATTTTAAACCAGTGTTTACGTTATTATCTTTACATAACACAATTCCACTCTTAGAAATAATACAACGGGGGATTATGTTTACATAACACTAGCTACTTCACTCTTGTGATGATAACACAGAGGATTAAGCACATTGTCCTGGTGCCACTAGTAAAAAGTAACAGACTTGACCTGAAAACAAACCAGGAGACCACAGAGCCACCGGCTGCCACTGAGGTGCCACCAGGCGGATCCTGGCCTCTCTCATGATGGGTCTACAAATAGATCCACACTGCATCACAAGCCACCATTTGATAAGATTGGATCCAATGCAATCTGCAAAAGCTACATTTATGTTTGCAGTAATTTAATCTCCTGTAGTGCAGGTGTTGGGGGCTGTGAAATGTCAACCGAGAACTGAATGCACCCATGAGTCCCCTTTCAGTCTGTGGGTCTCTGAGCAAGATACTGATCCACATGACAGAAAGGTACACTGGGACATGGATGTTCTTCAAAGGATGACAGTGGTTTAGTGAAGTTATGACAGATGCAAACAGGATCTGACAGCTCGTGCAATGGCTGTCTGACAGCAAGATTGCCAGAAGAGAAATTCATATTTATTCAGGGCCAATGGCAAAGCACGTAGGCAACTGGAGAAAAAAAGAAAAACTAAATAAAAAACAGACTGAAATTTGAGTTTCTTTAAATTTCTAATTATTTAGAAGACTTCTTGCAGCACAGTTGCCTAAAATATTAAAAACAACATTGACATCCTTGGCTCTTTTATTCTCCCTTGTAGCTACACAGAGGGAGGGAGGGGGGCAAGCCTTGGAGGAGAGACGCGCAGCGGGCACCAGATGCTGGGATTGGTCGGACGCTCCACGTTGCACGAACCTAAACAGCAGCGTAAAGCAGAGACGGCCGGAGGATGAAGCAGCCGGAGCATCTTCATCATCCGAGCCAGGCGCACGTATTTGCCGCGGTGGGTGAGAAAGTCAAAATAGCAGTTAGTGACCGGTGCATGAGAGAATGGTGATAAATTAGACTGTCGTGGGATATTGTGTTGTTCCGCACCGGATCAGTCTACTTGACAGCCAGGCGGTAACGCAGCGCCAGACAGCACGGCGCTGTTTTCTACCATCCACTGAGGAGCATCCGCTGGCTGAAAATCTGGGATCTGATCATGGGGTTTTCCTTCTAGTAATATTGTCTGAGCTGCAACACGAACGCCGCCTGCGTCTAGAAAAAATCAAACCATGGGTTCCAGACTGAGCAGGCAGAGCAGCCTGGACAATGAGAATTTCTCCAAAAAGCGACGCAAGCTTCTGGATGGCACCGGAGAGAGCGACAGGGGCAGTCGGGGCGGCGGGGACTTTCTGTTTGCACTGATGCTGAAATCAGACAAACTGCCTGGGATGCTGCGGAGGACCAACCACAGCCCGTACATGAGGCGAGTGGCGTGGATCAAAGAGATACAGAAGCTGCTCCGTGACCGCAGGATAGAGCAGGCAACCGACGTGCTCAAATTACTGAGGAAGGTAAGCAGAACCTGCACACAGCTGCACACAGCACCCGGTAAAGTCAGACCCGTTTACATACACTACGTGCGCCACAGCTGTGAGCCTGCTCTGATGCTGATGCAGCCACGCATCCCCCACATTACTCCCCAAGCAACAGATGGAGAGCAGGCAGGTGCTCCTCATGTGTGTGGATGCAGTTTGATGTGTCCACAGGTGCCTCCATCAACCCCTGCCCTCTGACCTCTGACCCCCACCCCCACCCCCAGCCCAGACCACCTCTCCCCTCTGCACTGCGTGGCCTCGGCCACTTCCTCCAGAAGCATTTGTTTTTGTAGAAAGTAGGCCACTGGCAGAGCAGTGTACCTGTGACACATTGTTTCAGTGGCAGACGCAGCATGTGACTCAACACAGTGTTCTCTCTGGCTGTGGGGCTGACATGCATGCATGTTGACGTTTGATTTGAAGGGATAACCTGCAGTCTAAATAAGGAAATGGTCAAACTGCGTGCCGTGTGTCATCGCTTCAACCCAAATTTCATTGTCCTCAGATGTGATCTGGGTATTACCATGAACAAACGCACTCCACCATCCCCTCTGCATCTGTCTTTGTTTCCCGCACTGTGGCCAGAGTCTCACCTCTCCTCCTTAGGCTGTTCTAATACTCCCATTAGAGCGACCTGCCCCCTCCATCCCTCTCCACTCCTAATGTCTCTCTCTCTGTGTGTAATGGCCTGTGCTCCAGCAGCAACAATGTAAGCCCTGGAGTCCTGTGTTCCACAATACAAAATATTATTCTTCTCCAAAAGGTTTTATTAACTCTTAGTCAGAGGAAAAAGGTCACAGAAATGAAAATCTAGATCGCTGTCATTGCTTTACCAGCGGCTCGTTCATACTTTGTTGTGCTCCATGTGATTTTCATAGAAGATTACTTGTTTTTCCCCTGAGATGAGATATTTTTTTAGCCTCTTTGACTGATGAAAATCTTTAAAACCCACCAGATCAGATCAAAAATGCACAAAAACATCAGTTTTTATTGTTTTCTTTTAAAAACAAAAAAACAACTGACATTTGTTGCAGTATGTTTGATGCAATTTTCACTTGACCACGATAATAGTTATAAATAGATGTAGTCGTGACCTAGAGTATATCCAGCTCCACTATACTGAGTGTTTTCAAAGTCTCACCTGCTGTGGGATATGTAGCATTGAAAGGTGTAAAAGAATATGTAGGTGCATTGAAGATGTGACAGCAGCCTCTGTGATCTCATTTGTTTGCTTTCCCTCAGGCCTTCCTCTGTCTTTTAGCTGTCGGCCAATCTAGCATTAATTACTCTGAAGCCTTGACACGGGAGAGAGTGGAACATCCTTAATCAAGCCGATGAGATAAACTAGCCAGCCAAGGCTCCATGACAGCCACATCACAGGGGACATGGGCTCGCTTCCTCTAAATGAGCTCCACTTTTATTAAATAAGCCTTACTTTATCTTTACTCGCAGCGTCGCAACCAGGCAGAGAGAGATTTCTGAGAGATTCCTGTTCTCTGGATTTAAAAGGAGTTTGTGGAAGAGTTAATTGGTGTGTAACAGTGAGCTCTGCTCCAGATATGAAAAAGATCTGAGCTCTGCTGCGGATACGGGAAGGATTCGTGGCTTCATGCTGCGCTTGCACATGACAATTGATCGTGTCTAAACTCAGATGGGGAGATATATTTATACCTTGTTTCTCAGAAGGGCAGAAGCAGCTTCTCTCCCGCCTTGGGTTCAGTCTGTGTTTACTGTTGCCCTTGTTAAAAGGGGAGCTAATAATGTTGAGCTGCCAACCTCCCACTCAAGCTGTCTGTTATAATCAATGCCGATTGTGCTCGTGAGAGAAAAAAAAGTGTGTGTGCGCAGGTGTGTCGACGCTGTATGTCTCAAAGGCTTGCCTCTCTCATTAAAGTAGCATGGACTGCACAAGTGCTCGTCGTCGTAGTCTGCCTCCTTAGCACCTTGAGGATGGACATGTTGATGAAGGCAGATTGTACAGTTCAGTACACGCAGCTGCACTGCTGACTGTTGCTTGTCTCATCACACTCAAAAGGTCATTGGAAATCTGCTCGTTTTAGTCGCTTTGATTTGTTTTTATTGCAGATGCTTCTGGATTTGTCATATTTATGAGTAAGCTTACTTGACAGCTGTCAGCTTTGACCTCTTTAGAAATGTATTCATATCCTGTTCAAATGTATTCAAAATCATTTCCAGGTGCCACTGACATATTTTTATGCGGTGAAAAGAATGATGAACTAAGAGAAATACCTTAAACATGTTTAGAAAGTTGCATATAGATTGAAAACAGCATGCAGGTAAGGGTTTTACATTCTTTCAAGGAGTGTTTTGAATGATCAAGGTGAGCAGAGCAAGCATAGTTCTTAAAGTGGTTTTGTTTATGCAAACAGTACGTGCTGTGGCATGTCAGGATATGCACTGTGGCTCGGCGCCATGGAGGTGTGATAATATATGTGTCTCCCTCTAGATTTCACTCTCCTGCTGTAGATGAAAAAGCTTCTGTCTCTGTTAATGAATATTTAAAACAAAACATTTCTTTTATCTTTCCATTTCAAGTCACATTGCCCTTGACATAGCAGAGGCCCCATTTCCATCACTAATGCATTTTATTCTCCTCAGCTCCAAAGACACTTTAATTGTAAATGCCTTGAAAGTGCCTGATTTTTTTTTTTTTTTTACAATTTCATCTTGCTGTGATTTTGATTTTCTCATTTTTCTTTTTCTGTTTTGGTAGGATCTGGGTTTGGAAGGCACCTCCCTCAACGACATCTTGTACAAAAACGCTGCCTTCCTCAACCTGGTGGACCCCATCTCACACGAGCTGCTGCTCAGCCTGGCTCGAGAGATGCAGTGTCCTAAGAAGGTCAGCTTTTACTGCGTACTCCTTCCCATAACACTCACAGCGTATCCAGGAAAAAAAAAAAATCAAAGCTTGATGTTAGTATTCTGCAAAAGAAAGCATTCTCTTAAACATATTCCCCTGATGGTTTCCTTTTTGTTAAGTTATCCAGATCAATGCAAATCCAATCTGAGGATATTATCTACTTTCATTTGACAGACGGTTGAAGGGAATTCTGCAGACGCATGTTACTTTTGAGGAGCTAGAAATAGGACTAGCTGTTCAGTATGAATCCCAGATCCCAGTTTGTTGAATTGTTCTCAATCTCCTACCTGCCTGAAAACTCATAAACCTGAACAACCTGTGAATATCTGCAAAATCACAAGTGATAACCTTGAAGGAATCAACTGAACGAACACGCTGAATAAAAATGGTTGTTTTGTGCACAGAGATAAATTCATAACTCCGTATGTCTCGACCTTCGACAGTGAATATTGAATTATTTGGATGTAAGCCACGACATGGTTAATGAGCTGAAATTACCAGTGTTTGCCAGTGGCTGTGTCAAATCTCACCTCTCCTGTGTACTTCCTGTGTTTTCCCCCTCGACGCATGCTGCATGTGATTAGATTTTCTTCCTCCAGCAAGGCAGCAAAATTGTGTTTTGTTCAGGAGCAGCTGAAGGTATCTCGAATTATAACAAACCTTTTTTTTATTTTGTTCATATGAAACTTCACAAGAGTTTGTCTCTTTCCTGTCTCTTTTTTGTCTGCTTCCTATCGCAGGATGCAGACACCATAAAGTCTTCTGATAAGATTTGCAGACAGCTGATCTACCACCTAACCCCGCACTCAAAGTGGCTGAGGCAGAGCATGTCCAGACGGAAATCCCAGGCCTGGTAAGCCCTTCTGTCCAGACATCCAGTCTGTAATAAATCTGCAGCTACGCACAACTGAGAACAGGGCTCTGCTCCATGTCGAGCTGTAGAGATTTCCATCTTTGTAGCTGACATTGAACTAGGGCAGAGCTGGCCACGGGCTGACCTGACGGGAACACCATGGTAACCACAGCTGTCAATCATCTATCTTTTTTAAGTGGTCAGGTCTGCGCAGTGGATGTGCGTTGCCATTGGCCTTTCTCTCTTGAAAAGTGGCACAGCCGCAAATTTGTCCATCTGTTTGCTGAAGAAAAGCTGGGAGGGTATTTTTAAAATACAATTGTATCGTCTTGATGAAAAGATGGAATTGCTTTTGATGTGCAAATGATGATGATGAGAGAATTAGCTTGTGCACAAATAGGTTTTTTGTGCACCTAGGTGTTGCTTGGTAATCCTATTCATGAATAGAAACAGGCTATCATAATTCTCGCTCGTGTAATTGCTTATTCTACAGCTGGTTAGACGCTGCACGTAATGTGTTCATTTTCTGGAGATGACAATAATCTCAGGATTGACAAGGAGACAATGCAAACACGGTGAGATGAGGCAGGTCCATTATGAGTCAGTCAGAGGTATCAACACGCACAATCTGAGGAGAAGCGAAGACATATTCACAGGGATCTGGCAGGATCAGACCCTTCACTGTCGAGCTGCACTTGCAGGGCTTTGTTGTGCTCGTGGACGTTTAGCTCAGCTCGGAAGAGGAAAGACGCAGGAATTAACTGACTCTGACAGCATCTCTGAAAATGTGCAGATACATACGATTTCTAAATTCCTATAGCTGAGGGGCCTTCTTTTTCTTTTCTTTTTTTTTTTTTTTTACTTAGTCATATTGTAGGCTTCACAAACCTGTAGAGAGAGAGACAGAGTCTGGCACCGACTGAGACAGCAGGAGCGACATGAATCATTAAAACAGAAATCCACCCTAAAACAGAATATTAATACAGTCGATGCTGTGTGCTCTGACAGCTTCGCCTGCCGTCGTGTTCATGAACAAACACCTGTCAAAGCTAGAGAGAGACGAGACCCGGCCAGTCTGCTGCTGCATGTGAAAAGGAAATTCACCTCACACACACTCGATTTCTGGTTTGTCTGGTTTAACACTTTTATAAAAGCAACTGTGTGATAATTCCCCTGGAGCACAGTTACTTTTCCATTTAGTGTTATTACAGGAAGCAGCTGAGCTCAGGCTGTAGTGTGTTGTACTGTCATGTGGTTCTGTTGGGAGGGGAAGGTTCAGGGGTTGTTTGTGTAAAAGTTTCAGGGAGTAGGCTACACTTATTCACTTTCTTAGATGAGAATATTGATACCACTCTCATGTCTGGATGCTTAATCTGAAGCTACAGCCAGCAGACGGTTGGTTTAGCTTAGCATAAAGACTGGAAACAGGAGGAAATAGCTTGCTTGGCTTTGCACAAACACAAAACTGTAAAAATGTTTTATACTAGACTATCTTTTGGCTTGCAAAACTACATCTTGGCATTTTTACACCTTGGTTTTTGAACAGGTTGAGAAACCTTTTCTTCTATTTTTTCTGTTTCCTACTTTCAGACAAAGCCAAGCTAACTGGTTCCCCCATTTCCAGTATTTATGCTTAACTAAACTAACTGCATCCCAGCTGTAGCTTCATACTTAGCGTAAAGATATGAGAGTGGTATCAATCTTCCCATCTAAGTCTCTGGAGAAGAAATGATCAAATGTATTTTCCAACATGTTGAACAATTCCTTTATCAAGTAGGATTTCCCTGTCCACATTAACAAGAAAAGAGAATGACCTTAGGGTGGGTTTTACCTCCTTTTCACTTCCATCTTTGTCCAGCTGCCGGCAAACTGCCCTCATCTGTGAAAAAATGCAACAGCCTCACCTCTGAGGTTTCTCTGTACTCAGAGGAAACAGAAACAGCTCAGTCCTTAATGCCACCGGCTTCTTCATCCCTTCATTATCCAGCATTAGCACTGCACACCGGTCGCTCTAAATACTTTACACACATTTCTGACTGGAATGCCACACTGCATTAATGTCTGAATCTCACTAATCCTGTTAATCTATCTAACTAGTTTATTTGATTTTTCTTTTTTTTCTTTTTTTTTACATTTGAATGAAAGAGCTCCACAACAGGTTTGATGGAGGCAGTGACCCAGAAATGCTGCCGAGGCGCTCCCACCTTAAGGGTAATTTCATGTGAGCGGAAAAATTGCCAACACTTTGGTGACCTTTTTTCGCTTCGGTTTTCACACCGCTGTCTTCCTGCTCCATCAGGCTTACTTAACCTCATAATTATCTTCCTCCTTTGTCACCCGAATGCTCAGAAACAAGAAATACAAAATAAGCATTTAGTGGGCTCTGTCTTTGTAGTTCCCACATTGCTCATCTTCATCCACTGCATAATAAATCGTCCGTTTTTTCACCTCAAATTCACTAATATACATTATATTGCGCATTGTAGCTTACTATGCACATTAAAGCTTCCTCAGGGGCACATCATTCATTTTAACTGATTGTTTTAGCTTCAATTCCTTTGCCAGGAAAATACGACGTGCTCACAGCAGCTCTCCAGATCCAGATTTTGACCAAAACATCCACCACACGAAAAGATATGGAGGTGGTATTGGCTTGCAGGTGCTGTGTTATTGATATGGGCTGTTGACTGTGAGGTTGGACTCCCTGTATCATGAAGGACAATGCAGTGGTTTCAGTGTGAGTGTGTGTGCACTCTCACACTCTCCTTTGAACAGTTTCTTGTATATAGTACAGCAGAAAATGAATTGAAAATGTAAGTGAAATGCCGGGGAGCAGATGTGGTTTGACTCATCTCATCTCATGTCTCTCTTGTACAGATTTCAGTCTTCAGCCATCAGAGGACTGAAGTGACTAACAAAGCAAAGCTTGTTCATAAAATGACTCTGCAAAAAAAAAAAAAAAAAAAATCCAATGCAATAATAGCCCAGGGGAGAGCTGAGGAGGAAATTAACTCCTGGAAAATACTTTAATACTTATTTAAATTTTAGATAAAATGGATTTTTTATAACTTCTGTCATTATCCACCCACTTGTTAACACAGGCATTTTAACTGTTTCAAACAGTGTCCTTATTTGTTTAAATAGCATTTCCCCCCGTCACAATTAGCTTCAGCGAACCCCGCAGATATGAATATTTATAAATGACAAGAGTGATTTGATTTACGCTGACTGAATTCAAACGCTGCCTCATTATATTAAATAACTGACACACAAAGACTGATGAGCCACACATGAAGACAAGAGACGCACTCTGCTTCTTCAGTATTTAACTAGGAACACCAAGTAGATGACTTCATTATTCAATGTAAATTGAATTGATTACTTAATAATGGAAGGGATATTTATTAGATTACGTAATTGTGAATTTAGTTTGGTAAGCACTATTACTAAAACGGTGATGCCATTTGTGTTATTACTGGCTTCAATTCATTGTTAGTGCAGGAAGGGATTATTCTCTCTCTGTCTGCTGCTGTGAACATCTCTACTTAGCGACATGTATCGAATGTGATTTGATTCATAGCGGAGAACGCCACACCTCTGCACCACTTCTTTTTTCATCTTTTTTAATCACTTAACCTATAAACTAGTTTTGTCATTTAACCTGAGCCCTGTTGTCTGTGTTCTCATGGATGTAAAGACGACAAAAAAAGCTGTCCTCTCAAAGTTATAAGCGACACTCTTGTTTCCTGGTGTCAAATTAATCTGGAGGAAGGATGGAAGAGGCTTTCTGAGAGGACGCCGCAGACGTCCATTTTTCATGCTTCCTGAGCTCGAAAAGACGAGTCTGTCTGAAAAGGAGGGAGTTGTGTGATCAAAACCCATTCGCACCTGCAGGGGAGCCGCTGCCAGGCCGTGGCCATTAGGACTTTTGTGCCTCTGGTGAAGATGAGGTTCCTGGCAATTATAAAAGGCTGCCAGGGCCAGACAATGGGTGGGTGAGGGGGTGGGAGCGGCTCACAAGACTTTGCTAAAGATGCAGCAGCCTTGACAAATGTCTTTATCTGACAGATTCTGTTCTCCAAAGCTGATTAAACTCCACTTTATCCTGGCTTCACCAGCAGGTTTTATACTTTCTTTTTTTTCTTCTTTTTTTTTTTGTTGCAATTAATTGAAACGTTTGTGCTCATTAGCCCACCATCTGCTTTTAAAATGAAGCTGTGGATGCTGCTGAGGGCACATCCATCTTCGACGTGACCAAAAAACACTTTAAAGCGTCACAAGTGACAGGTACTGCAGTGAATGTCACAGAAAGTCACTGGGCGCTGGAGGATGTTATAATTCACTCTGACACCGAATCAGCGTTACAGGCCACTTCAGTAACAGCTCGAGTTAAACACACCGCATCCTCACGGGGGGAAAGTAGGCACGGGTAAATGGGACTGACTGGAAACAAAAGAGCAAGGGAGGGTGTAAATAATGCACTAATATTTTAATCTGCGGTGTAAAGCAATAACTAATGCTACAGAAAAGTACCACTTATATTCAGTCAAATCCTTGCTCTGCGAATGACCCTTAAAGCGGTTTAAGGTTTTCAGACGTTTGTGCTGTGTGTGTGAGCCAAAAAACACGTCCTGAGTTCTCCTTACTCCCACATCAAATATCGCTTCCCTCAATGACTGACATTCATTTTATAAATCAATATAGTGTCTCAAACACAAAAAAAAAAAAATCACCCGGACAAAACTAGAAAGCAGCTGGAGCGAGCAGACCTCAGCCACAGTTACATAATCCTTTAAATGTCTGATTTTAATAATGGAAATGCTTCTAAATTTTTAATCTGCATTAAAATATTCACTGATAGTGACAAGTGACACATTTTAATAAGGGCACAAAACATATGCTTAAGTACTGATTAGCTTGATTCATGATGATTTAATGCGAGGATGTATCATGAATTCCTGTTGCTGACATTAACACGTTATGAGTTTATGTGCTCTCTACTGGATCATCAATTAGTGAAACATACATTCATTTATATGCCACCAAATTAGGTCCATTAAATGTATGAGTCTGAAATGCACTTTCCTATGTAACTGGATTCAGCTAATTTTCTATAGATTAGATTTATGTATGAAGTAGCTGTGATTCACCAGTCCTTAACTGATGATCCATTAAGTGTTAACTAATCACATAAAGTCATAGTGACTTGATCATTTTCTTCAGCATATGATTTGTACCCTTATCAGAAAGTGTTACCTGATTGTCAGATTAAAAATTTTGAAACGTGTTCCATTATAAAATTGTAAATGTGGTGCTGATGCATAAGGAATTAACTGTGCTTTACTTAAACATATGTCTTGTACCCTTGTTATAAAGTGTCAATGATGATCATACGTGTGAGAAAATCATGAAAATGCCCCATTTAGCAAATCCTTGATCTGTGTTCTTTGGCCTCATTTTGACCAAACTTCACGGGAGACATCTTGCATCTCGAACAAAGAAACAAAACATAAAACAAGACTTTTTTTGGTGGCAATAATAACAACAACTTATAGGCAGCATTTTGTGATGTATTTCCAAAAAAAATAAAATCTCTCCTGTCCTAAAAATAAAGTGGCCAAGCATCTTCTATTCAAGTTTCATCTTTTTGTAAAACACATCATGGTTTATCTTTTAAGTAGTAAACTGTTTTGGCTCTGTGCTGTAAGGAGCTCTGTGCTCCTGGCCTTCAGAGCTTTCGACTCAAGCTCCTGGCTCACTCGGATGTTTTGGCTCCTCTGTTTACACTAGTAAATCCCCATGCTGGAGTCTCTGTGTCAGCCTTCCGCTCCAAACCAGCCCAGTCACCCCCTCCTCTATACAACACAGGAAACACAACATAAAACCAGGGCCTTGTCCCCAAGTCACAGATAGGGGAATCATTCTAAGATCCTTTCAGCCCCTCAGCTCAAAGTTAATCTGTAATGTGCTTTTTCGTGTCTAAGAGTCATCTAAGTAATCCCACTTTCTCTCTCCTTATGTTCCCCAACAGTCTCAAGACAACCCTACAGAAAAAGCTGTCCAGTGACTCTGTCGACTTGTCCGGCATCCCTCTGTCCACTCGTGACGTCCGTCAAGTCGCCTTCTACCTCCAAACCAACAGAGACAGTGTGGTGGCTGTGGACATCAGCTTCACCGAACTCCAGGACGAGAACTTGAGGCTTCTCCTGCCTCTTCTCGCCTCGCTGCCCAAACTCAGCACCCTGGCTCTCAACGGTAACCGCCTCACCCTGGCTATCCTCAAAGACCTCACCGAGATGCTCAAAGACCCCAAGATGTTCTCCAGCCTGGCCTGGATCGACCTGGGCAACAACGTGGATATTTTCACCATGCCCCAGCCGCTGCTGGTCGCTTTGCGTCGGCGCTGTAGCCTGAAGAGCAGTTTACCAACCATCTACGAGTACACAGAGGGCCAACCCTACTGCTACCACCTGGAGACTTCTATCGAGGAGCCCAGCCTTTACGAGGAAGAAGAGGAGGACGAGGAGGAGGCGGAAGACGACGAGGATGACATGGGGAACAAATTTGAGCTGGAGCCGTGGGGTTTAGGGCAGAAGCAGCTCTCCAAAGACTTCACCCTTCACTACTGTGAGAGGTGATGAGGTATTTTCTCTCTGAGGCTCTTTCCACTGTGGATGAAATGTCGTCCCACAGCACTCCGTTACTTCCTTCGTCCTCTCGCCCTCACACCACGAGCCCAGTCACCCTTCGAGGCACGAGGGAGACCAGTGCCCACATTGTGAACTTCTCGTCGCGACACAGCTATCAAGCAATTCCTAACCATCTCTGAGTTAACCCACACAAGATAGTGACAGTCACAACGGCGGACTTACTGTGTTGGTGGATGGTGCTCTTGGGAACAAGGTGCGGTTTCATTGGAGGGGGGCTGGAAGAGTTAATGAACCGGTGCTCGCTCTCTCTCTCTCTCTCTCTTCTCTTTCTATCTTGTCTCTACATCTTTCTCATCTCTCTCTTTTCTCTGCTCTCTGTGTCTGCTCTCTCTCTCTCTCTCTCTCTCTCTCTCTCTCTCTCTCTCTCTCTCTCTCTCTCTCGCTCTCTCTCTCAGTGATAGTGGCAGCTGAGGAGCCAGTCCCAAGGAGGTTTGGATCAGTTGGTTGGATGGAGGAGCAGCATCCCTGCGGTAGCTGAAGTGGAACTGGAGTTAGTTTGGAAACAGTGGGTCCCTCTGGGTTCTCTACCAGGACTGAGACTATCTCTGGCAGGCAGGGCCTAGCTCCACATTGTGTGTTCTCTGTTAATCTCTCAACAAAAGCTATGACACAAGTTCAACAGACTATACAGCCGACGACCTGTCACGTGACGCCGGCAAAACTGCTAGGTCAAGACTTTTTGCGTTTTCCCCCCCTTTCCAAATGTCCACTTGTGAATACCCACGCAGCCCTTGTGTAGATGTAAATGAGGACACAAAACATGGCTCTGTTGTGTTTCCACAGGCTATTTTTGTGCACTTTTGGTGAACAAAGCAATCTTAGAAGACAACAGGTAGGACTCAACAATGGATAGCTGTCACTGATTGTTTTTTGTACTTGCCTAAATGCTGATATTCACCTCTTTGTAATTATTGCACCGTTGTAGTCACCACCACAGTGTTTCAGCGCATTAATGACACCACAGCCAACTGTAATATGGGCCACTGAGTCTGTGTCCTTCCAACTGCCGTGTGTCTCTACAGATATGTTGCCATTTCCATGTATTGAAATTCAGCGGCCCTGTGTTTGCGATGAGACGCAGCCATGACTGTTATCTGTTGGTTATAGTCCGTCTACGGTAGCACATGATGATTAAGTTAGACTGACCGAAACACTGCAATGCACTTTAAGGCACTATATTCTATTTATATTTCAGTTTCTCCATAGCATATACTCTGTGTACACTGTTTATAACTGACTGAGATATTTACAAAGCAGCAGCTGAAAGCATACCTCTCCAAGGTGAAATGACCAAATGGCTCATGATTGTTAGAAGGATCATTGAAAACACCATCACCATATATATAATAAATGTTTAAGTGTGTGTTATGTGTGTTTGTAACAGTAAAACGTCTGATTACTGCTGTAATTATTTGTGTTATTGTTTTTGTGTTTTGTCTTTTGTCCGACTCGGTAATTATAATAATGACTCTAATGAAACTGAGCCCAGTGACCTCCTGCTGTAAGCTCGAACAGTAAACAAAAGGGGGACGTGGCTGATAGGATTACACAGCAAAACAGAAAACAGTTCAGTAAATGTAATTTTCAGTCAGGGCAGACACCTCTTATGTCGAATGTTTAATCTGAATAACGGAGCGCACTGTCCACTCGGTTTGTAGTTTTTGTTTCGTGTGTCGACGTCAAACTCTTCCTTGTTGTAGCCTGTGTGTATTTGTCTCATGCCAAACACTGACTGCCAATAAAAGATCCGATCCAAACTGAGAAGTGATTTGTTTTATTTTGAAAAAAAAAAAAAGAAAGGAAAAGAGTGTGCTGGTTGCAATATCTGTGTCACGAGCAGAACCTGCAGCTGCTCACAGAAACAAACAGAGGATTTATTTATGCAGATTAGCCTGCAAATAGGGCAATAAAAGAAATGAGCTCAGACCGAGCTGTTTGGGATTGGCTGGGGGAGCAGTGTACTTGTTTCAGAGCCAGCAGATCATCTGTGGCGCTGTGTGCTGTCAGGGAAACGCCTGAGCTGCCACCGTTTACCAGGGAAAGGCAGGGTGGTCATCACATGAGGCCCTACCCATGATCCTCTCCTGGCAACCTTTTGTTCCTGCTGCCAGACATGGTAATGTGGCATTTGCAACAGGTGGCTCCTATAAGGTCAGGGCACAGTGTGACTGTCACACCCCCCAAGGTCCAAATACCATGAGACAGGGCAACGGAGCCCACCCCCAAAAATCTCCAGGATCTTATTACCTGACCTTTTCCCTTCAGGATTGATTTATTTCCCTGGATTTTGAGAAAAATAAGAAAAGGAAGACATTTATTATATTTATTGTGAGAATTGAAAATATGGCTCATGTGGGACAGACACAGAGAGAGTGCATCATATTTCTTCACAAACTTTCTCTGAAACTGCTCTCCTGTTTGTCTGAGTCACTATTTGATGCGATTATCTTGCTCCAGCTGCAGCATGCGCCATCACAGAAATGAGAAATAATTTATGGAAAATAGCACAGAGAAGTCACGCACATTGTTCAGAATACATTATGGCACAAAGAAACAGATCCACAGAGCAGATTTCAATAGCTGTGACCTCAGGTTAAAGAGACTGAACAACCAGCTGAGGGCCACTCTGGCACATCCAAAAAAAAAAAAAAGCACTTGCCATAATTAGTTGCTTGTCATAGACTGCAACCAGGATTTGTCTTTTTTTTTTTTGTCCTTTCATAGTCAGTTTTAATCTTTTTATGTATTTAAGTCTTCATCCACTTGTTCTGTTGTGAAAAACATATGAAGTCAATGTCAAGCACTGTTCCTTCTCACTGTGCTGAACTCAGTAAATGTAATTGTAAATGTAAAGAATGACACAGATGTGGTTCTATAAAATGCATTTTCTATATGCAAAAAGTCAAACAATATTACAATAACTACCCAATAACTACCCTTCAAAGTGTGGACGGTTAACATTCTTCTTTCAAGACCTTTTTTTTTTTTACACTGAAAAGCAGCTTGTTCCAGATGTTTCAACACAGTATTCATTATAGCGTACAACATGTGAGAGTGTGAATTCCACATAATACCAGATATGAACAAGTTATTAACCAGAGGTGGGAGTAAGTCACACATGTGCAAGTCTCAAGCAAGTCACAAGTCATGTTATATAAAGATGTCATTTTGTCATATTACTCTCAACATTAACAAAAACTGTTGCAGCTGCTTACACCTTATAAGTCTGACTGATAGTTGACTTTTTGTGGTCATGTAGAGTCTGGAACTGCGACTGCAGCCGCCCACTGCTACAGTTATTATTATTAGTCTTATTATTACCTCAGCTGAAGGAGGTTATGTTTTCATCTGTGTCTGTTTATTTTTACAAAACGTTCTGAACCAATTTGCACCAAACTTGGTGGAGGGATGGGGCATGAGCCGGGGGGAGAACCCATTAAATGTTGGTGCAGATCTGGTTAAAGGGACGGATCCAGGAGTTTCTTTATCATTTTCTTTAGTGTGTATGATTGTTTGGCCTTGGCGAAGGTATGCGCTCTACTGAGTGCCAATCCTAGTTATTACTATTACTATATATCTCTAAGTGGAACCTGCAATGTGCTTCGTTTTCTTTCCTCCTGCAATCCTATTTTTGGACTCAGCCCCTCCCCATCAGAGCTGGTTTTGTGTGTTGGCCTCGGCTCAGTCTGCCACGTCCAAGTAGGTTGTCAGGTTTGTGGGCATCGCATTAGAAATCACCCAAGCATAATGTAACACCTCAACCCTAACCCTAAAAAAAGTCAAGTCCTTTCGAGTCATCTGTCTCAAGTCTAATGAATACTAAATCTAAATCAAGTCGAGTCTTTTATCAGTGTTGGTCAAGCAAATCTCAAGAGCTCAAATTTGTGACTTGTCTGACTTGAGTCATGTCATGTGACTGAAGCCTCCACCTCTGTTATTAACATAGTGAGACTGTCTATAGCCTGCAATGTATTTCATGTCTCAGATATTAACATGGATCTGTACTACAAAGTCACAATATGATGTGAAAAATGGAAGAAATGAACTGGATCAGCATTGTAATCAGTTTTCACACAGAAACACGTCAGAAATGGCATGAGAAAAAAACATGTGCACAATCAAGAGGAAGAGTCACAGGAGGTCAGATACAATCACAGGTGAAGGCAGCAGTTTCTTCTTTGCACAGTAAAAAGTCAGAGGCCTCGTGTTTAACTGCTACATGTTGCTGTAAGTGTTCAGCTGAAGAAGCCTGTTATTCAGGGCCTTATACAATGATTCTCCAAACAGGACGGACGCCACCTGTTGCAGCCTTTTGAAGGTCTCAGTGACCTTCAGGGCATCCTGCATAACCATCATCACCGACTCCCGGTCTCAGTAACCAGCTGCTTGGCCCAGTTTCCTGGCATCAGACACTGCACAGATACAGCCGTCCTCCTTCTCCACAGCGTTGACTACGTTGTAAAAATTGCTGGCCGTTTCTTGATGATGTCCCAAAGCTTTCAGAGCCTCGATGACATTCTGCAGTGAAAAGAGAGGAGAGAGGGAGACTCGGGTGGCGCGAAGACGGTGTCATGTGTTGCTCTATCTAACAAATGCATCGAATGTTTTACCTTGTCAAAGTTGGGTTCAAACTTCAATGCATTTTGAGAGTCGACAAAAACAACCGGAGAGGCGATCGCCTCCTTAAGGCTCTTTCCAAACCAAAGGTGGTTCATGAGTGTCTAGAAGAGAGGCAGAACAATGCACTGTAGTCTGGCAGATGGGAAAGTGATGATTACAGAATGGATTATGGACACGGTGAAGACACTCGTGAAGGCAGCTCTTGCTATGACAACAGTAAGGAGCATTAGTCTGCATCAATTTATCTTAATGGCACTTAGTGCGATTGCCATGGACACGTTACCGAGGCAATCCCAGTCGTGATCATGCTCCCACCGGTCGATCCAATCACCAGCGTCTTTGACTGAGACTTCAGCACAGTGGGGGCCATGGAGGAGGGAGGCTGCTCCCCTGCGAACACAGCAAACACCTTGACTGACAGGATACGCGGCTACAATTCAGACTCATCAGTGTGAGAGGAACAAGAAGAAAATGATTATAAATGCAATCAGCAGAGTGCTTTTGAATAACGGAGGGTGAAGGGCATTTATTCAACCCTTACATGTGACTTTACCTTTGTTCAACAGCTGACACCTGACAGTAGAGAAGGCTGAGGCCACATGGATGTTTCTCCCTCTCTATACATATCATCACCTCTTCTTAACATGCTGCATATTTTTAATAAAACAGGCCAAACGCTCAATAAATTGCTTCATCAACAAGTGAAAATCTAAACCCGACTTCTGAGACTATTTATTTTGTATGATTGCGTTTCTATAGTTTAGAGACATTAATACAGATTGAGTGTTTTTTCATAATTTTTCAACAAATGAGGAACAAGCAGCTGGTAAACACAGACCCAACACAAACCACTGCTGTATGTGTCAATCAACCCATCTCACTCTTCACTTCACTGACCTTGTTAAAACCCAAAATAAAATACAAAATACAGAAAGTGCCATTAAGAATTTGTTATTACTCCAATTAAGGAAACACTTCCTGTATATTCCTTTTGTTTTTCCATATATGTCACCTGTAAGGGGATATTATTATTATATATCAGAATCACACATATACATCCTCTGGATATATGAAGATATAAGTTTATAACACAGGAAATACACACAGTAAAATTTGTAATTTGTTGAAAATATTTATGTGATGAATTTTTCTACGGCATAACATGTTGCGACAATATATGTTAACAATATATTTAATTTATATATGCAAGTTTACTAAACTGACATAGGCCCATATATAAAAATCCTATATGCCTAAACTTGTTTTTCTTATTCATTTTAAACATGTCTATTTTTCCTTTCTGGGAAAGTGTTCTCAGACTTTTGGAGCCTACTGTATATACAGTAATATCAACATATACTGACAGGCATTTGGGATGGGTAAATATTTATGTAACATATGACATTGACATATGTACAATGTAAGCATACATAAACATATATTTGTATGGGCTGGACATATATGTCAATACATGAAATTGTTCTAATTTCTAATAGGTTTCATATATAATTTTTACACATATGTTTTTATTTTATATGTAAATATATTTGATATGTGGATATTATTATGTATTATTATGTACATATAATACATTTGCATATGTGTGAAAGGTTTTACTCCATATTGATGTTTGGGGTCAGGCAGATCATAGAGAGGGTTGAGTCCTTGCTACACACCCACAGACATCATGGACTTATTTTAGTAATGGGAGGGCGGTGCTGCCTAAGAAGTGATTTCAACACTAATCACGGATATAGAGCACGAGAAAATCCATTGTTCTTAACCATGTTTTACAGCTGACAGGTTAACATAACCAGTTTAGAAGCAATTCTTATAAAATTAGGAAAAGAGTATCAAACTGACAAAACAATGTGGAGTTTGAATTGTTAAAAGTCTCTCCAGGAGCCCAAGCAGAACAGTAAATGTGTCATAAGAAGTTACATTATATTAGGATCTTTGTTTGTTATCATGAACAATATCTACCGCAAATTCTACTGATGGAGCTGCTCACTGGAGCCCTAGGAATTTCTACGTCTATGTTGTGTTCAATCCTTAGAAATCCTGGTTAAACAAGGAACAAAAAGTTACTCTGTGAATGTAAAGTTTTGTGTTACTATTGTGTTACTTGTTTTTAATGATTGTTAAATGAAAGTCATGCTGATGTGATTACCAGGAAAGATGTCGTCAACTCTTCCACAGAAGTCGGACAGCTCGTTGTTGAGGATGACTCCGGTGTTCGGAGAGAAGACCTTTGAGCCAAATCTGTGAAGGAAATACATTAAATAAACTGGAACGTGATGCTATGACTCTGCAAAACCGACAATATTATTGTATGGTTGGTTTCTCACACTTTTCAGATACTGACATGTGGTTGATGGTGCTGGTGACAGACACGGCAGAGCCGTCCTCAGCCAGCACAGACACGTGCGTGGTGCCCATGCTGTCCAGATACGGGGTGATGTTGTAGTACTGAGGATCGTGAGCCTTGTCGCTGCTGATCAAGCTCCGTATGTGGTCAGCGAAACTGTCCTCTGTGAATTTCCTTGCCTTCTGCAAGAAGTGCAGAGCATTTAAAAACACACACATCACAAAAAAACACAAACTTCAGAGGTAAAATTATGATCGTATTTACAAAGCAGAACTAAATCTGAAAGAGAATTGATGTCCATTTGAAACCTCTGAGTCTTTCTTTTTGTACTCTCTGATTTGATTCAAACATAGCACTTATTCTTTTTCAAAATAACCAGGCCAATAGAAAGATGAAGAAAACAGAACAGTCATCCAATAACCGGAGGGATTTCACAGGCTCTGGATGTAACTGACCAAACTATGGGCTTACAACAGAAACACAACCATTTAATAACACAGTGCAACAACAAGACACTGCTCAAAGTTACCTACTGGCTTTTCAAACCTAATATACGGGTCAACACTCGTACCTTCCCCCACTCCAGGAGAGAGACACGCAAGCTAACATGATGCACACATGTCTCTTGGATCACCATGACAACACGAGGAGGGTTTACAAGGGGTGTTAGCTCATAAGGACTGTTGATGTGTTGATTGACACAGAGATACACCAGTCAGTGGGTGGAGGGTCTGCTTCACTGGGGCTGAGGATTAAACACTGAACAGTTCTTCGACTGTTATTAGCAACAGACTCGACTAAAAGCATTCGCTCAAGTGTTTGAGGGATTTGCACTTCCCTTGAGTCTTTCCATTTCATGCAGCTTTATAATTTCACCTCAGAGGGAGACACTGAACCTTAAACTACTTTTACTTGAGAGCATTAGTTACTTTGCAGATTCAGATTTCTCATATTTATACGAAGTTTATGATGAACTGTAGATCGAACCTCTTAACATTATATAAAGTAGATCCAGCTACAGTTATTCTGCAAAACAAGTAAATTTATCTTTTGATGTTTTCAGTACATTTTCAAGATAAGACTTGTACTTTTATTTTATGTAACATTTTGAAAGCAGGACTTTTACACTGGAGTACTTCTACTTTTACTCAAGTAAAGGATCTAAATATTTCCTCAAACCACTGGTTATAAGCCAGAACTAAACTTAAGTACTGAGGTAACGGTGATGTGTGCAGCAAGAGCATGTGTAAGTATGAGCGCAAATGTTCACGGCAGCGTTATATGATTCTTACTTCTTCTGAGCCGAACTGTTGATGGATGCGTTTCTTCAGTCCATTGGCAAACTTCAAAGCTTCAGCGTAGCGGTGATAAGCCAGAGTCTTTTGTTCACCCGTCAGAGACGCTGAATTCAGGCCGTATCCTGTAAATAAAAACACACTGGTTTGGTTTCTTTGCTTGTCTGTTTAGGTTAAGTGAATCCCACTTCCAAAGCTCAGCCTGGATCCTTTTCTGGCATGAAACAAAGAAACATATTCACATCGCCATTCAGTCTCCTCATGTGAGTAAACAACTCGTATATGTAATAACCAGTAAAAGCACTAATTCGGCTGTATCTGTTGAACACATGAGGCTACCAAGGCTACCAAGCCTCGTTATGTGATTTGAGAGTGTAGCTGAGCAGCAGCTCTGCAGTCTGCGTTACAGCAGCAACCTTTCATGATGTTCAGGATGAGGCTGAGGATGACACCGCCTGCAGGGGGTGGAGGTATGTACATCTGGTATTCTCCCAGAGGAACAGCCCACGCATCAGTCACTGTAACTCTATACGACGCCAGGTCCTGCACCGTGAGCGTTCCTCCTGAGCACAGACATTGAAACAAATGGTCCTGCTCAGCAAAACGGAAGGAAAGCGCATCTGAGCTCCACATAATCAAGACTTTCAATGGATCCAGGCAGCTCACACCGCAGTCTGTGAGTGATCACTGCAGTGCTTCACAGACCCAATTGATTTGTTCATTTGTAATTAGATCAGTGTGCCAGGCAGAGATAGAAAATAGCTGGGAAAGAGAATATGATGAAACCCGTCTCACAATACCTGCCTCCTCTATGTCACGGATTAAATCCTCTGCTATTCTTCCCGTGTAGAAGGCGTCTGCCCCGTGATTCGCAATCATCTCAAAAGTCTCGGCCAGTTTCTCAAACTTCACTTTATCACCAGTCTTCAGCAGGTTCCCATCCTTATCCGAATACAACTTCCTAAAGGACAAATGCAGTGAGAGAAAATATAACTCAGATGTAGAAATGTGTAAATCATATAATGTTTCTGTGGGTGTCTCTCCTACCGTAGTGGCTGGGTCTGGTTCGTATCAATGTACGGGAGGTATCGACCTTGGACTTGAGGGATAGGAAACCCTTCTCTGGCCAGCTGGATGGCCGGCTGGAAGAGGGTGGCCCACGGCAACTTCCCATAAAGCCTGTGGGCCTGTTCATAACCTCGGATTTCCCCTGGGACCCCAATCCACTGGCTTCCTGGATGGATAGGTCAGACATACATTTAATCAAGTTCTGTTTTTGAACAGTTTTGAGGTAGCCTTCTTGAACTTGAGTTTTTCCATTTTATGCAACAATATACTTCACTACAAATTGTAATCTTTACTCCACTGATCTAACAGGTAAAATTGCTCGTTACTTTTCAGATTAAGATTTTAAATTACAATAAAAACATACAATAAAATTTTGTGTACAAGAACTTACATTCATAATTCATTCTTAATTAACATTAATCATCTCACAACTCCCCAGATTTACCTTTGGAGGGGACCTGACCACCAAGTTGGAAACCATTGGACAAAACCAAACTGTATATAAAGCAGTTAAAACTACCTCCACCTAAAGCAACTAGAGCTATAACATACTTTTTGTACATTAACTACTACTACTACTACTACTACATTACTACTACTATTACTAAATACTATTATTAATATTAATATTATTAATAATCTGATTATATATTTTAAATGAATTACTGCTGAAAATATTTTTAGACTTGTGAATAATTTCTTTTAAACTTATTTTTGTCGTCTACATTGTTTCCAAAAATGTATTTTATGATCAGCTTCTTTCATAACCTTATTCAATTTGGGTAAATTAGTTTATAAAAGTAACTAAATTATCTGTGAATGCAGATTGGTTTATGTCATGAAATTCATATATATCAAGTATGTTGTATGTTTTTCTTGCTTGCTCTTGCTCTTGTGTCTGACTTTCACTTGATATGAAGTATTTTCACATTAATGTACTGCTACTTTAACTTAAGTTAAGGATCTGAGTACTTCTTTCTCCACTGAGGTAATGATGATAATGATAATAATCCTTTTATTTATGTAGCACCTTTCAAAAAAGGTGTTTTACAGTTAAAACAAATAATAAAAACCAGAACATAAAAAATAAGTTAAATAATTACAACAAATACCATTAATTACGAAAAAGCCATTAGATAAACGTGAGTTTCAAGAAAGAGACGCTGAGTTCCACTGCTGAGGTGTGTAGGTATAGTAGATAGAAAGATAATGACCTCATTATTTTTAGCTCTTGTTTGACTGGTTTTGTGTGTGTGTGTGTGTGTGTGTGTGTGTGTGTGTGTGTGTGTGTGTGTGTGGTCTTGGCTCAGAGTCAAAGTAGAAACAAAGATATTTGCATATCCAAGAAGGGACTGGTGGTATCTACAGCCCTGGACCTGACATAAAGCTTTCAACTATGTGCCCTTATATGGTAAGTGTGGCTGTCCATGCTGAATTCCTGAAAAGGAAGGAGTCTGATATGAAGAGAAAAATGTTTATCCCTGCTTCCTCCTCATGCCCGAGCATAGTAACCCAGTAACCTAAAATCTAACACAACAGCCAGAGCAAGAGAAATGAGCAAGGCTCCCCACAAAGGAATCAAGAAGTGATCTTTATGTCAGAGCAGTCTGACCTGACACCAGCTGGAAGGTCTTGGGACAAGACTTCAGCAGGTCAGATTTAAACTTCCTGGGTACGGTCTCTCTGGAGTTGATGATTTTCACTTTACCTTTGAAAAAGGGGAGATGTTATCATTTAACTTTATTGGCAAACCTGGACACCGCAGCTTTATTAGAGGGATGAATGAACGCGTCTGTTACCAGAATTGTCCATCACTGTGAATATGGACCCCCCTCCGATGCCCATACTCTGTGGGTTCATGACGGAGGTGCACAGCAGTGCAGCAATGGCGCCATCTACCGCTGAGCCTCCTCTCTGAAGGATGTCCCTGGAGGATGTCACACGTTAATCATAAACAAAATTCTAATTTGACTCCGAGTTGAAAGGTGTTACAGCCAGTAAAAGGCGCATGATACAATAAGCTGTACTCTTTTTATAGTTTTGTAAGAGCAGACAAACAACAATACAAACAGCTGATTTATAGCGTTTTGAATTTGAAGGTAAGGTTGCTCTAAGAAATAAAAACAAGTTTAAGTCCAAAAGTCTCCCTGAAAACAGACCGTGCTGGTTGTGCGTAATGTGCGTAATTCACAACCATCTTACAGGCCTGAACAAAGTGAATAATCCATGCCATACCATTTGAAAAGTGTCACTCACCGTCCAATCTCTGAACATTTTCCAGAGTCTGCGGCCACTGCAGCACTAGAGAAAGTATCAGCTGGACACTTGCGCCTCACAAGCAAAGCGACACACACAATTACAGCAACCACGCAGAGCAGCGTCAGCGCGCAACAGGTGTACACCATCGCCTTTGACCTCGCCATGGATGTATCTGCCAGATGTTTCCGCGGGGATCATTAAAAGTTCATCTCACTTTTATAGTTTGTCTCTTCTGAAATATCTCAACTTCACTGACTGACTGACTGACTGACTGACTGAGTGGGGGCCCGGTTGCCCCGTCAAAAGGGGCGTGCACCAGACAGCCTGGCTCCGCCCTCCGCCCGGGGCGCGATAAGAGAGGAATGAAACTTGTGGCACATCTGTTAAGTCAAGAGTGTTAACCTCAAAACATGCCTCTGCAATCAAAGACGACCGGCTGTACACTTGTTGCGCACTCACGCTACTCTGCTTGGTTGCTATGACTGTGTATTGCTGAACTCAGGTAACAGCTGGTAGGTGTGAGTTGTAGGCACGCTCCACGGATCAGATCAAGTGTAAATGTGCTATAAGCGATCCAGATGAAAAGCCTCCACCTTTACTGTGAGTGTTCATCACCTCCGAAATTGGTCTTTGAATCCACTGACAAACGCAAACAACTGAGAAGTTATTGATGTTTTTCAGGGGTGTGATCCAAAAATGAAATTGGGTCACTTAGCTGGGGAAAACATGTTTTTACATAATTTCCAGGCTCCAGATTTGAGGGGAATTTGTTGTTTTTTCTCCTCAGCAAAGCTCCAGATTACTCCGTTAAAATCAGATTCTTGTAACAGAGACGGTATGAGGGAACAAACCTTACCTTTTCATCATTCCTCATTTATGGTTAAAAATATGAATATATTCCCTGAGTTGTCCCCTGCTGAGCCAACAGCTTTAAGGTAAAAAAAAATAATAATAAAATAAAATTAAAAAAAAGGTTTGTTCAATAACCAACTTTACTGGTGCTGAACAGATGTAAAACAGAGCTTGTCCTCCTAACAGACCAGTCAAGGCATGTCATGATGTTATCTTATTATGTTGCTGTGCGAGTTTTCATTTTCCCGCCCCAAATAAAAAACAAGAAGGTCCGACTGCAGACTTTAGTCTACAATTGGAAAAACCAGGTCTGAGAGCCGGTGGGAGAGGGGGTGTTTGTGTGTGTGGGTGCGTGTGTGTGTGTGTGTGGGTGGGTGGGTGTGTGTGTGTGTAGTGTGTGGGGGGGGGGGGGGGGGGGGGGGGGGGCTGCAGTTGGACCGTTCTAGGAAATTTTTTCTTAACCGTGTTGCCGTGTTTTGTCCTAAACTATCAACATCAAGCCGCTGCTCTGCGACCGCTGCGGGCGAAATCTTGACAAGCTGCAATGCATCTTGGGAAATGCTGTCTGCAGTTGTGTCAACCAGTAGTCGCTAGGCGAGCCATGAGACATACGGAAGAAGGCTTTCATATGTGTCAAGTCAACCGAAGGTAATGAGAGCTGTACCGGATGTAAGGTAACTCTGACTTCAAAGTAAAAGAAGAGACAACAGTGAGTTTATTTAAAAATAATCTCTAGGCTTTTATTAGTGCTGCAGCAAACGATTATTGTCATTGTCTGTTAATCTGCCAGTTATTTTCTTAACTAATCAATTAATCATTTTGTTTATGAATTATAGGAAAATATTCACAGTCACATCAGTTGAAATCCCACATTATTCACTTTAATATCATGTTTGACAATGAAAAGTATCAAATCCTTTTCCTTGATGACTGACTGAAATAAAGAATCAATTATCAAAATAGTTACAGGTGAATTTTCTGTTGATTGACTAATCAAGTAATCAGTCAAGCTGTTTAGCTGCAGCACACAGGTATAGAGGGAAAATTATTGTTTTAAAACTTCTCAGTGGAATAATTACAGAGCAGTAATTAAGTCCAGCGTCTTGGAAAAACCTGAAAACAAATTTAGCATGAAAACAAAAAATATGTTTATGTGGTTCCATTTTCTGCAGACAGCTGCGAATCAGGTGAGTGCGACATCACCCTGTGGTTTCTCACTCAGGTGTTCAGTCCCAGCCGCATAGCTAGGCCACTCAGGCCCTAAAACTGATCACGTTTTGAATCAAGGCAGCCAGAGCAGTGGCCTGTTTTAAACCTGAACGTGGGCAACAAAGTTGGATTCCCCTCCAGCTTTCATCCCAGGTAAAGTTGGAGGTGAATCCGTGCTGATGTAAACAATCGAGTCGACACGAGCCAGAACAAATCTGTGTCATTGTCCCAGTGACACAGTTACTAAAAAAATCAGGGGACACTCCTACAACTCCACAACTCAGCCTGTGAAAACAGTTGTATGATGTCTTCTGTGGCTAAGGAAGGAGCGTTTAAAAGTCTGACAAAATAATCACCAGGGTTGTTTTGAGACTGAGATGTATTTGACAGTAAAGCTGCATTATAACATGTGGGGATGGAGTTTGCAAGGTGGGGGCATTTTATATGGCAGATGCAAGATGCTACTAAGCTTGATTGTGGGAATTGTAAGATTCAGTGTTTGAGGCTTAAGCCATTTTAGGGACTAAAAGTCTTGCCTCTTCTAGTGTGATTTTGACCATTTTGTTACTTTACAATCTGTCTTTTTTTTTCTTCTTTTTTTTTTACTGGAAGTTGTTGCACCATGGTCTTGTATGGAGGTGGGAGGAGTTTGGAGTTCAGGCATTTCTGCTTTTTTTGCAGATTAATTTCACCGTCCTCACATAGACGATTATTTTGAAATGTGTACCCGGAAACACTTGCATATTCCTGCGGTTGCTTGACGCTGGGTGGCTTCCCCTGGTGGAGCTTGAGTATTTACAACAATATTATCTGAAGCCTGTCCGCCGCTGCTGTCCACCACAGACAGGCAGACAGCGAGTCACGCCGTCGCTACGGCAGCTTTCGTTTTTTTTTCCTCCCAGTCATACGATGGGTGTCTCTTCCAGTTAGGACTTCTTTTGTGCATTTTCCTATAATGTTGGCAAGTGATATCCGTCTACCGTGTGCACTGCAGTGGTGCGCAGCTTCGCCTGGAGAAACACCTGTGCGCCTCTCCTCTCCACTGGCCACAGTCATGAATGTTGAGTAGGTATGGACGCACTCCTGTGCACGAATCAACGCACCAAACATCCACGTAGCTCCAGGCAGGGACACATGAGCTCGGATACCGCGATCTGTTTGTTTGCTGTATAGCTTATTGAACGTTACAGCTCATCAATATCGTGATCATCAGTTTGTATGGCAGCTTGGCCCTGGTGGCAGCAGCTCTAGTGGCCAGATTACAAGGAGAATAGTGCAGTATTGGAGGAATAATGCATGGTGTGTGTGTGTGTGTGTGTGTGTATGTGTGTGTGTGTGTGTGTGTGTGTGTGTGTGTGTGTGTGTGTTTTGGATGGCTTCATGGTTGGGTTTGATGGTCAGTCCATCCTAAGAGCAGCGGGAGTGTGTGGGGGATGTGGGGGCGTCTTGATGCTGTCAGACAGGATGTAGGGGAGGATCTGTTGGAGCAGGATTACCCGACCATTTTTGGTGAGGGCGCATCGTGGACTTCTGATCACTGTTGACGCATTGCACTCCTCGCGTTTTGGCTGCTGGACCATTATCATTATATAATCATTCTCATGTAATCCAATCTTCTGTTGTTTTTTTGTTTTTTTTACTTAGGCAGCACACGATTACACAGTCTACAGCTCGCCCCCTCCCTCCCCCTGAGGATCCATTTATGCAGCTCCTGCTGAGCAACCTATGAATGCCAATTATAAATGTGGGTGGGTATCAACACTGTTTACGTTTACATAATTCACTGTTTAGGGCGCGCGCGTGTGTGTGTGTGTGCGCGTGGTGGGCCAAAAAAGACAAAAGGGGAGAGATTTGTGTTAAATGCAGCTATGTGCCCATGACTCATGATTTTACACAGTGCAGCACAGGGGTGTGTGTGTGTGTGTGTGTGTGTGTGTGTGTGTGTGTGTGTGTGTGTGTGTGTGCGTGCGTGCGTGTGCGTGCGCGCACGCACGCACTCGGGTGCAGTCACTTTGAAGTCCACAGTGTGTGGGTGAGTTTCAGCAGGTGTGTTTTACATATGCTGCACACAAGAGGAGAATTTGCTGTCAAACTCTGAGGAGGAATTTATCTTTCACAGACACAAAGCAAAGAGTGAGGACGCCTGCATCAGATGAACTCCCTCTGCGAGCGAACACATTCACATTGAACAGAGTTTGGAGCCTGAATATCAATCGCTGCTCTGTCCTGATGTCACTTACAGCATCCTCTTCTCTTTCTCATCCCTCTCTCTCTCCTTCTGTCTTTGTTTTTCAGAGAACAGAGAACCCTAAGGTGCGGTGTCTGTCTGCATTTGTCTGAGAGAGCGAGAGAGGGAGCAGCACAAATACCGCACAGCCAGACATCATGCAAGGAGAAACCTTCCCTCGCTGCAGAGTGCTGAAATGTTAGGACTGAAGAGCGAGGGTGTCAGATCTAATCAGCAGACTGTTTACAATAGGGGCAGCGATAAGAGCTGCTCAACACTAGACTCACTAACACCCTGTGTGTGGTTTAAGGCCCCTTTCAATCACGATCAGGAAAATCAAGAAAAGACGTGTTAGCTCATCTTTCATCAGCACTCCCCCCCCCCCTCCTGTCAGAATCAGCAATCCAGAAAGGAGGCGAGATGGAGTGGTCACTAGAGAGTGTGAGGGAGATGGTGGCTGGAGGGATGCAGTCAATACGGGAGTGTGAGATCTGTGCTTTTGCCATAGCCATGTGTGTGCTCCTGCTGTTTATGTGGTATTGTTACAGGGTGGGCCGGGAGCACGGATCCAGCCCTTTGCGTGGGAGGTATCTGGCTGGGCCCGGCCGGATCGGAGGGGTGGTGGGGGGCTTCATGAGTTCAGACTGTCGCGGCAGGGGCAAAGGGAAACACGGATCAATGCTAGAGGAGCAGAACGGCTTTGCTTTCTGCCAGTCGTCAGAGTGTTTCCGCTGCACCAGCGCTGGGGAAAGCCTGAACCAGAGGCTCTATCACAGCCTGCAGGATTACGCCAAGCGCTACACCTGGTCAGGTATGGGCCGGGTGCATAAAGGGGTCCGCGATCAAGGCCGATACCTCAACAGCCGACCAACCATCCAGCGGCCGGAGGTCTTCTTCCTCCCCGACCTGCCGTCAGCCCCTTTCTTCTCCAGGGAAGTGCAGAGACACGACGTGGAGCTGCTGGAGCAGAGCTTCCCCGCCCTTCTGGCCGAGTTTGAGAGCATCTACCACCAACCTCCGGCCCGCAGCGGCTCCTCCCTCCCGCCAGGGTGGAAAGCCAACAGCACTCCTCGCGGGCAGTGGTGGACCTACTACCTGGTCAACCAAGGCACCCCTCTGGTTCTGAATGTCAGGAGATGCCCGCGGGCGTGGAGGGTGCTGGGACAGCTGCGCACCTTCATCGCCAACAACGTGTTTGGCAACGCCTGCTTCTCCGTGCTGACGCCTGGAGCCCTGATCACTGAGCATTACGGTCCAACAAATGTCAGGCTGCGCTGCCACCTGGGTAAGAGAGTGAAATGTGGAGTGAGCTGAAACTGATTCAGCCATGTGATGTGTGAGGCTCTCTGGGTACTGAACTCAACACAACAGCAGATGATTTCAGTAAGAAGCATATTTAGGTAGAGGAGAGGAGCAGCCCGGCGAATCAGCTGCTGTTGTCTTTAGACCGAGATCCTGAATCCTCTCGAGCGATGGAGCCTCATGGATGAAATTTTCAGGCAAATGCAAAAAAATTCCATTTGTTTTCGCTGCACCTGAGGCTTTTGATTCTATTTCCATTTGTACTCTGTGAGACGGCTATAAATAGTAATGTCCATTGTTGTGTAGGCAGGATGCTGTAAAACGGCATACTATAATGATACAGGATGCTTTAAGAACAGAACATTTTGTGTGGGATGTGTCACCTGGGAGGTTGGTTAGCAACACAAAATGTTTCTAAATGCCTTGTATCCAGTAAGTGGACTTGTGTTTTTTTTTTTGTTTTTTTTTCCCCGGCAGGTCTCAGAGTGCCCCCTTCCTGTGAGCTTGTAGTTGGTGGAGAGCCACAGTGCTGGTCTGAGGGCAGCTGTCTGCTTTTTGACGACTCCTTCCTCCACAGGGCTTTTCACGAGGGTAAGAAGGGATTTAAAATTGAATCTTTTATTGCGCTCGCTCCCTTTTTATTTATTCCTTGAAGGAGGATTGACCTAAAAAACGGTATAATCCAATATCGCTTAGGGAATTGGAGAGCCTTTTCATTATGAGTCTGATATGGATTTCAGTTCAAGACCGTGGGGTTCTTGATTTTTTTTTTCTGCCTCTTATGTTTCTATGTGTGTCTGTGTGTGTGTGTGTGCATGTGTGTGTGTAGGTGGCGCAGAGGACGGCCCCAGGGTGGTCTTCATGGTGGACCTCTGGCACCCCAACGTGGCCGCTGCAGAGAGACAAGCCTTGGACTACATTTTTACTCCGGGCCGTTTAGAGGACAAGGAAGGGAAATAGGTGTGAGTGAGAAACCATGTCCAAGCGAGAGACAGATGGCCTTTAGGGAAGTGTCTGTAGGATGGGGGAGCGACTCTTTTTCTGCCTCCAGACCAGCTCTCACATTCACTGTGTACATATTCTCCGGCTCGTACAGTATCTCTCATAACTCTTCTTAGCAGATGACTAAACATTGGGCCTCTTTTATCAGCCATGTTCATGTTTCTGCCTGCGTGGTAACAGACAGCCACACTTGAAAGTATTTACTTCCATTTTTTAAAACATAGCAGGCGCACTATTGTTGATGCAGCCATTTCATTAGTTTGGATTAATACCATGGCAGTGACATTTTAGGTTATTTTATTTTAAATCACTGACTGTTCTGTGAATTTACACATAAATGAATGATTTATTTGTTCCAGCAAATATATTTTTCCTCTAACTTTGGACCGAATTTATTTCTGTCCAAGATTCGGGTCATGACAGTTTTAGTTTGGCTGCTGCTTGAAACAGTTCAACAGGTTGCTGGTAGGGAGCGAAGTACGCTACAGATGTGATAAATGAGTCATAGCGAGACCGAACAATAATGTGTCACACTCTCGCTGTTACACATAAAAAGTTCCACAGGCCAACCTATTCTATTAGCTATAAATGAGCTGGAGTCACTTGAGTAAGCGTTTACGGGCCCCCAAACTCTCCCCAGACTTTAGAGACACAACACAAACACACATTACTTTACACTTAACATCGAACACATCTTTACTGATTCTTTTACACCTGCTGTAACACCCGCATACATTTCCGCAAGGGCTAAGAAATTTGATCATTCAACTTTTTTTGATGTTCCTCAACACATCCAGTCCCACTTCAAATTCAAATTTTCGACTGTTTTAAGTTTTGATGAACGACCCGGCGCTCTCCCGCCTCAAGAATGTTGTCATATTTTCAGTGATTGTAGAATCCATTATGATTCATGTAACGTCACAGCAAAAGTGATGCTAAAAGGAACCACTGCCAGAGCACTGGTTGGTTTTCTGTGGAAAAGGTTCTGATAGCCACATTGAGTCAATGACGAAGTCATTAATTGAGCCACACTGGGATGTTTCTCGGTGAGTTACAGGTTGCACAGTTTAGATTTTCTGACATTCTGACTGAACTGGCGACTGTTTCTAGATAAATAAACCGCATGCATTGCAGACAGTGGTACGTCGTTGAGGCGAACAGATTCATCCACATGTGGTTTGATAACCGAGGTCCAATGTCCACCATGACGTGAATGTTTACAGACGCAGCTAATGTCTCTGTCACGACTCCTGCCGGTGTGGTAGTTTATTGTGCTCCCCTTCGAAAATCAGTCCTGCTTTCACAAGACATGGTTAGAGAAGCACATTTTTAGGTCAAATAGTGTGAGCCGGCCTGTGCTGTAACACTGGAGATGAAGTGTTTTTGGTAAATTTACTAAACTCTTGTAATTTGGTTGTATTTGATATCAGGTTTGTATTTCTGTAAATAGGGTTGAGGTAACAAACCGAGCAGTCTGAGATGTTTTGAAATGATTGTCTTCAATGCTATAACTATTGTGTTGTCTTGATTTACAGCTAAAGTGATTGCACTTCATTCTCTGAAAAGCCAACCATGAAAATCATTTTGATAGATTCAATTTGTAGATTCTGTAAAATGTTTATGAAGTATTATCTCTGTTGTTCTGTGATGTTTTTTTATGTTGTCACTCTGTAATTTGGCCGAGCCATATGGTATCCATTATTAAAAAGCCACAATCCTTAATTCTCCCACAGCACTTCATGGATATATGTGCACAGTCTAAAGGGTAGTGAAAATTAATCTTCAGCAGCTTTACTAGTCCATCGCAATTCAAGATAATCATCTATAATGTTTACAAAAGTATGATCATCACTTATAAGCTGTTTACAACACGAGACGACACTGACACTCACATTGAGCTGTCCATGATTAGGGTTCAAATCAAGAGTGCTGTCAATCCACTTTAGAGTACGAAAACTGTCATTCCCAAAGCATTTGCTTTACATATACAGTATATGACGGGGCAACCATTTTGTTTACATTTGGATTAAGGATTTGTCCTTTAACACATTCTTGTGTGGATTTTGAACAGTATTTCTGTACATTTAATAAATGGTCGAGTATCTTATTTAACCAGCTGTTGTCAGAAGTGTCACTTTTACACAGATATCACAGATGTGAAACAAGAGATGGACACATCACAGCATGAGATTTTACTGCTGAATGAGCCGTTTCAGAAGGAGAAAGACTTATTCACAATACCATACCACCCTCTCCACAACATTGTGGCAGGACAGAGAAGCAGCTACAGCTGCAGCAAACTGCGCTTGCAGAACAGAGAGGTTCAGGAGATCCTTTGTTCCCACTGCCATCAGGCTGTACAACAACTCAGACAAAGGAAGTGGACTAATTTTATTGTATTATATTTATGTTTATTATTTATCATTAACTATTATTATTAATATTATAATATTATTATTACTAATGAGCTGCTGGGCACCTGAATTTCCCTTAGGGGATAAATAAAGTCTATCTATCTATCTATATGAAGCAAGGGGAAAAGATACATTGTGTCGCCTATTTTCAGCCAGACGCAGTTTTATAGCAGTGGCACTGGGAGGTGTGGGCATGCTATGATGGTGTCACAGCTCTGTTTTCCCACAGCAGTTTTCTCCTATCAGACTGGTATTGCCTCTGGAAGAAATGAAGGCAGCAGCACTAAAAATGCTGAGGCAATAGTAAAATCATGTTAAATAAAAACAGCAGTGTCGTCGTTACTTGTAAGTTCATGGCTTCATGAGGAACATACACACAGGTTGATACTTCTGTCAAGGAAGGGGATTCAAACACAAATCAGCATCTTTCACTGGGAGTCATGGATTCTGTAAAGGTGCATTTTTGCGTCCACATCTGTCGGCCTGTGGCTTTCATGGATGGAGGCACATGTTGATGTGAGGTTGATACCAATAATAACCCATAACTCATGTATAAAGACCTTAGTGTTGATGTGTATAGACTACATGTTCTTTTGTTACAATGTGACAGCTCCTGAATTATTAAAGCAGACTGTAGCAGTTATTGTTACATCACTGCTTTGTATCCAGACTGGGTGAAGCTCTGTGAGTTTGAGTGAGCATGGTGGGAGGGAGTAACGATTTAAAGCTCACACAGAGACACGTGTCTGCAGAGGGATTATACTTTGAGTGATATGCATTAACATCAATAATTCGTAATAAATAATCAGCCACAGGTGTACAAATGTAATAAAATGTGTCTCTTTTATAAGCCACAGCTGTGTGGGGATTAGCTGCAGTGGGATCCAGGGACCTCTAGGTGTAGCTGATGGGGTCTGATATGGTTCCCAGACAAAGTGAACAATTGTTAAATATCATTTTCATTTCATTCAAATGACATGATATGAAATGAAATACAGGCAGAGACACAACAGCATGACTCCTGTGAAATCCAGTAGTTTGTGTTCACTTGACTTTTGGACATTTGGGGATATTTTTATTAGTAGTTTAATTCAATAGGATGAAATGGGTCCACTCAGACAGAAAAACACTAAGTATTGTACTGTCTCTGATGCTAAACCACTATCTTTGACCACACAAACCACATAATATAGAATTAGAATAGAATTAGCTCTTTGCTGACAAAATTTCAGGGATGTGTTAAAGCTCGCAGTAGCTCATTGATTTCCATTGGGTTTTTTTTGTTTTTGTTTGTTTTTTTTTACCGACCCATGAGAATAACTATATTTTTTCTGCCTAGAGTGGATCATGAGATCTCAGTCGATATCTGAGCTCCTAATGGAGCAAATTTTCATTTCACGGGGCTCTGGGATTTTATCTGTCTGGTTTGTCTTTGTCATGGGAAAGTTTTTGCCGACCACTGGCAGCCTATACCTTACTACCGTCCCCACCCACGTCATTGCCACGATGCCAGAGACAAGCATCCACATCAATGAAAAGGTGACGCGCTCTGCAGCGACGTGTGTGCCCCTCCGTTCCTCTGTCTGTGCGCGCTCCGCCTGCGCTGCCTCACATCAGCCAGGTGGTGAAATGTAGCTTAAGTTAACGCGGGCAGGCGCTGCTGGAGAATATGGGTCGACAATGGGGAGAAAGCGGCAACTGATGTCGAGGATCAGCCCGCCGAGACAGACTAGACCAGATCCGCAGCTATGAGCTCCTCTTTTCCAAAATCTGAATCCACCACCTCCTTGTTGAAATCATCTTCGGCGGCGAGGAGACCGACACACCTCCCCGAACGTACCGCAGAGAGCCGGAGAAGTCAGCATCACCATCAGCATCAGCACCAGCATCACCACCGTCTTGCCGCACTCCAGAGCAGCAGCAGCAAAGCCGAGGAGTCCTTCTGGTCGGCCGAGTGCGACATCAGTGCCCGGAGACCCCTGTGCCACCCCTCCCTCCTCGGCAGCCAGGACAGTAGTACTAACGCAGCCACTCGGGACAAGTGCAAGTCACATGCCCCTCACAGCCAAGTTCCCGACCCGCCGGAGCCCAACGGCGAGGCGGGCCGAGGTGTGAGGGAGCGCTGCAGGTCATCCAAACCCACACACCGGCACCACCACCGCAGGAAGCACAACCGGGAGGACCGTCCGCCGGCAGCAGGCGCGCCGGAACCCGAGCATCGCCGCCGCTGTCACACTCACACCCGCCCGGTCCCCAGGGTGCCCTCGCTGTCGGACAGCAACGACGACAGGGCTCCTCTCTGCGAACCGAGGGACCACAAGGGGGCCAGTTTAGCAAATAGTGGCGGTCAGGTCATCAGTCCCTCCCCGTCCTCATGCTCCCTGGCCCCGCTGTCCAGCAGGTCCTCTCGTCGCTCCCGGAGGTCCAGCGCTGCTTCTTCTGCATCCGATATCAATTTACGCACCATCCTTAACTCACTCTTTGGGCAGGTAAGGCCCTGAAATATGGACAAATGAATGTGTGCTTAACAGAGACTTGTCTGCATTAAATCAACCCCACAACCGGTCAGTTGGTTAAACTCATTTGAGGAGTTTTAGTGTGTGAAGTGCAGAGATGCTCCTTGTGAATGTCGTGGCCCCTGACAAGCTGTGACAGTGACACACCAAACCCAAATCACAATTTATGTGAAAAGTAATTGGAGTAATCTGTTCTATATGTTGAACAAAGAGAAGGTTTGTGAAATGAAGTGAAATGATTTTGTAAACTAATTTGAATGGATGACGCCAGGGTTTTTCCTGCAGGATTCTTCTAAAAAAACATCTAATGCATTAAGTTTACTGAGTCTTTCCCTGCAGAACTGCTCAGTTGAAAATAGTGCTTCGTTCCTATATTTCTACAGAAGAGGTTGAACCGTGGCCTCTGGCTCCAATGACGTCCTGTTTCCAATCAATATAAGCTAATGTGCTCTGTGATGCAGTCTGCAAACACTGTTATCACTGGACCGAGCATAGAGGGGAAAAGCTCCTTCTACACATTCATTCCTTATGTAATTTGTAAATACAGCGCTGCCTCCTACAGACCTCCTCAGCCAGGAAGCCCTGCCTTATTGAAGTGGATGTGCCGGGGCAGATGAAATGCTCTATAGTATCAGAGGTGAAAATCTCTGATGTGCTAATGTGTATTTGGTCAAAGACAGATATTCATGTTCCTGTATCACTGAGCCGGGAACACTGCAGTGATTGTTGTGTTGAGTTAGAAGGAAATCACTTTGATGTTCCTCTTGGTGGTGGAGGCTCTATTTTGAGCCACAGATCTATTTATACAGAGGAAGAGCGTTCATCTTAATATGCTGGGATTCTTATCAGTGATGTGGTTTTGCAGAATTTTAGCTCAGAAAGCTGAAGTCTGCAACCTGCTTTGGTTTCCATCTCGCTGTTTTAACTCCTGCTCATAAGTTGTTTACTGAGGGCATCTCTTCGCTCTCTTCCACAGAAGTCAGAGTTTATTTGCCTCCATGTATGGTGCTCGCATTTTGATCTCTTCAAGAATCAGGAGGGGATTTACGTACGTTACAGAATTGGGAAGCTCTCAGCTGTAAAATAGGCTCCATATGGAAGAGATGGCTTCAAGAGAAATGTCTTCTAGTACTTATAGTATGAAAGCCTATTCTACAAATAACCCATGAGTCAGTGTGTGAGCAGCTCAGTGAAAACATTAGTGTGACCTGAAAAAGGTCCTTGATGAGACAGCTAGATGGAGAGGAGTTCAGTGACAGGCAGAAATGAAACGCATGGTTTGACACACACACACACACACACACACACACACACTGCCTTTGGCATTTTGTCTGAACAATGCAATTCAAAGTAAACCGGATTTTCACTGCTCTGGCTACAGGTTTGTTTTGATTTGCCCAGTTGGAAATACATGTGAACAGAAGGTGATTGTGGACATTGTGACAACTACCTCTAGTCTGGTATTATTATTCTATCATTATTATTATTATTATTATTATTATTATTATTATTATTATTATTATTATTATTATTTATATACGCACACACACATACAGTAACTGAATTCCTGCCTCTCACGGTCTTTGTGTGATTGTCGTTGGTTCCATGTGGCTGCTGTAGGTCAGAGTGACCTTGTCTTCGCCTGCAGAGGGCACAGGATGGTGTATGTGTGTGTGTTGTGTGTGTGTGTGTGTGTGTGTGTGTGTGTGTGTGTGTGTTGTGTGTGTGTCTGTGGGGGGGGGTGTAAAGCAAGAAATACAAAGCAGCAGATGCAGAAATGGGAGGTACAATATATGAATTCAAATGTAATCTCAAGGCTGCAAATTGACTGGTTGGTCTAGCACTTGAGTGCGAGAGTGCAGGTGAGGAGAACAGCGAGAGTGGAAATAGGTCATTAAACACAGCTCGTTCCTGTAAACTTGCCTGTTTCAGATTTTAATAGCACAGAAACAGCAAACACGTTGCACATCTGTGTGACCCTGAAGTGAAAGGTTACTAGTCAGGTGCAGCTTCCTGTGGGAAAGCTGACACAGCGCATTACATCCCTCTTGTTTATTCTTGCCTGAGATGCTTTTTGTGAATTATCTGTGTTGTTCACAAAATAACTGCAATAGTTTGGTCAGTGTGACAACTCGGGTGAAATATCTCACAGACACTCACTCTCTCTTTTCCTTTAATAGGCATACTTCTCTTTCTCTCTTCGGTCCACTTCACTCCCTCATTTAGTTTCTCACCCTCACTCTTCTCCCCCGTCTCTCTCTCTCTCTCTCTCTCTCACACACACACACACACACCGTGTCACTGACACTACTTTGCTACTTTCATTTCATCCAGATAGAGCAGTACAGTGCAGCTCACAGTTTGTGTGTTTTTTTGATCAGCTGTAGGTTAGCACCCGGGGCTTCATGGGTCTTGCTGAAACCAGAGTTTGCACTCCTTTCCAAACCCAAACTGCAAACTTATCGGAGAAAAAGTCCTCATGGTCCTTTTTGGTTTCTCTTTTCTCTTTTGGTATGGGAAACTGCTTAGACTGGCCTCTGAGGACGGTAAGACTGTTTTCAGTGTGGTGCACTGTTACACTCTGTCTTTCTCGATCTGTTTGCTGCATTCAAAACTGAAACTGATAAATAAAACTTGACAGAAGTCTGGCAGTTTTTGGAAATTTTGTTTATATTTTATGCAGAGTTGTGTGCAGAGGATTTAGAACATTTTTATCTGTATGTGTTTTTGATGATATCCTCACTCAGTCAAAGTCAGCATGTGTTGTTTATACTAGACTCAGTTTAGGTCTAGATTATGGGGTTAGGAGTTTTAATATCCACACTGTTTAATGTTGGTGGTTTGTATTGAAAGTTACTGAAACTTTTTCTGCCAAGGCTTGTAAATGTCTCTGTTGTGTGTTTTGTTGACCTGGCATTAGATGAATGGTTTCAGACCCTTGGTGTGCAACAGGCTTCTGTTTTCTAAAAAGCACACAGGGGAAAATATGTCCAAATGTCTTCACAGAATAATGTTTTTATGTCTGTGACAACACATGTAGCTGGTTCGCTGCTGCTTTAGTTCGCCTTTTCTGTGCTTCTGAGTATGTTTACTGTTCCAGTGACAGTGTATAGGTGTATGGTGCCAGTCCGCACAACGTGGCACGTAAACAGTTATGAACAATGAGTGGAAAGTTGGCAACATTATGCTGCTTTATTGATGCATTTCAACTTCTGCCTTGTTTTCATATTTCCATAAATTTCCATTTAATCTAGTGTGTATTTTGCAGAATATACGCAGTCTACATAGACTGTGCCACATCCTCTCTTAGTTTGTACCTTTATTCAACTCTGAAGCCTCTAACTCTGTCTCTGCACCCCTCTGGAAAGATGCTCCAGGATGCAGAGAGGAGATTCAGAGGGGTGCTGTCCTGTGAGGAGATGGGCCAGGCAGGGTATCTTGTGCCTTATCAGGAGTCCATTGTTTCCATGACGCAAAACTGTGTTCTCGTGAGCAACATACTGGGACAAACCTGTGTCTTCCTGAGTAAAGGCGTGGCCAAGTGCAGGCAGGCTGTACGTAAGTCTGGACAAACACCTTTTTGTAAATCTACTTCTGTCTCTATTCATATCAGCAAAGCTTATTATTACCAAACAATCTGCTGTAACAATTTTCACCACTGGCTTGTAGAGACCCTTTTTTTCTATCATCACTTCTTGCTGTTTCTACTCTGGCTGCTTCTGACTGGTATCCTGCCCTCTGCCCGTGGGGAACACACAGGTTTGGAAAATGGATGAGCCTGAAAGCTCACAAGAGTGAGTACTGCAAGAGTCTGTAGGAACTTGTGAATACATGCAGTGCACATGAATGCAACAACATTCATTTGTACATTTGTTACTCACATTAGATCAGCAGTTTCCAACCTTTAAGGGTCAAACAGGTGTAGTGATGCACCGACTCTTTGTCCCACTGGTTGCCTGTCACAGATGCATATATCTGTATTTTGTACTGTGAGTGCACAAAGTACTGGTGAAATATTTGACAGTTTGATCATTTGACATTATGAGAAATACAATAATTCACTCTCTGGCCAAGAGTTAGATGAAAAGATCGATACCACGTATGTGCAGTTAATATGTAGCCTAGTTCTGTCCAAAGGCTAGCTGCTTCCCCCTGTTTCCAGTGTTTATGCTAAGCTATGCTAACCAACTGCTGGCTGTACTGCTACATATTCAGCAGACAGATATAAGAGTGAGTGTTACTGGTCTTCTTACCTTACCTCTCAATAAAGCGAATAAGCGTATTTCCCAAAATGTCAAACTAATATTTTGTACTTTCACATCTTGATAAAAAAGAGCAGGGTAATGGAGGTTTTTGAGTCAGCTGATCAGGCGTAAAACATGTCAGTGTAAACGATGATGGATGATGAACCGGCAGTGATGAATGGCTGATGCGCTGATGGTGCTGTGCATGCATGCATGTTGGACTGGCTGGTTATGCTCCTTTGGGCTCATGTGCTGCCTCCTGTGTTTTCTATCTCAGTGGTTCCGGTCAGACAGTTCTTCGGGCCTGACGTCAGCACTCACTGTTGTGTTTAGACTTCTCAATGCTCCTGCTGTTAACCCCTGAGGGTTCTGGGATATGTCTCCCTCTCTCTCTGCCCTTTAAAGGTGGTGTTCATTGTGAGCAAGCTCTGAAAAAAATAGAAACAGCCACATTCTTCTTTGAACTTACGGCTCCTAGTCATGCTTGATAGGAATCAGCCTATCTATACTTGGAGTTTTTGTCATCGAGATGTGAGATAGTTCCAGTCAACTGTTACCTTTGGGCATCCTTAGGTTGAGGTTCGGAAAAACTGCTGAGGATTGTTATGGAGAAGGTTGCTGATTTAGGTTTGGGCATCACTCGAATCACAGCGTTGTCAGCGGTATGTTTGCATGTACCTCATACACAGAAGAGTGTGTTTGGTATAATATGTGATTATTATTTTTTCATGTGTTGTGATATTTTTTGTATTGACCAATTATTAAATGGTTTTTCTTCGTAGGACAGAGAGCTGCGGCCAGAAGAAATGGATGGTAAGTTTCTCTTTCTTTATTGTTTTCTCTTTGTTTACTGAAGTTAAGCATTCAAACAAAATGTTTTGTAAAGAGATTGAAATGAAATTGAAAATGCCATAGGTTTGTCAAAGATCTTTACACAACAAACAAGTTTTCATGTGTGTTGCCAAAATTTGTGCTTACATGTGCAAAGTAGTACGTAAGAAAAATGAGAGCCGTACTGTTCACTTACTAATACATTTTTCTGTTACTGCTCATCAGAGTTGCGGGATGCTTTTAAAGAGTTTGACAAGGACAAGGACGGTTTCATCAGCTGTAAAGACCTAGGAAACTGTATGAGAACCATGGGATACATGCCCACTGAAATGGAGCTGATTGAACTGAGCCAACAGATAAACATGAACTGTAAGGACTTAATTGTCTTGTGTATTTATATATCATGTATATAACTCCTTGCACCTTGCATATAATGTGTATTGTTGTTTGAAATTCTGTGCTGAAATCTGTTCTTCTTTAGTGGGAGGTCATGTTGATTTTGAGGATTTTGTAGAGCTGATGGGCCCAAAACTCCTCGCCGAAACTGCAGACATGATCGGAATAAAAGAGTTGAAAGATGCGTTTAGAGAGGTAAGAGTGTCTGGATGCAAATTTTGATGACTGGTTTCCATAGTTCTGGTTGTGTTAATATTTACTTGTAGCTTTTCCATTTTTAATGTCTTTACTCTGCCTTTTGTTCTCAGTTTGACACTAATGGAGATGGTGCCATAAGCACATGTGAACTCCGAGACGCAATGAGAAAGCTGCTGGGCCAACAGGTAAGATTTGGATCGTAATATAACAGAAAGACTCTAAACCATTCTTATATGAGTGTGGTGCTTCACTTACTTCTGCCAACCTGTTTTTTCTTCCAGGTAGGTCTAAAGGAAGTGGAAGATATCCTGAGGGATGTTGACTTGAATGGGGATGGGCTTGTTGACTTTGAAGGTAATGCAAGCTTTCACAAACTACTCACTTTAAGGAGCTATTTGTAAGTTTTGCTATTGCTACATAGCCAACATTAGTATTAACAGCTGTTTACTAAACAGTCTTGCCAAGAGCTTCAGCCATTTTTGCATTTACAATACAAGAGGTTATAATATACCCTCTGAGAAGCGCTACTTCAGGGTAGCCTGGATGCTACAGCGACTCAGTATCATAAAGTGATGAAACGGTCCAGGGCTAGCTGGTTAGCATGCTAACTTCAGTAAAAGAAAATGAGTGGTGATAGAATAGGAGCACAACAAGAGAGTTGGTTTCCACCACTGGAGGCAGCTCTTGGTGATGAATGAAGTTTGACGCTGAACTCGCAACATTTCTCCCAGACTGGTAAGTTAGTAAACAAGTAAACAGCTGTTAAAGCTAACGTTAGCTATGTAGCAATAGCAAAACTTACAGATAGCTTTACAGAATACTGAAGAGTGTGGTGCTACTGTTGCATTTTGTCATCCTCCACCTCTTTTCACAGAGTTTGTACGAATGATGTCTCGCTAAGATCATAAAATGATCGGCCCTGAATGTGAAGCTGTGTCCTCCTCTAAACGTGCCCAAGTACAACAGAGGACCTGCGAAGATCTTCTGAGCCATCCAAATCTGAGTGACACTGGAAATAAAACTCCTTGAATGTTATGGAGCAAGGAGTCACCTCACACTTTCAATCAATAAGTGTTCTTCCTGACAAGTCTCTGGTTCAAGTGAGGCAGAATTTGCTGTAGCCTAGCTAATGATTGTCTTATGTTTTTGCACTTTAATTCTCACTAAATGACTTCCTGTGTGGTTAGATTGCTGATGTCTTGTCTCATCCTCTACATGGTTAAAATAAGTGTCTCACAAAATGTCGCCTTTGATGTACAACTAAGTCAGGACGAGAGAGTGAATGTCTGTAGAAAATATGTAAAAGATCAGTGCACTGTTGGACATTTCAGTTCATTTTCACACAGTATGTGTTATATTAGAAACTGTAAGTGGAATGTCCTTTGTGTGACATTGGTGCTCCACCAAGGAACCCACGTGGCAATATCACACCTGTATTGTAACTGTGTGACCATCTGTGATTTTTCACTGTGCCAGTCTGATCCGATAAAAGCGTCACTGTCTGACAGCTACATGCAACGAAGAAGCAGATCTCTGATATTAATGAGAGACAGAAGTTTGAAATACCTTTCATACATGTTATCCTCTACAGTCTGAGATCAAGGGAAGCTGAAACACTATTTACAAGGATGCACAGCTCTCTTTCAGAACTTAAATCCTGAGGCCCAAAGTGCTCACTGACAATAGCCCGCTGTGGTTTGCAGCATCCTATGCAGTGTAAATGGAGCATCTCCAGACTGTCTTTCAATGCTCACAGGTTTGAATTCCTGGAGTCTTTAACCTAGCTTCGGGAACAAGAAATGTTTTTGTTTTATTTTTTTGGAAAATCCATATTGCCCTGTCTGAGAACATACAGTAGGAATGACATGTGTGAACTGTATTTACAGTGGATATGATTATGTTGTACCTGTACTGTACGTCACTGTCAATATGATTGTATTTGTGGTAACATTCCACACATCTGTGTTGTCGAAGCAATTTTTATGCATGCCAAAGAGAGAAATTTATTAAATTCAGTATGCACATTTGCATTTTTGTCTAACAAGGTAAACAAAATACTTTGCCAAGTTAACTGTAGAAAAATAAAAGGTGTTTACATTTGTGCCCCTTTTCCTGTGGAGAAGTTGTCAAAGAAAATACAGGAGCAATACAGTAGAAAATGGTTTTGAGTTTTTGATTCAGACATTGAATGAAAATATACTGTACATATTCAAACACACTGACAACAGCTTGTTTTGTTATGGACCTTAAGTTTCAAACTACCTCTTGATCTTTACTGTGTGTCTATGATTCCTGTCAGAATGTCATTATGAGCATATTAGCAGTGTGTGCTGACACTGAATGTCTTGAGGACAAACCTCCTCATAACATCTATTATTGATATGTGTCTCTGGTAAGACTGCAGGCTGGGTACATTTTCCCTGCAGAAAGACTTCATAACCATCACTGTGCAAGTCACCAAATGAAAATAATTGTAAATAACTTTACTGTGTCCCTGTGTGACCTTTGACTAATTCATCTTTGATGAAAGATTTGTTATACAACAAACATGATTGGTAATTACACATATTACAAAAGACATATTAGGTAGTGATACAGTATTCATAAATGATATCATAAAGAGATGCTCTTCTGCTTTGTTTGGGCAGCAGCGACAGAGAGAATTTACAAGAAAGTGCAGTAATTTTATTTCACTGTCATATTCCAGCTAAAACTATTTGGTATCACATGAGCAATTGTAAAATAATGTGGAACAGTTAACCTTTTAAAATACAGCACCCCGCCTGTGAGACATTTCAGCCTTGGTACTTTAGGTGTTTTGGTCTTTACTGGACTCAGTCTTCACACAGCCATGACAAATTATACATTGTTTGAAAGCTCAAAGTCTCCTGACTCTATCTATGCACAGCATTTTATGATCCCCATAACTCTGCAACAGCTGTTGACACAAAATTGGTTCAGGTTTATGGCTATACTGTAGCTTTAATGAGTTTTACAAACAAAAGATTTATTCCATTTTATATGCCAAAAAAATAGGTGAGGAAAAAAAAACAACTTTCTGCCATTTCTGCCATGTTTGTGCCTTTGTAACTTTGGTTCAATATCTAAATACTCAATCTTACTTTTTCAAGGTTATGACTGTAACCAAAACATTTGAAGAACAATAGCGTTTTTATTTTGGGTACATTATGAAAAGTGAAACTACAAATGAAAGTACAAATGAAAGTGTCTCATAACAGGTTAAAATGACCACAGTAACATAATATAAACGCTAAAATATTCGGTGCAAGACTAAGTTTTTCATCTAGCAAGAACACAGGAGATTGTTGCAGGCAGAGAAACACCCACGACGAAACTAGTAGGCTACATGCTGCCTCTGGGCCACTTCTGAAGAAACAATGTTGCAAGCAGCAGCAACAAGCTAACAGCAACACATGTTTGCACATCTTCTTATAAAAACAGCTTTAAACATTATGAATATGTTGAAGTTTTCAGTTACTGTATGGAGAATATTGATAAATTTACAACATCAGCTGCAGCAAACAATTAACATAGAAAGCTGTGTGTTCATTTTAAGAAAAGAGGGCATTTTACCGTATGTTTACCGACGTTGTGTCAGGTAAAAGACAATCATTGAACACCTGTCACCCTAGAGGTAATACTGTTGCCATAGCAACTATCTCCATTCATTCCTTTCAGTTCAACCCTGGAGTGCGCCGTGTGCGCGCTGCGTTGGACTCCTCTGATTGGACAAGAGTCGGACCATATCAGACCGGAAGAAGGAGGGGCGTGAACATAAGATTAATAAAATAGGCTACATATAATACATATATAAGATACATATACTACACTTCAGTCCCTTGAATAACAATGTAGGAATTATAATGTTGAAGACATCACCTTTTCTTGTCAGTGTCAGTAGAATTGACACAACCCAAGTTTTTACAAATACCTTTTTCTGCATTTGGAATAAAAAAAAGCATATATAACACTGTGAAAATCCCCTCCTTTAACATGTTGGCGTCTTTATTGAAGGGTTAACAGCAGAGATAACTGGTTAGGGTTAGGTAAAGGCTGGGTTTCAGATCAAGGAAATACATGGACTGGGAAAATAGACCTCACTTTCCCCAGAAACTACCCCAGAGCCTTGGGATGTAAACTCTCTTGTTTTTTTTAACTTCAGGCTTAAGTATCTCGACCGTGTAACTGGTAAAGTTTAATTTTTGGTTATTGACGCTTAACGTTAGGTCTGTCAGTCTAAAGCAGGGGGTGTGGACACAAACTTAGATTTCTGCCTGAAAGTCTAAACTCGGGGCATAAATTATAATATGTTCACTTGACGTGTTAAAAAGACACAGGGCTTCTTCCTGCACGTTTCCACCAATCAAGGTCAGAATATGAGCATAAAGTGTTTGCAACCCTCAAAATCTGTGACTTTTGATGTTCATGATGAACACATTCAAAGTCATTATTTGCACATAGTTACAAAGTAAGATGTGATTGGGTTGTGATATGAAATGGTGTTGAATGGGTCAGGAAACCTTAACAGGAAGACGTGATTCGACAGAGTATGTGTCACTCATTGGCCATGCGAAATCTAAGGTTAGGTAGCGCTGTTCCGCCTCCTGCTCCTGCACACTGGCAGAGCAAATGTTAGTTTGGATGCACACATTGAATGAAAGTCAGTGTAGCAGGCTGTGGCCACAAGCAACTGAGAATATCTGCACAGTCAAGTTATCCTACAGTTTTGAGTATAGGCAGCTGGCGAGACTGTATCAGCAGAGAGAAGCTTACACATTGGCAAAAGATAGGCTGAATATATTGGTGACAGGGGAAGGTAAGAGACATTTGCATGAACGTTAGCCGGGTTCTCACAGACCAAGTATTTCTGGTTAGATAGGTAGGTAGGTTAGCTTGCTAGCCTAACTGACAAACGTTACTCGCTGCTAATTTCTCGTTATTCTGTAGTATATGACTAATTATTACGTATGTGGTAACATTATGTCATGAATCTGTTAACGTTAAACTAGAATACCGGTTTATTATTTCACTGTCATTTTCTGGGTCTCTGTGATTTTGTGCTAATGCTACTGCCGGTATTGGAACTGTTAACGTTAGCATACTGGCTAACTTAAAGATATCACGTTGCATGTCATCAAGTCGAGCTTGCTAGCTCCTTACGCTAGCTAGATACGGAAGGGTTACTTCCATGCAGAAACTGAGTCTGTGCTGCATGCAAGCGGATACCAACACTGTCTGTCTCTGTGTCTAGGACCAGGCTGTGTGTGGCAATGCAGCGGGTCACGGCGCAGCTCGTCGCCGGGCTGTTCGCAGCGGTGCTGTCGCTGCTGGCAGAGCAGTGTTTGGCGGACGGCGGGGGCCCCAGCCTCGCTGAACGGGTTATCTGGGCAGTAAATGCCGGGGGTGAAGCACATGTAGACGTGCACGGTATTCACTTCAAAAAGGACCCTTTGGAAGGGAAAATTGGTAAAGGTGAGTTGATTTTATCAGCGGTTAAATTCTAATATGAGTCTTCGTGCTTTGCTGGGCTACACCTGTAAGGTGTTGCAGAGAGTGACATTGTGAAGGTAAATGCTGCTCCCCAGAGCTTGAGAAATTTCCAGCAGAAACCTCTGCATGGTATGGCTTCCGCAAGTAACCACAAACTAATGAGGAGTCAGCATAGAGGGCTACAGCTCCGCCCCTCTCAACATGTAGAGGAAGCAGGTGATGATATGATCTTATTGACTGTAGAGTCATTCTTGGCGTCAGTTATGAGGCAGAGATATTGTAATTGAAAGTTTGAGTGAACACAGTGTGGTGACTTGCCATTTGCAACAGAGAGGCACTGTATTTCACTGAGTGCAGGAAAAGGTCAAGGCTCGCCTAATGTGGTGCTTTGCTTGACGTAAAACATGATCAGTTTTCCAGAAATGCAGCTTTTAATGGGGTATTGTGAGCAAAGTGCACACACTGAACCTGATGCTGTTCTTCTTCGTAGCCTCCGATTATGGGGTGCGTCTGCCAATACTGCGCTCCAGTCCAGAGGACCAGATCCTGTATCAGACAGAGCGCTACAATGAGGACACTTTTGGATATGATATCCCAATTCGTGAGGAAGGAGACTATATACTAGTTATGAAGTATGCAGAAGTTTACTTCGCCCAGTCACAGCAAAAGGTTTGTCAGTTAATATCTCATTGTCATTCTCATCTCCCATTGTTTTTCCTTCATATCCAATATGACAGGAATGTAATTTTTTTTTGTTCTAATATACATGTCAGTGCATACTTGTGTTCAGACAGCACTCAAGGAGTTGTTTGAATACCCATAAGTATACTCTATTGATGGCACCATGAATGTTAGGCTGTGTGTGTGTGTGTGTGTGTGTGTGTGTGAATTAGCTGTTATCCACTGTTGATTTTTTGAATATGCTTTTCTAGGTGTTTGATGTCCGTCTAAACGGCCATGTGGTGGTGAAGGACCTGGATATCTTTGATCGAGTGGGTCACAGCACCGCTCATGATGAGATAGTGCCTTTCTCTATTCGACGTGGCAAGCTGAGCGTGCAAGGAGAGGTGTCCACTTTCAACGGCAAGCTCACCGTGGAGTTTGTAAAGGTGAGCTGATTTTATTTGAGTTACTTTAGACATTTCTGGATGTCATTGTTTGTGAAAAGGAGTGTCAGTCTGCTTATTTAGCTGTTAGATGTTTCATTGGCATTTGAAACAAGTTGATCCTGTTTAACCAGGTTAATCAGGTAGAAGTCAATGATATATTCTACTACAAATACCAATTTCAGGCAATCAAAGGTGCTCTGTGGAGTATTTGACTAGTAGTGCTATGGAGCAATGTTTACCATGAGTTGGTGCCCATTTTTATGTGTTGTGCACATGCATGTGTCTTACACACGCGCACATACACACTTATCTCTTTCCAATGGTTTCACTCTATTCAGCTGGTTGACTGTTAAAGCAAACATAGGTGTAAACATTTTTTAAATATTAAATAAAAAATCAGCTTTTCAAATATTTTATATTATATAACTTAAACATATCTTCTGCCTGTTTACAATGCACCTTGCTGAAGGAATTGCTCAAATCTATGATAATTTTATTGGTAGATTGAAACTGGTACACAATGAGGTGGCAATTAAAGATAGTTTTACATTCTGAGAACTAAAAGTAATTAAGATTTTTTTTTTATTTTGACATGTAAGAAAATGGGAATTTTGTAATTCTTTTTTCTCTCTTCTCTCTTCTCTCATATGAAGCAAACCATATATTGTGTGTATGTTAAGAGGTGCTCTACATGTGTAATGTTTCCTTTATTTTCTTTTTGCGGTAGTGTTTTATTATTTTGAGCTGGTAATAGGCTACTATGTGCAACAGACAGATTAGTAGAATAGTGACTAAAATATTGTTGCTTTAAAAAAAAATCCAAGCAAAAGTGAAAAGAGTCATCTTCTCTAGTAAGTAAGAATGTATCTATGAAAGCATTTGTCATATAAGAATTTCTTTAAGCACAAGAAAGTCAAGTTAATAATAGAAAGCAGAACAAGTCACTCATTTAATATTTCAACTCTTTGGAAGTGTTAGTCCGAACAAGTGAAATTGCCATCATGACTTTTATGGAAAAGTGAATCTTTGAGCTTATTCAACAGGAGGCTGACATATAAAATTGACAGCACATTTACATAATGAACTCCTCATCTGAAATGAGCTGTTGACAGCCAGTTGGAGTGTGTGGGCCATGCAAATGACTGACAGCAGATCCAAATTTGGTTGGCCTCTATTGTGTTTGTTTACTTGTCATGTGCTGCAGCTTTTAACTTTGCTCTCTAGCTCTCACCAAACTGCCTCTCTCTATAAATCATGTGTCAAATTCTCCACTATTCACCTCTTCAAGTTTGTGGTTGCTCGCTTTCATTTCCCCTTTTCATGGATATGATTGCGGGTTACTGTGATTTATGAAAGGACATTATGATATCCAAAAAATCTGTTGTTAGTACTGTATAAAAAAAGAAATAGCTGGATGGCTTTGGAGTCTGTAGCTTGGCCACAAATCCATCATTATTAATGAAAAGAGCCTCTGATGAGGTTAGTAATTGTTTCACTTCTTTCCTTGTCACATTTTATTCTCTGGTAATACATCTACCATGTCCAGCCACATGCAGAGGTAGTAGGTGTTGGTACTTTGGTTCAAGTGTCTCCCCTTCACATTATCCAACAGCCATACTCCTCTTTTTAGTCACTTCACACAACCTGATATGTATTACATTTCCCTTTATGGTCTCCTTGTTATCAATACAGCACCATCTCATACTATGATACTGTTTTTCTGTTACTAGTGGCATGACTTTTTATCGATTATGTATCAGTGTAGGTTAAATTTAATCTCCTGACTAAAGCCCATGACTATATTAGGAATATGTCATTGGCTTGACACATACCTGTTTACTTTGCCCATATTTGCACCACTACTTCCAGCACAGCAAAAACAGAGAGATCACGTTTGATTCTGGTTTGCATTTTGGGACCTAATCACAAATACTCATGAGCTAGCTGGAGGCAATATGGGTTTTTTTTTTCTTCTGACATGATTAGTATTCCCTTTAAGCCCTGGGTTCTAACAAATGAAAGATTTTGCTAGTGGGGTTTGTAGAACATGTGGCTATAGGCTAAATTTGTAGGATGGCATACTTCAAAAAAAAGTTTTTCCGCAGTGACCTCTTTCTTTTTATTTTTTGTAGATTACTTGTAGATTACTCTCTCTGTATTTTCTTTTTGTAAAAGGAGAAGTGGGACATACTGTCTGCTCTTTCTACAGACTAAACACAAAGAAGAAAGACATTTTTAATGATTGTTTTTGTGTCAAACTGAGCATCATAGTAAGATAAGGGTGCTCCAACCATGTTTCTTGAAAGCAAAAGAGATAATTGACCAATGAAACTGTATTTTCTTTGTTTCTTTGTACCTTAATTTTACCATTTTATTCAGCCTGACTTAGGGTGTTTTCACATATACTCCTTTTTAAATGAACCAAAGTCAGCCCTCTTAGATTGGACTAACAGAAAAGGGAATCTCTTCTTTTTGCGTTCGTTTGAAAGAGGACTCAGTTCTCTTTATGGTCCACTTTAGCTCTGAAGGGGGTTCAGTTCACTATGGTTTCTCTGGAGCTTTCACAAATGAAACAAGATGGCTGCTGCTATAATTACGTCTTATCCACATTCCTGTGGTATTTGGTTAAATTAGTAATACAATATAGTATTGTGTGTGTGTGTGTGTGAGTGTGTGTGTGTGCGTGCGTGTGTGTGCGCTCCATATGTAAAGAAACATGTTTGCAACAAAAATCACACCATCATTTTTATTTTTTTAATCGCAATATGAGTTTTATTCATTTATTTATTTTGTATATGGTGCAGCCATAATATATATGTGAGATCTGAGTTCATTTGGAGAGTCATTTTTGAGGGCGTAAAGGGACCAACATGCTCAGTCATCACCTCTCCACTGTGCTATTAAAACTGCAGTTTTTCATTCATAAATACCTAATATTATTTGCTTTCCTTTGGTGTTTGTTTTGTGTGGTGCTGATCTGTTTTGTTTTTCAGGGTTATTATGACAACCCCAAGGTCTGCGCGCTCTATGTAATGAAGGGGACATTAGACGGTGAGTCCTGAGACTGCAAACATACTGTAACCATTGGCACTTGGCATAAATACCTATTATTATATTCAGTAGTTTCTGACGTCTGGCTCAACAACATGGAAGCACTTTCATATAACAGTTGTAGATTTAGTAGTAGTGTTACATGCCCATGCTTAGACACATCCAAACCTCTGTGACGTGGACTAACTTCCCCCATCCTCCTTTATTTGACAGATGTACCAAAACTTCAGCCTCATCCTGGCTTGGAGAAGCATGAGGAAGAGGAGGAAGAAGAGGAAGATAGTGAAGGAGGCGAGGAAGGTGGGAAGAAAAAGGTCCCATCAGGTTCTAAGTACAGGGTCCAGTCAGGCCCCCGAACACCAAACCCATACGCGGCCGACAACAGCAGCCTAATGTTTCCCATCCTGGTGGCGTTTGGGGTGTTCATCCCCACACTGTTCTGCCTCTGTCGGCTGTGAGCTAAAACTAGCGGTCGAGGAGACGTCAGGAGGACAAGACGGACGTGAGACTATGAAGAGAGAGAGAGGGAGAGAAGGGGGGGAGGGGGTCAAGGTGACAACAGCAGCACAGGTAAAAACATACACACAGGAGAGAGCTGAAGGCTTTGAGAAAACCACGACGACGGAAGGAACAAAAAGAGACAATAACTTTTCGGAGAGCCACTGCAAGAGGAAGCAAACGCTGCTGGTGAATTGTACCGCTGAGGAGAGAAAAGGAGATGTAGGAAGTGTATGCTGTGCGCTTCTTTGTGAATGTGTTTCGCATCCACCTCTGCTGACCCTTTTGAACAATGTTAGTCATTTCCACTCAGAGACTGGGCAGGATTTACAGATGCCAGTCTTCACGGTTTGAAACCACATTTCAGCAGCTAAGGGATGCTCAGGAGTGATTGGTCTGGGCCCGTTTTATAAACTAAAAGCATTGTTTTGTACTGGGTGTTTAACACTCCTGCTCAGCATCTGGTCAGACATGTTACCTTCAAATTGGAAATGGTGCTGCTTAGAAATTGGTTAAATAGAATAGAATCCATGAGTCAAGACGGTTAGTGGAAATAACAGTTGCCATTTAAGAGGCTCCCATTTTTTTTGTGTCTGTCCACTGAGATCTAGTTAGTCCTGCGTTGACGTGCCATCATCTGTTTGTCATGAGATGTTGAAAAAAGAGAAATCGGTGTTGAACCAGCTCTGTAGCTGGAGGGATTATTCGTTGTGTGCCGTCTAACTAGGCTTGCCTTTTACATAAAATTAGGTTTGGTTTCACAAATTTGTTAAGGGCCATAAAAAGTCTCCGCAGCAGTGATCACAAATTGAAAGTCCTTGTTGGATTCTCATTTTTTCCAAGGATAGATCTGTTTTAAACTTCAGACTTTACAAGGTGTGAATGTTGAGCCTTTGACGGTTTCTTTCAGTAAGAGACGCCATACTTGCATTTAGTGAGAGGCAAAGTTTATGCTGTGAAATGCTAAAGTTACATTGCTGTATTTGAGGTGATCTTTGCCTTTTCCATTCATTCATTATGCATGCCTGCCTTTTTGTTTCACCAAAGAATGTCTTTTCTTTTTTTTCTTTTTTTTTCTTTTGTTAGAGAAGGAAAACTTGGTGGCCTGTTAATTTGACAAATAGTTTGCAAATTCAAGTCTGCGATGTCTCTGTGGCTAACGGTTAAACTGGGCAGCACACTTACCACATGAAATTGATAACAGCTGATTTAGTGGAACAGAGTTTTTCCACTTTTTTACATCAGTGGCTAGACCAGAGGGGAGAGTTGTAATTTTTTTTCTTGTTTTGTTTTGTCATAAATCTTTAAGTTTGATTTAAAACAGAATGCTGTGTTGACTCTGACGGGCCGTGATCTTCAGTCCATGTAACTGAGAGAACAAGCCGCTGCAGCTCAGTGTTAATATAATAAATCACAAGAATCTGTGCCAGTCCATGCACTTGTGTCGTACAAAGTCGCTGTGTGTGTACCACAAGTTCATCCACCTGCAGTAAGAGATGACAAAGCACAAACATCAGTGGAAGCAGAAAATCAAATGTTTACCAGATGTTCTAGATCAACATCTGTTCAAGTTTTCCACCTTCTACTTCTTCACTCAGCCTTTTCAGATCTGTTGTCTTAAAACGTTTTAATGTGGACTGTACCATTTTGTTAATTCAGTGTGAACTTTCAGTGCAATTAAGCTACATGTTCTGGTCCTTGAATTGATTGAACAAACTGGGGATAAAACGAAATCTTTGAGCCTTTTGTTTTATTTTCTACATGGCCATATTATCAGAGTCCACTTTGACTGTGTTTTAGCCTCAGCTGTTGGACAGTGATATCCTTTTTTTTTTTTTTTTTTTTTTTTTTTTTTTTGCTTTGCATTCTAACTGAAAAGCAGCTTTGTTCCTCATTTTTATTGGAGTTGTGTTGTGAACCCTGCTATTTATGTATCTAGTTACCTCCCTCAAGTGCTTAGCTCTACTCCAAGGACAATTTTGTAACTTTGCCTGTTTCACTAATGCGTCTTAAATGTCCCCCGACCCCTCCCCCAGCCAGTATTGCTGTTGCCATATGCAGTACTTGAAAAACGGTTAATAATTCAGGTGTTGCGGATCCTCCCTCACTCCTCGATTCTCCTTCCCATTTTGATTGATGGTGGGTAAGAAGTTAGTGCCAGAAAATATTCAGTCAGTTGTTGGCGGTTTTTTTGGGTTTCTGTTGTTTTTTGGGGGTTTTTTTGTTTTGTTTTGTTTTTAAAGCTGTAAACTCAACTCATATTTAAGACATATACGCACCTTTTTTTTTCCCTCTGAAAAGATGCAAAAAGTTCATTTAATTCAGCACCAAAGTCACCGTGTTCTGTTCGTCTGCAAGTCTACACAGTTGCGTGTGTATATAAGGTACAAGATCACACTTTTTATTGTGTGACACCAGTTTTGATCTCATCACTTTTGTGTTGTAGCAGGTGAGGTGTTAGGGTTTGTTTTGTTTTTTTTTCTCATGAGGAAGACTTTGTGGCCTTTCTTCTGGGGAGGAAACGGTTGATGGTACAGAGTATAAAAAAAAATTGAAAAAAATTTAACAGGCAGCCAGATAAACTGTCAGAAAGTCAAATAAATGAGATTGTGTCTGAAAATGTGGGATCTTCCATTCTATCATATATATAATTTAAATCAGAGTGGGGCTGATCTGGAGATATTTTATAATACGCTTGGATTTGTATGTTTGAATTTTTTCCTCAGGATCTGTTTTGTTTTTGAGTTTTTAAAACGTGATATTTTATTGGTGTGACATTTTGCACTGCCTCATGTATTTTAAAAATCGTCATTTTGTGTGTGTGCGTGTGTATGTGTGTGTTTGTCTTTGTTGCCTTGAATTATTGAATACAACGTGCTTTACCATCATTCGCCTTGAGGTTGCTCTTTTGTTGGCTTATATCAAATTAGCCCCTTTTTTTTTTTTCCTTCTCTGTTAAAGACACTTTTCAGGGCTAGATTTTCATTCCACACAAACAGATCTTGTTCGTAGTAAGGGTCAGTAGAATTAATAAATCTTGAATCTGTCGCTAACCTCAACTTTTCTAGGAGCAAAGCCAGTCAAAAACAAAAATGGAAAGGTTTGAGAGATCTGTGTGAAATGTAAATGTCCAGCACTTGTTGCAGACAGTCTTACCTTGTGTATTTCGCTCCTCACCAGCCTTTTACAGACCTGTTGTTGTCAATACATCTCACAGTTGAATGAACTGGAGTGGAATGAAGATCTGCTCTTTTTTTGTTTGTTTGTTTTTTCATGAGAACCAAAGAATTGCTGTTATTCCACCCAAATTCTTTAGCACAGTGTCCCAACATGACACTCAAGGTTCTTGTCTTTGTTTCTTTCTCTCACCTGGTGAAGCAGTGAACAAACCAGGGGAAGCGAACATGTCATGTCATGTCATGTCATCAGATTTGTCACCACTAATTATCCGCCTGCCATGACACCAGTCTTGAAGTTTTCATCCTAAAAAAAGAGTCGTTTTAATTGCTCTGTAATTAATGTAAATTTGTTTTCGAGATTACCATCTCACGCTAAATGCTTTTTTTTTTTTTTTTTTTTCTTCTTCTTCCTTGTGTCTCATTTTCAAAGCAGCTGAACATGTGAGATGAATTTAAACTGAGACAAATTTGAACAGCGAAAACATCAGTCAGCTTCGGCCGTCGTCCAGGCAGCAGACCACGTACACAAACAAGCGAGGCCTGCCACCGATCACACAGCGCGAGTGTGTGAGACAGTGAGTGTGTGCTTAAAATACGAGTCCTACTGTACAGATATACGTGTGTTGGGTAAAGAAAAAGCTCTTCTGAGAGCTGTAGGCAGCAGGTGGAGAGAACTGTTTTTGAGAGCTCTGGTTTTACTCAGATGTGGCGTACATCTGCAGAATGGGAAATGCTGATAAATGCTGTCTCTTTTTAATAAATGTGCTATTTTATCAGACTGTGTCGCTGCTGTTTTTCCATCCCCAGCATCCCTGTGTTGCAATTTGTGAGGTAATTTGGTATTTAATAGTATTCTTGCGTTAAATTTGATTGGTCTAATGACAAGTGCTGTGTCTGTATGGAATTATGCATCTGAGATGAATCCTTAAATACCTTGAAACTGATATTTGCTAAAAAAAAAACAAAAAGTAGCAGGGTCACAGCAACATGTACAGGCCCTTTGTTTATCCAGGTGTTGTTTTTTCCCCACCTTTTCCTACCAACTGAAAAGTTCTTTAAATAGAAGCACATATCTAAAAGGTGCTGGGAGGAGAATATTTAAAAGACAAACACAGCTGAACAAAGCACATCCACTGACTCAGGGGGCCACACACTTCTGTCAAGAGCTGCTGTTAGATTTAGTTTTAATAACCAAAGAATGACTCCATAAACTTACAGTATATCATATTCACTATTTACAAATTTATATATATATTTTACAAAACATAACATTTATAAATTAATAGATTTGACATTGAAGTGCATCATTTCCTTTGTTAGAAAAGAGTAATTCAGCAGATAAAATGTTTCCATGCAGAGTCACAGTCTCAGTTTGACTTCATCTATCTGTAGTAGAGCGCCATGAAAGGTGTGTGTGTGAGGTGAACGCCGCCGCCTCCGCAGGACACACCTGCTCCGGCCTGACCGCAGCCCAGGACCAAGCCCAGCTCCAGAGCAGGCAGCGCGCCGGCCACCCCATCCCCCCACACATCTCCGTCAGTGTCCTGCAGAGCGTGAGGAGCTGGCGGATCCCCCCTGGAAGAGAACACCATCCGCCGCATGTTCACCAAGCTGGGACCCCCTCCAGCACCACCTGCCGCCTCCTGCAGACTCTGGAAAAGGAACAGCAGATCCACCCTCAGCTCCACCACGTCGCCCCGAGACCACACACTGTACCTAAAAGGAGGCGAGAGACAACAGAGGCCTTTAGACTAACGGCTGCAATGAAGGATTTTGTGAGAAACTGAGCTAGTAAAAGATCACTTGGTGATAGGAGTTTTTACCTTGTAGGGAGGCTGCGCTTTGCCATGGACGGAAGCACAGGATGGAGATCCAGGTGCTGTGGGTTGGAGAGTTGAAGGTGAAGCTCGGCTCTCGTAACTGTCAACGACAAAATCTCCCTGGTGAGGAGAAACTCCACATTGGTTTCTGCAGGAGGAGAAGAAGAAGAAGAAGAAGAAGGAGGCAGTCAGGAGTCTGTCAGAGTCACAGTCTGGTTTAACACACAGCATTTAATGTCACAGAGCAGCACACACACTCATGTTAACCTCCATTCACACAAATCCCAGGGATCAGGAAAGAAATCTCCACCACAGAGGCGATGTTCTCACTCCTAATACCTTGTTAATCTGTCAGCAGGACATCTCAACCAGCTCAGGCTCATTGTATGCAGATAACACAATCCTCTATAGCTGTATTAAGCTATTAAGACACCCCCCACCCCAACTGCTTTCACTTCTCCAGCTTCTGACATTCCTGCACAGTGTCAGTCCTTCAACCCTAAGTGCTGGATGGGCTTTTCTGAGTGTAAATGGCATCTTAAGTGTGTATACAGTAAGTCTAAAGTCATTTTTGCTATTGAAGATAAATCTCTCCTCTTTACTAATCCTCAAGGCAACTGGATCATCCTCACAGCTCCTGAAGTTCAAACCCTTCAGCCTACATGTAGTTACAGTAGCTCGTACATATATATATATATATATTAAGCCATATTTAGTGGAATCAACCTAACGGAAATAAACTTCAGCCCATCAGGGCCTCGTGAGCGTCTCTATGTGAATCACTCCAGACCCAACACGACCAACAGATCTACAGTGTTAAAAAAAACAAAACTCATCAGGAGAAGGCATGGATCTGTTTAGTCTTACCTCCTCTCAGGCGACCTTGAATCCCTTTGACGCTTCTGCAGCTCAGTCCCTCCTGACAGCAGTGGTAAACCCGGCGGACGAAGCTGAACAGAGGTTTTCCTGGGAACACCAGGCCCAGGGAGGCCCCCGGGGAAAAGGGCCGCACACGGAGTTGCAGCACTGTTGCGTTATCCCCTGGAGCTTGTTGTGTGTTTTCCAGCCAAGGCGCCGCCAGCTCCGCGCACCGCTCCCGGTGCTTCTCCTCGACCCCCCGCCTCCACCGCCTCGACGCGTCCGTGCGTAAAGTTGCTCCAGATGATTCATCTCCAGCTTTCGGCGACTGTGGCACAAATCCCAGCGTGTCCACTGCGCGACCAAATACTCCAGTGTCACTTGTCAACGCCGAGAGAAGAAACAGAGAAATCCAAATGCAGCGCGAGGAGGCCATTTCTGTGAGATTTCTAAATCCTGACCTTTGGATCTTCACTGATGAATAACAGGCAGCTTCTGCGTGTCGCCAGCTCTGCATCCGGAGAGTTTGCTCTGCCTGCTATATACCCCACTGACAATGGGGACATCTCACCACTTAGAATTTCAATCCTTGCCCTCCTCACAGTCCCTGCCCCTCTTTTTTGTTCGTACCTTTAACCACCCATTTGCCCCCCGCTGCTTTCTTTTAATGCGCCTGCATAATGAGGCGCCCCGAAGAGCGCCGACCCCGTCCATTCAAATTCAACTCCTGAGTTAATGACTCTAATTACTCCATATTTGGATCATCAGGAACCATCTCATTTACAACACATGCGGAACAGAAACCTTCGGACACAAACATGAATAATAACATTTTATGAGCATGTGTTTGGCTTTTCAAACGGCCCTCAGCGCACGTCATCCCTCAGTCATTTTGAAACGAGGCGTTAAGCCTGAGGTGAAAACAACAGGCGTTAGATTGCAGGGTCACATGCGGGCCGCCGATGGCCCTCATAAGGCCGTGTAGCCCCTGTGGTTTTAAACAAGCATTTACAAAAGTAGCTCACATAAGACTTAAGATCATGTTTTCATTTAATGTCCACTAATAACGCAGCACAGTGAATCTCTTCCAGAAAAAAAAAAAAAAAAACTCTTCCAATTCAAACACAGTAGATCTAATAGGTGCATATTTAAATAACACTTTCTTGTTTCCAAAGAGTTGATTTGATATAAATAGAAACTTATATAAAAGCTGTTTCAGATTATTTTAGAAATGTACGTAACAAATTTTGCAGCATGTGCAGCAGGGAAAAGAATAATTAAATGCAAGTTAAACAGTATAAAGATTACATTTTAGTCCAAATTTCTTTTTTAAAAGAATAAATACAAATATAAGGAATTATTACATTTACTGCATTGTTGATATGACTGAACGGAGAATATGGGTAAAGTGTAAAGTCCGGAAGCTTAAAAATTGTAGTCGAGACAAAAGGTGTCGTGTTTCAGCCGAACAGAGATTAACTATTCTCTAACAAACATGAAAGTAACTCGAACTATGACTAAAACTTCACTGTAAACATAACTAACATAAGCCTTGATGGAAGAACTCATTTTCATAGCAAATTCATAGTAATGATACAAATAGAAAAGAAATAACGTTATATTATTCTGTGTTGGTTTTAAAGTTATTCACAGGACAAGTTCAACTTCATTAAATAATTTGCAAACCTGCTCCATCACGTCAGAGCAGGTTAACCCCGTGCTTCAGCAGTCTGTGTCGGGCCTTGCTGGGCAGCGAGAACGCGCTGTCCTGGTGGTTAGGGATGCCCGAGTTCCTCAGTGAACCCCCGTGCTGCTGGAAGTAAGTCTCCTGGGCCACGCTGCGGGTTCCATACACAGCAGCACCGGCACTCCTGCGGTGAAAAGGTCACACACATTTACATTTGAAGCATGTTTCAAGCACGATGGCGTGCGACAGAAGAAAGAGCCGATAAAGAGACGCAGAGCAACGATGGAAAGGTTTTCTGTTCAGTGTTCAGTCGTTGCAGTGCGATCTGTGCAAGTAAAGCGAGAACATTCAGGGATTGGTGGGATGTGATGATACACACGAAGAACTGACACAGCCCCCAACCCCCGACTTCTACTTGAGGAGCCATGAAAGGCACGAGTACCCCCTCCACCCCCCACCTCAACCACCATCACCACTACCACCACCACGTCACTGCCATACTGACCTGATAATAGCCTCCTGCAGAGTTTCAGTGTTACAGAAATGCAAGTGAAGAAGTGATGTGGCTCTGACAAAAGGATGCTCCGGGGCTCCCCCTGGTCGACCAGACAGGTTGGCTGCAGAGACACACAATAACAGCGGCACATTAACCTGGACAGGCATGTCTGCTGCACAAAGGAATGCTGATCACAGTCTCACTAATTAGCCGCTAGCTCATGCAAAGACAAATATAAAGTTACAAACCCCACCCCAGTCCCCAGGTGGACATGCCAGGGCTTTTACTCACTCTAGCAGAAAAGTGAAAACTGGGAAAAGACAGAAATGATCAGATGCAGAGGAAAGATAAGTATAGAAAGAGTCAAAGAGTATAGAATAAAGGGATGTATGTGAGCTTATTATGGGGGTCTTACTTGTCAGCGTGCTCTGGATGCAGTCAAAATGGGCAAAGATGTAGGGTCCTTGAGCGCCAGGGGCCCCTGGAGAGATGGTCCTCAGATGGGCCTCCAGTCCATTGAGTGACGCCAGGCTGCTGTGATACTGGATACGAACCATAAAGGCAGAATCAAATATTAGCATTTCAAAGGCAAATTAGCGCGCTCATGCACTTAAATTCAAATTCTACTGAGTCACAGCTGGTGGATTACAGAGGCGGACATTGTAATGTATTACATCAGCTGTGTCATGAAGCCTCTTTTTGTTGCACTCATCAAAGGAACTATGGTAAAGTTTGGTGCTCACAAGAGCTTCTGTATGAAAATGTGACAGAGATGAGAGAATTCCTGGTTATTAGCAGGGTTGCTTTTGTTTCTCACCACTTCCTCCATTGAAGCTGTGTCACTCAGGAAGTGAGGCTCCACCAGCAGGGCCAGCACCAAGCCTTTCACCCGGTGCAGGTAAAGCGTCATGGGGATCAGCGGACTCTCCTCTGGGTTGTCGAAAGCACCATAGCAAGGAGGAGGATCTCCCACCTCCGCCGTCTGACCTTGTGCTCTCCCGCTATCTCCCACCAACTCCTTATCGTCATGTGACTCCTCATTGCCTGACTCGCCCCCTCGGAAGTCAAACACCGTCCCACAAGCTGTGTCTCCCTCTCTTCCACCTCCATTGAAATGGGAGTTTCCTTCAAACACAGAGTCGTCTCCTTTGTTATGTATCTGGCTGTCTCCATCTCCGTTGCTGTGAAAACTCTGATAATACGATTGCTCCAGCGCTTCCTCCTCAGCTTCGTGGGAGTGTTTTCCATTTGAGAAAGGAGGCTCGGGGGACTGCGGTGGGGGGTGGAGTGGATCAGCAGCGCTCTGTGAAGGAGCTGGGCTAAACAGAGAGTTATCTGATTCTGACAAGCAAGGGCTGAAGGACATCTTCTGGGGGGACTGGGAGGGACCCGGATCAGATGAATCGGACTCAGTGGAGGCCATGTCAGATAAAGTTCTTGACAGGCGGGTCTTCTTTAGGGGACCGTCCTTGTGTGGAGTAGAATGGGACCTGGAGAACAGTTAGAGAAATGTTATTCAAACGTCCTGTTTTAGGCAGCCTGTGTAAGTCAAATACTTCCTGTGAACAAAATAAATGAATCTGAGGAGGGTAGGACGCTACCTCAAGTCTTTGTCGACAGGGGGAGACTGCAGGTACTGGAGTTCAGACATGGTCAGAAACACTGTAGTGGAGCAGACAGCAGCGCTGGAGGAGCTGGTGGAGCTCAGTCCATTGGGCTTCTGGGCCTAAATAAAAATAATTAAAAACAACTGGCTTCTCATTTTTCTTGTTAAAGGTATAGTTGAACATTTTGATTTTAACATGATTAATTATTATTTGATTTTATTTTATTTGGTGTCTGGTTAATATTTCCAGTGCAGAGAGTTAGATGATTCCACTCTCATGTCTGTACATTAAATATGAAGTGGTTTGATGGAAACATGTGACTGAATTTCCCAAACAGTTTTTGTTTTTGATTTAAGTGAAAATGAATAATAAAAATGTAAGAAGCCTGAGCCAGCAGCCAGTTAGCTTAGCTTGGCACAAAGACTGGGAACAGGGACAAACAGCTAGCCTGGCTCTGTCCAAAGCTAATAAAATCTGCCTAGCAACACATCTAAAGAAATAGGGATGTAACTCTGAATAGCATTTGGACTAATTTTCATGTCCTACCTTTGTGTACGTTTCACTCTCATGAACCATGACTTTCATTGTGAGCTCTGGAGACATCTGTGTGCTTACAACTCTGAGGAGGAGAGGCAGATAAAGGCTGGTTTTAGACTGTGCTGTATTTACAAAAACTATCCCAGTGAGAGTTGGATCATGTCAAAATGTCAGCCCACCTTCCTCTGAACAGAATACAGCCTGCTAACACTAGAGGGCAGCGCTGACAGGCCTGAAGAATGAGGGCAGCTTTGAGCAGCAGAAGTGGGTCAACCTGAGAACAAAAATTCAATTTGTCACCAGCTTAAAGTGCATAAACTGAGGTAATACATATATAACAGGATATGGATTAATAACTTCATTAGTTCAATTGTTGCACCAAGACACTTATGTGAATGTTGGAATATAATCATTTGAGTTGTTATGTCATCTATCATGTGACAAACCTGTTTTGCAAAAGCTTAAAAATTATGCCAAAAACAAGATTTGACTAAACGAGCTTGACAAGTAGGAGATTTGAATCATTATAATTTAACCTTTCATGTGGCTAACAGGCCAAAAGTATCCAGGATTGACTGGCATTGGCTTCGTGCACATCACAACTGTGTACTCTCGGTACAATAAATATGTATAAATTTGGCTCTGCATGTTTGTTAAGACATACTGACGGCTTACTCAATACCACAGGACATTGTGACACAGTCATTTCCTGTCAGAGAAAATCGATGTGCAGCAGCAGCATGAGAAAAGACACTCCAGGCTAAATGCAGAACTCTGACATCTTGTACATACATTGGTCGAGTCAATGGTCCTCAAACAGCTGAAGATGTGATGAAGCTCTGAGGATCCTGACTGCAGGTGTGAGAGATACCGCGCCCATCGAGCAGCCAGAGTTTCTCGACTGTTCAGCTACAAAACAAAACAAAGTTCAAATTACAACATGCAGAGTTAGACATGATATTTCTGACTTCAAAAATGTCCATGTATTTTTTTTATAATATACATTGGTTTGATACTGAATCATTGCCTTGTGATACTGACTTTCATTCTTTTGTAAATTGCTCTTAAACGTTGGTCCATGACTTTTATATCTGTGTCTCGAAGTCCTTTAAATAAAGAGACTCTTGGAGAACAAATCAGCCTTTCAAAATAAAAGACTATTGTAGAAGTATTTAGACAAGTGGAGACTGCACCTGGTAGCTCTGTCGGATAGAGCCGTTGTAGAAACAGAAAAGTTTTATTAGCTGATCCAGGAGCTCGCAGACACTGACGGTGGGAACTTCCACTGAGCAGCCCAGAGCCTGGGAGAAAAAAAAACACATATCCCCCAAAATAACCATCAAAGAGATTACCTCATATTCAGGACATAACAAAGTCATCTTGAGAAGTTGCAGCTGGGCCACCTGTGAGAGCACTCACCCAGAAGAAGTCATCTTTCATGTGGATGGCATACTTGTTGCGGCGCAGCCTCAGTATGCGTACGGGAGAGGAGGACAGCTCAGAGACACAGCGGCCCACGCCGGCGAGCTGTCCACAGAGCAGCTCCTGCTTGTCTATGGGTGTCTGGAAGAAAAAAAACATATGAAAACTTTAAGATAACTGAGTTGTAATCTGTCGATTTAAATGTAAACACACAAACAAGCATTGGGGAATCCTTATCATACTCAACGTAGATCCACCCACAACACAACCACACGTGTGACTTGGAACAGTTTGTGAAAGTCAAACCTCTTCAGGATAGAAGTAGCAGATTCCCTCTCTCGTGGGGTCGCCCTCTCCTGTGACCTTTGATCCATCGTACAGGAAGAAATTACTACACCTGCAAAATAAATACTCTAATAAATGTCTAAATTCTGAGATGTGCTTTTAGTTCCCCTACACATAAACTGGATAATTATTTATATGCTGGACAAAGAATGCCAAATGCCAGAGATTGTTGTGGTGCTCCAGTTCACTCAATGTCTCAGGTGTAGCAGAAAAACCTGCAGCCACGATCGACCGTGAAGCCAGCACATTTATTATAATGTGAAAGTCAGGGTTCATGTGAAAACCTTCATGTCTGGTTTACGTTAATAATGGGTGTCATCTCAGACCATCCTGCAGGCAGTAGCTTGTTAGACTGGGAGAAGACAGAATCAGCTGATCTCACCTTCTTATCAGCTCTGCCATCACCGACACAAAGCCCAGGAAAAGAGAAAAGTTGCTCAGTCATCAGTTATCTTCTGTCTATGTGTTCCTACTCCACCTGGCTGTAGGTAGCCTACACTCCGTCAAAAAGTAGGACAGGAGATTTCCGCTGCGGATCCGAGTCAGACGTTTCACAACCTCCAACACACGGCGGACTGTCAGCTGTGCGGTTCAGTCAGCAACAAGAAGTATTACGTTTTAAATCCCGGCTGTTGTCAGCCACTGTTTATTTTCTATTCGCCCCTGAAATGAATCATTGCGACGGGGCTAGTGCTACCTGAGGAATGCGGGTCAGTCACACTTAGTGGAAGTCATGTGAAAGTACGGCAAGTTCACTGGGACAAACTAGCACGCTATTCAAAAACGCTCGACAAGCCTGTAGAAACCAGAACTACTTAAGGTTTAAGTTACTTTAGTAAAAGTAGTGCTGGATAAAGTCCACTACAAGTAAATGTCACAATTTTACCAAAGCTTCAGCGTGTTACATTAGATTCTTACGGATGTATTAATGTGAAGGCAGCATTTCATAACTGATTGAAGTGATATTAACTATTTCACTCACTAGTTCAATCCAGATCATGCTTTATGTTTTATTTTGCTCAGAGAAAATAAAGTCTTGATCTTTAAAAGTATTGCTGTCAGACAAATGTTGTGGGTATTTACTGCAACATTTGCCTCTGAAATGTAGTGAACTAGAAGTACAGTGAAGTATATCATAGAAATACTCATTTAAATCAATGTATGAATAATATATAGGTAGCCTACAGTACTCTGCATTTACTTATTATGTAAATAGCCCATGATTATGATCATCCTTATGACGAATATTATTATTAGTAGTAGTATTAGTATTATTATTATTAGTAGTAGCAGTAGTAGTAGTAGCAGCACTGTGATTAATTAATCAGAAAACTGCATTAACTTGATTCTTTGGAAAATCTGAGACTGATTCATCCTTGTCCTGGAGTGAAATGTCCTACTTGCAGAGGCTGTAGTTGCAGGTAGTTCAGAAGATGAAATATGAATTTTGAATGTCATAGCCTAGATATAGGTATATGGAGGGACTATGATCAGGGTTAGGGTAGCTATACCAACCAACTCTGATCAGCAAATTCTGTTAATCTGAAAGGGGAGAGTAAGGGACTCAAGCCTTCATCCTTCAGGGGGAAAAGCAACTAAAAATGTACAGGCTTAAAGAAATCACAGTAAACAGATCAAATATCACCTGTTTAAATTCACGTTTCAGTCATTAAATACCTACATTAAATATCAATTAAAATGTTAAAATATACGGGCAGCACAGCTGAGCCATGGGAAATTTAGGGACTGTCACATTGACTTTGTGTGTCGCTATTCGTGGGCAACAGATACAAAATGAAGCTTCACTGTTCGTTTCTTCACTCTGAAGACCTGAAGCCATGATGAATCCTATTCTCAGTGATCGATTGAGGACGGCTGTAGAAGTTGACCGTGAACGCGCACAGCTCTGTCAGCCAATGGCTGAATTAAAGCTGGGTGCGACTTTTATCATCTACTCAGGAGAGAGACTTGTAGCTACATCACATCTATTCTGAAGGCAGGAGCCAAGTTCATGCCCCAGATCGTCTAGTGCATAAACTATAGGGGGGATTTGTGTTGTGTGACAAATCCGCCATTTTGAATTTGTCCAAACATTCGTGCAGGGCCGCGCGAGAATACATCGCAGCGTGCAGCTGAAGGACGTCCAGAATGCTCCGACTGTGACCTGCTGCTGGATGCACAAGGCAGACGTCCGCCCACCGTGAGCCTGGTTTTCAGCGACTGTCGCCAAGTGTTTGCTCACTTTGTTTGATTGTTGTGTCTCTGTAACTCATATTATTAAGAGTACGGTCTAGACAGGCTGTATACGGAAAGTGCCCTGAGATAACTACTGTTGTGATTTGGCGGCATGTAAATAAAAAAATACTTGACAATCCGAGAAGAGAAGAGAAAAACACACATTTTCTAATACATCAATTTGACCAGAGACTAGAGTATGTAAAGCTTTTTGTGAAGGTCTGGTTCACACAAGGCAAGTCAGCAGTTAAGTCAGACTTACTATGAAGCATTGTTAAAATCTGCCAAAACGCATGTTTATCAAACACCATAATTACCATTTTAATACCTTATAGGCCTACTAGTTGAGCCCTGTACATGTGTCTGGATCACATATCAGATATTGAACAAACAATTTTTATTGTCTCTAGGTAAGACCCAGATACATGTTCTACAGTTCACAAACTATTCTGTATTGTAATCAAGACATACAAAAATAATTAATAAATACATAGTAAAACACAAGATTGGGAAAAAAAAACAATAAACAAAATCAACAATTGCATTAATTCATAAATATATATATAAAATAATAATAATACATTGATTTTTTAAATATGACAAAATTGAATAATCCAAGACATTATAGGTTTTGGGTGTGATGATAAAATTGGTGTCATACCTTGGAGGAATAATTCCATTGCTAATGCAAAGGACAGAGTGGTCTGCTGCTGGTGACTGAAACCAATTTAAACTTTTGTCAAATTTCACATTAGCTGTGATTCCACATTTTATTACAAATATTTCAGCACAGTGATGTGGGGTTGGCCACAATATGTCCAAATAAATCTGTTCAAATCATATAGATGGTAGCAGTACAGACATATCAGAGCCTCAGCAGGGAAGTTATTAAGTGTCTGTTGATGTCCATCAGTCACAGACCTCAGCCTGTCAACAAGGCAGAGGATTTGTAACCAAGCATGTCATAATTAGGGCTTCTTTCATGTTAAATTGTCCAATTACTGTCTCCTAAAATTGTGGGAATATGTATAAATGAGTAACCATTCCTTCACTACTCATCTGATGTGAGTATAAGTGCTGTCAAACTAAAGCCATTGTTTGCTTCATTCATTTCAAATCCAGTGCGCTGGCGTACAGAGCCAACACAACCAAAAGTGTGTCAATACGCTGTAACTCATGTGATAATGGAATCCTCCTGGGGCACAGGGTTACACAGCGGCTCCACAGGGGCTCCACTTACAAGCCCTTCTTCATGACCCTCCTACACTGAGCCCTGCACCGGGCCTCAAGCCCGCTTTGGGGCAACTCCTGCCAAGACAATCCTGGGATTGACATGACATTTGGTAAACTAAAGAAAAGATTTTACAGTCACAGTCTGAGGATTGCATTAGATACCCTATGTGCTGTTGCATGTGAAGAGCTGTACAGTGCCATATTGTAACAAGGCATATTTTGACCAACTGAATGCCAGAATTTCATTAAGAGACATTGCTGCCAACAAGTGCTGTTAAATCCCCAACACAAACACACCACTCCAAGTGTGCTGTGGGCAATTCAAAATACTTGAATATGATATACAATGTAACTAAAGCTATTTATTACAATTGTCTGACCTTAGTAAATCAAATTTTGTTTTAATTTATAATAATACTAAGATAAAAACACAATCATTTTTCACATGGTCACAGTAGCTGCTTATCAAGTAATAAGATTTCTTTTTCCAGCTTCCTCATTTTTAGTGCTCTGTACGCCATCTGTTGGTCACGGTTCTCTATCTCCTTTTTGAGGTAGCGACAGTAAAGGGCCTTTATGTCTTCTGTCTGCCTCTGCAAAAGAAATTAAACAACACATGTGCTCATATTGTTCTTATTCTTCTTATTACTGCTACTGACACATAAACCTCACCTCTGGATTTCTGCCACCGGTTGTAGCACATGCTGAATCTGACCTTTCCTGCAGAATGCTACTGTGCACATCCTGCAGTAAAACAAACAAGTCAATATGTTAAGCATTAAAAGACAAACGGCTGAAAAAATGCACGTTAAGAAGCACTTACCCCTTCAAAATGTGTATCACTGACATCCGTCTCATCACCACTCAAGCTCTCTGGTTCAGTTTTTGTTACAGGCAGGAGGAGTACAGGGTGGCCTGACACTGTAGTGGTGGGGTCAACATTACATTAAGCCATGTGGTAAATTCCAGGTCTTTTATGAAAAGTGAACTACACCTACCACTAATAAAAGAGCTGTCAGATCCAGGCAGTGGCTCAATGCAGGCACCCCCAGGCAGGACCTCCACTCTAAGCCTGTTGTCTTTGTGCTGCAGCACATCCTCCTCAGCAGAGGTCAGTGACGGAGTTGCTGATCCCCCATCATTCCTCATTAGCTCCACCCTTCTTCTTTTTGCTGCATAACGATAGATCAGTAAAGTAAGTCATTCCCCTGGACAGTTTACAGTACAGTGCTGAAAATGTAACCAGCGGTGGACGAAGTATTCAGATAAAGAAAAGGAGCGATGACACACTGTGAAAATGCTCAATTAAAAGTAAAACCCCTGAATTCAAAAACATACCAAAGTGCAAGTAAAAATTTATCAGAAAAATGTAGTTAATGTACTAAAAATAAAATTAGTCATTATGCAACAGAGCGGCCCCTGTTGTGCAATATTAACATGTATTATTGGATCAATTTTCATGATGCATAAATGTGTAATTAGCAATTTAAAGATTTGGTAAGTGGAGTTGGAACTAATTTAAACAGCTTTTTACACCGTTGGTTGGTTTATAACAATGCATCATATTTTAAGAATGTATGTTTTACATGCAAAATCTTAATCTGCAAAATAACTAGTGAGTTTAGCAAGGTAAAAATACTGGAATCAAACGAATACTTGTCTGTGAAGAAATATGGTATTGAGTAACTGTTAACCACTGTTTGCAATAATACCTGTTTGCACTATATTTTTGTGTTTGACTTTAACTTGCTGCCATGTCCTTTTGTAGCCACTGTCCGATACCCTGTGAATTATTAAAAATAATAATGTTGTTAGGTGTCAGTACAGTTACATCATCAAAAAGTGCAGTTACATTACAGTGGGCTGACCAATATTATGAATTATATTTTGTTATAGACTGGCCACAGTTCTTCTTACGCATTGATTTTATCAGCAATTCTCTGCCAGGCTTCCTCTCTGAGTTTAGAGGCGCTTGTGGTGTTGGATTTGGCAGTCAATATCTCTCTTTCTTCTTCATACAACTTCAAAATAAGTTCCTGCTCTTTAGAGCTGAAAAAATGTGCCCTCTCATGTTTTTTCATCATCCGGAAATCTACAAAAAAAAAACAAGGAACTGTGAATGTAAATTCAGGAGTCAAAACCATTATTGTTTTTGTATAGTTTATTATGTCATTATATCTTGAGCTAGGTCTCCTCACCTCCGTCTGTGTTCATGAACTGTAGTGACATCCGGGTTTCGGCGTTCGATTGATTTCCCCTTAATGGCGGAGCGGGTACGCGCAGTTATCCGAGATGTTTCAATGCTAGATTTAGTAATCAAATCGTAACCCACGACGGTGAGACGAAATAAACCCGAGTTTAATCGATGCTACAGTCAGTTGCGAGACGCTTCACGTTATCAATAACGGTTTAAGCGACGGAACCAAGGAAAAAACGGTGGGTGTCATGAAGCTTGATATCGACGAGCTTTGTTAACCCTGGATTTTCTAATTCGGTTTATAGCGCGTTCACGTGAAAGAGGTGGAGTCTGTAACAAAGCGCGAGTCACGTGTAACAGGTCTGGAGCATCACGCCTAGACAAGATAAACCAGAGCCATGGAAATAAATAAACTATTGTTCGACCCCAAAATCTGGTGCTGATTCAGTGACTAAAGTTGTTATGTGGAACAACAGATCACAAGGTCACAAGCACACAGTTCAAACAGCACAAATAAGCATGCGTTATTTTTAATGTTTTGGTGATGCCACGTCTTTGACAGGTCCACGAGAATGGCCTAGAGTTTAATGAGTGTAAGACATAAGTGGATAGGACTCTTTCAAATAAAAATAGTTTGACATGTCGCAGTGGGAAGAGCACTAATGTAAACAATTAAATGTTTTCTAAATGTCATGAACCTGCTTCAGTTTCAGGCTCCCCCAGGAGTTTTCATGCAGCTGGTGTTTGCCATGCAGGCTTACTGTGACACTGTATAGAACTGACTGTCCATTAATGTTATTAGTAACACCTGTGCTTTTATTTGTTATGTCAAAATATATCTGCTGTAGAAAAGACCTCTTCAGGCGTTGCGTATTTTTCCTCATGAATAATATTTTTTGTGTAATGATCAGGAAAACATGAAATTAGTAAAGGATACAATGTGGTGCAGTGCACTTAATAGTGGGAAATACATTATTCACATAGAGAGGCATTATGTGGAATCATCTGTATGAGTGGGAGGGTATGCAGTAGTATTAAATATCTAATAATTTCAATTAAATTCAGCAACATTCAGGTATATCTAAGGGTGAGATTGGTTATACTAAGGGAACTTGTTAACCCATACAGTAGAGCATAGGCCTTTTTCCACAGCAGACACTTGTCAAGAGTAGGGGAAGCCCAGGTGTTAACGGGAACAATGGCTCCATTATACTAACTGCACCAGTTGGAGGCCCTGTGTCAGAGTGACCCAGTATGAACAACACCATGACCCTGATTCTGATGCAACTAAATGCAATTCAGTCATCATTCTTTTAAAGTTTTTACATCTGTGTTTTTCCTATAGTGATGTGTTAAAATGTCTTCTGTGAAAAAGGCTTATTCATATAAACAATAATTTGAGAACCTTGAATACAAACATCAAAGCAACAGACAGAAATAAAACACAAATTGAGGTAATAATAGTTACTTTATTTATGTTAATTCAGTTTAAGCGGACATTGTGTTTAATGGTCCAGAGCAAAGGAAACTGTTTGGGTGCCCCACGTTGAAGGCACAGAGGTAACCAAACAACAATTAAAAGAGTAAACTGTGAACGTGAGTGTGGTCCAGTAAGAAACAGAGGGACTGGTCCCAGTTATGAGGTCTGGAGGGAGGGTTTACTCATCCATATCCTCATAGCCATCAGGAAGAGCATTCACATGTGGGTTGTGGAAAAGGGTTTTTTTGCCATCTCCCCAAGGGAAAGGCTGTAGGAGTAAAAAAACAAGACAACACATAATTAAGTCAAAATACTGATAAAAGTGTCTCTTAAGTCAGACATTTTGGAAAGTGAATTATTCTATAAAGTCAGACCTTGGTGCGAATGCGAAGGTGGCTGTAAGGGATGAACTCTGGACGATCATGGCTATGTTGCTGTTGCTTCAGGTACATGTTCAACATGCACACAGCAACACCAGGTATGGCAACCAGGAAACTGAGCATCCTCCATTTCTCAGCTGAAGGAGAAAGACAATAATGATTTGTTTAATGAACAATTATACATCCAAACACTAGGCTTTCTGAGAATTGAACAGCAGGAAAACAAGGTTTCTTTATGATGTTATGAATCTGCACTTACCTTGTACTCTTCACCATGACTAAAATGTCAGATACCACCATTTTTTTGTCATTGGAAGCAACTATCCATAACTATACACAGAGAGGAGAGGATGAAGCTTGGAATAACCTACACAATTTACAGCAGATTTATAAATCCTGATTTAGCTTTTAAAAAATTGGCTGTCAAGATGGTATTATGGTGGTGAGTTACCAGATTCAATCGCTGGCCTCCAGGTTGAACTACCTGGACTGACCCTACTAGCCATGGGTCAGTAAACGCAGTGTCCTTTCCAGCAAATGCTAAAATCCCTTCCCACACACAGCTGAATGGCCTTCTGATCAAGACTTTGCACCCAGTTTACCACAACAGCTTATAGACCCCCCCCATTGTGCTGTGTCATATCATGCCACCTTGACATGCTCTTAACTTAGGTGACGTTTAATTCCTAGCTATTAAATCTGCCTTCCAAAGTTATGAGTATCCACTCTCTATGGTCATGCCCAAAATTTCAGCCATTTTGGAAAAATATATTTGAATTTTTATCAGGGGCTTATGCTGTCATATTGAAGCCAGACCCATTGATAGGTATTTTGGGTGCCACATTTAATAAAGCTGATAAATGTCAATCACAGGCAGTTTCATTATGTATGGTATTAGCAAAAAAAAGGCTATACATCAGAAGTGGAGAGAGGCACTTGTGCCTACCTTTGAAATAAGGCTTGGGGAACTGAGCAATGTATTACACTTGGAAGACCTGAGATATCATTTAAACAAAAAGTCAGGGTTATTCATGAAAGTTTGGAATCCAATTAAAAACCGTTTTGGTAATTATTGGCCAGTGATCTTAATATTTATAAAGTCTTTTTATTATGCAAAATGAATATTACATGTTTGTTTGTTTGTTTGCTTGCTTGCTTGCTTGTTTGTTTGTCTGTCTGTGCCCTGTGTGCCTTGACTGTCCCAAGCTGCTTGTCATGTATTATCTGGTGTGACATACACAACATCCCAAGTTTGTAGCATTTTTTATGATAAAAATGCCTAACCTTCTCAGTTTACAAGGAAGTTGCATCCTCCATTAGGGGGGCAACAGATAGTTTTTCCTTTTCGCCTTGCAGTTTGCCCTCTTTACTGTTTCAAGCAATCAACAGTCAGTGCAACATACTTAGAAATTATTAAGACTTTGAGTGCATTGAATCAGTATGGTTATTACAAAAGTACTGTCATCGTTGTCCCAAGTTGCTGTATAACTACTCATGACAATTTCATGCAAGTACTGTTTGTCACAGGACTTTTATTTGAACGAACTGTCAAGGCTATTGAATGTTTGAATGGGTAACCTTGTTATGAAAAATAATAAATAAATATTGAAAAAAAGAAAAAGTTATGAACATGTCACTTCCTCGGTATAATTAGTTTGAGCCTTACACTTAGTAAAAATGATTACATTCAATTTACTTCTGCTCATTTTCTTTCGGTCTCAACTATATCAAATGAAAAATTAAAAACTGAATATTTAATCTATTTTTCTCTAACTGTAATGCATTTATTCTGCTAGTGATAAACTATTGTAATCTATTCAAAGTTACCTTTCACCCCTCTGCAATATCTGCTCGTATCCTGTGCCGGAATTCTTTACCTTATTTGTTTTTCCTTCAATGACTTCTTCTGTAAACTACTTTCATAACTTGATAAAAATTGAGAGCATATATCACTAGGAATAAGAGTACCCAGTGACCTGATGTGACAGTGTTGTTGCTTAGCTTGCAGAAAGTGTTATTCATGACACTACTGAAATTTCAAGCCATGTAATTAACAAACTTTAAGTGACAACGCTAAGACTTTATGAGTATAAGTGTTAATGCTTGTAGGGGGTGACAGACTGATATTAAAATGTATTTAAGGTAGAAATTAGCTTCTTCTACGCACTGTCCGCTCAAGGGTGTTCAGATACTGCTAATGCTAAGAAAGCTAACGCTAGCCCAGCAAGGTCACCGCCAAAGTATAACAAGTTGTTCAAAATATAAATTACATTAAATACAACCATTGAGTTGTAATGAGGTGGTACAGTTACCTAAAGCGCCGTGTCCACCACCAGCAGAAGCAGAAAGCTGGCGCCGGGCCTGGGTCAAAGCAGACCTTAGCAACACTTGCGAAGTACGTCCGAGAGCCGCCATTTTCCTTTCTGAGAGACGATGGGACCGGAAGGAATTTTCTTATAGAGGTGTCACGTGGGCCTCCACAGCTTGACGCCTCTCCTTCGCCCCCAGCGGTGAAACCAAGAACTACAGAGACTATCTTTGCTCAAGTTTCTGTCTCTCGCGGGACTTTTATATGAAAATTTGGAAAAATTATGAAACAACACCAGAGGGCAATGTAGTGTAAGAATGTAAATTTAAGTTAAGTATAAACTGTACTCAGTATTTAGTTTCAAAGATAAGATAATTCTCTCTTTGTGGAAAAGTACTGATACCAAGTTGTAAAAATACTCCATTACAAAGTCATGTGCTCAAAATCCTCTAAAAATATTATCATAAAATGTATTTACAACACCAAAAGCAAAAGTCCACAGAAAACTGGTTCACAATTTTTAATATTGAAAATTTAAAGAGAAAATTGCATTTTATTCTTGAAGCAGCAAGATGGAGCTAATTTAAACTACTTAATGTATAGTTAAGCACTGTAAACTAGTGCTGTTAAGGAAGTTTAGTGTTTCTCTTTAAAGGGGAGGACTTTCTGTGATCTCATGGTCAGAGTCCAACCAGAGAAATCCAGAGATAATCCGGATGATGAAGGTGAGTGATGAAAGTTCAATTTATTATAGAGTCTATAAAGTCTTGTTTGTTTTTTGAAATGTCTTTGCAGTCATTATTGTCAAAATGCATAGAAATCCATAACTGTGTAGAAATGTGCATTAATCACTGCACTGTCATGCATGTTCAAATGACAGTGAATTATACACTGAATAGTTTATACATCAATGTGGACAATGCTCTTATATCATAATTCACTTGGTGAAGCGTCTAATTAAATTTGTTGCATGTTAGTGTTATACATACGTTATATACTGTATACAGGATATAATGGCCAAAGTTTATTTATTGAGTCGTTAATAGTTAACATATTAGGCCTGAAAACAAACAAGTGAGATTTAGCTGATCTCTGATTCGCCATTGCTCTCTGAGAATCTCAATTTGTCTATGGACTGAATACTTTGATTATTAATTACAAGATGTTTTAAAGGTTGCAAATAATAACATAGTATTGTACTACCAGCATTAGAGAGCCTAAAAAAAATCACTTTTACCAGATGAATCTGATCTCTTTCAGTTATGGACTATCAGTTCCACCAGTTCGGACCACCTGATAACAGCTCCCTAAGTGGAGAAATCAAAATCACTACACAACCAGGTACAACATGTACATGTCAGCTGATTTTGATTCATGCTTTAAGATGTTGCCTTAAACTAAGAGAACAAGACTGTCACTGTTTTGAAGGTATGAAGAGGATCGTGGCGTTTGTCCTGTATGGCTTCCTGGTGCTGTTGCTGTTAATTCTGCTGATGGTCACTGGGATAAAATGTATGACTTTACACTCAAATTGAGCTGGGTCATTCATATACTGGATTGTTACACAACAATTATAATATGACTATTTTCTTATCTCAAAGTTTCCCAGTTAAACAAGGAAATCACTGATGTCAAACTTCACCTTGAGAGTATGAATCATGCAGGAGTATCTTCACTGTCCAATTCGGGTGAGCACACAGGTTTTCAGGTCTGGATATATTGATGCAGCTGCATGTTTGATGCCCTCTCTTAAAAATGTTTTTGTTGTTTTAGTGGCTTTCCAAACTGCAAGTGAAACAACTGTACAGAAAGAAGCCCAAGTTACAGGTAAAACCTGAATACTTTAATATCAATAAAATCAGAACTCACTATTTTTTTGCCACTCACACTGTATGACTTGTCTCAATCTTCTCAAACCAGGAATATGTAAGGATGGATGGATGTCTTTCAGGGAAAGCTGCTACCTGCTGTCCACCACTGTTACTACCTGGATCAAAGCACAGTCTCTGTGCATAACACAGGGAGGACACCTGCTGGTCCTCAATAATGTAGAGGAGCTGGTGAGGTTTAAGTGTTCTCCAGTTTGGTTCCACATAGTTTCAGTGGCGCTGGCAACTGGTTATGATTGTACACAGGCCACTGATAATAAGCACTTTTACAAGTGTAACAAAGGTTTTAAAATAACCTGTTGCTATCTTTTTTATTTCTAGGACTACATTTCATCAGTTGTTCAGATCTATTCCAACTACTGGATTGGACTTGTGGAGCGACACCAGGAGGGACACTGGACCTGGGTGGATGGGACTGACTTCGCCTCAACCCCAACGTAAGAGAAACACGAAGCTGTGAAAATGAAAAGCACAAACAAATGCTTGGGAATAGAAGTCATCATTGTGTGTAACATAATTATGTCTCCTCCCTCCTCTGTGTGCAGTTTCTGGGATGAAGGTCAGCCTGACAACTGGGCCTTCAGAGAGAACGGAGAGGACTGCGGGCAGCTTCACGCCTCTGACCGACGCAAACGCAAGAGGTGGAACGATGCAGACTGCAGCCTGCAGTACCAGTACATCTGTGAAAGCAGGGCATGAGAGACAGCGGACCTCTCTGAGCTGCTGAGCCCACACCAACATCACAGGCCTGATATGTTGGGGGGAAAATGGCAGAAATTAAAACGGATGCAAATTATGTTTCTGATATCACTTTATAATTAAGAGTGTGGATCACAAAAAGCTGAAATTTGCATAGACATCTTTGAAGCTTTAATAAAATAATGACTATGATTACAATAGCCCTTTTCTCCTTTAGTGATCTTTAATAAAAAGTCACTCTTAAATGTTGGTGGTGAGTTTCTTTTGACTGCGTATCCCTGCATCCCTCGGCTCACTTGCAGCGGTCACTGGGAAGGTGGGCATTTCCTTCATTATAATCTGCCTTGGCAAAGCACAAGGCTGCTTTCCTGTCACACTCACAGATGAACGTCTCGCAGGCGTTGTTGTTATCTACATGACGAAGACAGAAGAGAGCAATACTAGTGTTAGGAAGAGAATAAAAGAGGTGGAGACAACAATTCTTGGTCCATTTTTACCTCTGCCAAGGAGGTTATGTTTTCACCTGTGCTTGTTTTTTTTTTTGTCAGTAGGATTATGTAAAAAAGTACTGAACCAATTTGCACTGAACTTGGTGAAGGGATGGGACAAGGGCCGGGGAAAAACCCGTTACATTTTGGGGCAGATCTGGATCATTTACTATGAATTTTTTCTATGAAGTCTGGTGTATGTTGTTTGACACTGGCCTTGGCAGAGGTCTGTGTTCTCTGAGTGCCCTTCTAATTCTAGTTTGTTAAACACTGATTGATATTATAAACAAGAATGATGTAGTTCCTTGTTTTTCCCTCACAGAAAACTCAGTAGCTAGTCGGTAAAAGTTGCCGTGTTTAGAGGCGACATTGTTGTCCGACACTCACTCAGACAGGTGATGGTCTTGCTGGCCTTGTCACATCTGTAGCTGTATATTTCAGTGTAGGGATTGTCGAAGATGGGCCAGCAATCGTCATGCTGCATGGCTTGACTGTAGCACTGGTCGTGCACCTGACAGCACCTACAAGATACACAAAGCATGAGGTGGTCATTACAGCACGTTCTGCATATCAAGCTGAAGCTGCAGAAAAACACAGTTAATTTCACCATCTTTTGGAAGCTTTAAATTAACATCAGGCGGCAACTAACAATTACTTTTTAATTATCAATTAACCCGCCAATGAATTGTTCGATTACTAACCATTAATTCATTAATTCACATTGCAATTTCTCAGAATCCAAGGTGATGTCTTCATATGCCTAGTTTCCTTTGAACAGTCTGTTGTTGTCACTTTTCTATCGCAAAAGGACTAAAACAAGCAAATATTCACACTAAAAAAGCAGGAACCACTGACTTCATGGCCATTTTGCTCATAAAAAATACTTGATTTATTGAATAAAAATTGCTGATTTTGCTGATTCATTTTTGTTGATTTACTATGAAAACTTCACAAATGTTTCAAGGCATTTAGCATCAAAAACTAAATTCCATTCAGCTGTATTGTCTCTGAGTGACGGCAGGACGTCTCAGAGATAGGCATCTCAAAACCTGAGAAAATGAAACTAAAACTATCTGCATGTCACGATACCAACAGAGGGGAAGTCATAAAATATTGTCGACCTTTTAAGTTTTTTTACTACAGTTAGAGGAATGTTGGAGCTGAAGAATCGAATCATAAAAGCACAACGCAGAACATGAACCAGAACAGCAGAGGAGTGTTTCTGTACCCGAACCCTCACCTGTCAAGCTCATCCACAGGTGTGCCGGAGCCTCCCAGCCCACAGTAGCAACCATAGTCAGTGTAGTCAAGCAGCGGCCAGCTGTCAGGTAGAGTGCAGATGATCATCGCCCTGAACTGCCACAGAGCTGGGTAACCCATCACTGTGGGATATGATGGAGAATCTCAGACAAAGCAAAACAGCCTTGCAGTACCTCACAAGAGATAAAAATATCCAGGAATGAGAGCTGTCATGGCAGAGACATTTAAGCACATATGGGTTGGGATGCTGAGGAACAGGACGAGCAGGGAATGAGTCATGTGTATTATGCAGGTTTGTAAAGCTTAAAGCTTACATTGACGGTTGACTTTGAGAGCTGGTGCTTTTTTTGCCAGGAGTCTCCCAACCTTCATACATTATGCAATGCATATAGTGTATACCTACACATACACAAACAAGAGCCCCTCATATACATATCTGGTTCATTATTTTTGTGATGTTGTACTATTATACTATAGATTATTTCCTTTTGTGTTAACATAAACACTCAACTTGAGTAACCTGCAGTGGAAAGTCATGGGAACTCTGACAGGTGCCAGCTATTGACACAGCTGTCGAGTTATTCTAAATTCAACTTCAGTCTAAACTCAAGTGAGCACAGAGTGAGCAGGAACAAATAGATCAGGGAATATTTGATTAGCATAGGATAAGATAGGTTTTGAAGGGTTTGTGGGAGGCAAACCTGAGATCATCTCGACATGTTGTATATCCTGTGGATATGTTTGAAATGTCTTATCCTACACTGTGTGGGAACAGACTGAATTTGACCAAAAGCTTCAGCTACTGACAGGATGAACAGGGTATTATTATCTATTATTACAACTCATTATCCTTTCTATTTCAATAACATGAACATCAAGCCACATACCAGAGCACAATACACTGTGCATCTGCTTTTTCTTCTCTCTCAGGATTCGGTTCCACTTCACTACTGATGGTCAGGCATAAAACAGTCACTTGACCAAGACATTTGGCATTTAGGGCACAAGTGGAGACAATAGGAAGACACAAGCTGTTCCCTGGGAGTTGAGCTGAAGAGACAAATTAGTTTCATGTAAATGAAGAGGGAAAATACAAAGGATTTTATACATGAACAAGGCCTGAACTGTCAGTCTCCTTGTTCGTGTTTTCTTCTTTCTACTGCTTCTTCACAGAGATACTCAAGTGAATGTAGCAGTGCTGCGATATAAAAACACTCTGTTTTGAGTAAAAGTCTTACATTATAAGCAAAATGTACAAGTATCAAAAGTAAACTGTCAATGCATTAATGTGGAAGAGGCATTTTGCCGCTACAGTGAGGCAGAGTTTTTTTTCATAACAATTTCATACTTAGTTTGGTCATTTAATCATAACAGAGCGTCACATTTTCTAAACTAACCATATGTTTTAGTGAATAGTAACAACACTTTATCTGCCTTTGAATCTTAGGAGTACCATAGAAGTATCAAGTAGCACAAAATAAAAAGTGCAAGTTCCTAAAATGTCTGCTTAGGTACTGAAAACACTGAAATAAAGTAAAAACAAAATGCACAGGTCACCTAAAGCTCCCACCCCCTCTTATCTGTAGTTGTCTCACACCTCCTGTGATATAAGAGACTGCAACCAAACCTCAGGTTCTTATGACTGTAGCCATGAATCTGTCAGCTCCTCTGCTGCTGTTTCTCTCCGGTAAGACTGAAAAAACAACTGTCAATATGTATCAATCCTTTACAGCGAAGGGTGCATCTCTCTACCAGAGTCCTGTCACAGTTTATCATATTTGTATGTTTTGTATTAGGAGACTCATTTTCTCCTGATTCGTTGTTTATTTTACTGCCTTATGTGTCTCTACCAGCTTGTATGGTCAGTGGCGGTCAGCTGCCCAAGGCCTTATGGCAGTTTGGGATAATGATCCAGTGCGCCCAGCCCGATGTTAGCCCTCTGCGCTACAGCGATTACGGCTGCTGGTGCGGCTTCGGGGGTAGGGGAACCCCTCTGGACGAAGTGGACATGTAGGAAGCTGTCACTCCCCAATTTTACCTCTCAGACATCATCCTTAAAACAAAAGACACTTGGGAAACTTTCTCGATCATTCCTCTCTAAACCGTTCCTCTTGTATTCTCAGGTGCTGTAAAGTTCATGATAAATGCTATGAAAGAAGCAGAAAGACTCCTGGATGCACGGCCATTGCTGACCTTCCCTATGTTCTTGTTTACGACTTTGCCTGCTCAAACCAACAAGTGACCTGCTCAGGTAAGACTGGCATAAACTGATACAGATTCATGCCATTTTCACTGACTTTCTCACTCTTCCTGATGAAATTCAAGGACTTCAATTTGAAATGTCCTGGGATGAAACTGGTCAAAATTATACAATAGGTTTAATTTTCCAATTTAAAACTCTGGATGGGAAGAGCTGATCCTAGAGCATTTTCTGTTTACCCTAGGCAGATGATATAAATATTGATATATTTAGTTGCCACATTTTAATGTTATTAATGTTAATGTTATTTTTTTTTTCTATAACGGTTGAAGGTACAGAGTTGGCAGAACTCAGTGAAAAACAGACGGTAGATGTACTGTAAATAAAATGAAGTAAACAAGGCCGCATTTATGGGCCTGAGTGTAGTGTGTATATATAGTAACTGTATTTAAACAGCTATATATAGGCATTACACAGCCTGGAATTGAGGTCTCCCGCTCCTGTATAGCACCTTCACACCGGCATTTAGAGAACGTGACCAACATATATTTAAAACGTGCCTCACGTTTTCTTATTACCTGTTTCTCTACAGCTGCCAACAATAAGTGCCAGGCTGCAGTGTGTGAGTGTGATCGTGTGGCCGCTCACTGCTTCGCTCAGGCTACATACAACCCTCAAAACAAGAACCTGGATCCCAAAGTCCACTGTGTCAACTGAGTTATACAACCTCCCACAAAAAAATACAAGAGAATGGTGGATTGGTAATATTGTTCTTTAAAAAAATTGTTTAATTTCTCCATGATTTTTAAATAAAACCTGATGTAAAAGAAGTTGATTTTGTACAAAGGCGTGAGTTTAATAGAGAGAATAAAGACAGTGAAACTCATGTTGCCCTCCAGTTGAATTTCACCCTCTTTGTGCCCTCATGTCTGTTTGCTCACACGGGGAGAGCTTCTGCAGCAGAGGTTGACTTTTTTAAAGTTTACTTAACTAAAACTTAACTTTAAGTTTTACATCTTACACAACCAACGTCAACATCGTCTACTGACACATATGGATTAAGAGACCTCATTTGAGCCTTTTTTTTGTTTTACTGATCATAAAGAAAGAAGCTTTAGTTCTAGTTATGCGTCATCATGAAACATCATCTCTGTGTGGCGACTAAAATTTGCACATTTTCAAAACACGAGATTACAACATAGGTAAAAAAAAAAATGTTTTAAATTGATATCAGGAAGACATTTAGTTTCCACTTTAAACAAAACAGTCCAAGTAGCAGCTGTGAACAACAACAGAAAAACTATCATTCCAATACACGAGGCGGGATCGTGGCTGTGTGGATTATATTGGCTTGTACAGAAGAGTGGTCACATACTTCTTTTTGTATCGGTGTGTTGCACTGAGAACCATCACCCCGTCCTAAAACACAACCACAAGAGGAGCATTTACATACAGATGAGGCTTAAAGCTGAAGTTGACACTATACAAGAGGAAATTGATTACCCGGGTGAAACGTTACAATGATTGTGATTATTGGGAATACAAGCATTAACATTGTGCGTATACAGTACGTTGTCCCACAGTTTGATCGAAACCCATTAGGTGTTTAGATGTTTTATCTGACAGATGGAGGGGTTGATCTATAATTTCCCCCCTCGCACTGTGAGGGACAATAATTTAAAAAAAAAAAAAAAAGCAAATATATAATAGGAGGATTTGTTACCTTGATGGAGAGGGCGTACAGGTGATTAAGCATCACATGGTTAGGCTCCGGAAGTAGCGTCGGGTCACACTAATGAAGATCCAGAGAGACAGGATGAATTTCACTAAACTGCATGTTGTGGTGACAGGTTTGTCGAGTGGTGCGTGTCATTAAGACGAGCATGTATTCCAGCATCAAAGCCGTACTTACAGAGACACCTGTGTCCTTGTTGAGCAGCACTTGCAGCAGGTGGGGAGGTAAGATAGGAGGGTGTTTGATCTTGTCTTCTGATTTGGTCACATACGCGTCCTGTTGGTAGGGGCCGGGTGGGGAACTGGACAAGTCTGGAAAGAACGATCACATTAACACTATTTCAATACAGCCTCACATCAAAAAACTGTAGTTGTTAATGAACGAATACAGGTGCCAGTACCTGAGATATCTGCAGAATCCTGCGAGTCAATTCTGAGGGCGTCAAAGACTTCAAAGTCAGTTGTTTTCACCTGGATAATGTTATTGACTGTTCCGGTTTTAGACGTCATCACAGCCTGGGAGAGAGCGTAAACAGAAATTTGATAGCGGCACTTGTGAGCGAAGGTTAGGCATTTTGTAGCGGCAGGAGAAACAAGAGCACATCTCTGATACTTTGCCTCTAAAATGTAGGTTTTAACTCACCCCAGTCGGATCCAGAGTCCACTGACCGTCCACACAGAACTTGTACTGGTGCTCTCCCTCCGGCAGGTCCACTATAGCCACAAAGTTCTTCTGACTGGGTTTGAGAAACAGCCATGTGTCACATTGTCATTTCAAGACACAGTTCAAGGACGCAAGACCTTGATAAGCGTTCTGCATGTGTCAAACTACCTTCTGTTGAGTGGGATCTTGGTGGCCCAGTTGTTAAAGGAGCCGGACACGAAGACTTCTTTGGCGGCCCCTGACCATCTGAACACAGTTGGCCTGGCCTGAGTTGGACTCTTGTTGTCACTCTCCAGGTCCTGCTGCCAGGCCAGAAACTCCTGTATTTCCTGCGGAGCCTGTACAGCGCGATATCAATGCATTGTTGCCATGTTAACAAGAGCGGCTTCAGCCTCTGCACAGCAGCAACACAACACTTCCTGACTGTATGAGCAGCTGGGAGGGAGGTGAAGATCGAGTCCACTGGTTCATGTGTTAGTGTGCTTTTGAAAAATGGACAGTGTGTTTTTTCTTGCGGACTCTCTGACATTCATCCTTCTCATGAGAACAAACATAATACACACACTTTTTGGACATTTTCACGTTTGGTTCTTCTGTCTGGAATTTTTGGTAAGTCAGTTACTTCCAAATCTGTTAGCTACAACTGTCAATTAAACATCAGTGACAGATTAATAGTTTTTACAATTGTACATATGATTTATATACAAAATGTAAACACAGTATGTCTTGTCTTCATTAATAACACACATTTTATAATATATAATATGTGAAAATAAGTTGCATTTAATTTCCTGTCTTTGTATGTTTTCATATTGTATAAAATCATTAAAATATTTTAAGTTTGAGTGAGTACAGTCCACTGTATAGCACAATAAGAGAAATATTTTATGGTCTAATCTTTCAATATTTTAACTTTATTTGCTATGTCTCATCCTGTTGCAACTATTCAGTTTTTACAAGGGTGTTATGAATGGACCAGCGTTTTGCCCATTTTTTATATTACTGCCAACCATTTTCCAAAGCACACCAAAAAGTTTTTTTGATTTATTCACTTCCCTTGCAGCAGTCTTTTAATATGAAAATCACTTCGCAGTGACTTCAAATTTGTAGAAATGCGTTTATCCATCAGCTTTTACATTTAGAAGCCCTTATTTTTTGTTACATTATAGTTGTGCACTGCACAATGGTGGGGCTGTTTTGTAAACACTGAAATGCTTTTTTGGAAACTGCTTAACCTGGGATTTTAAAGTTGGTTGTTGAACAGCATTTTTTCACTGCAGGGAATTCAAACTCTTAAGACTCTTAATTCACCATCAAAGGCCTATAGCTATTGCTTTAAATATGAACATAATAATGAAATGAAAGACACACTTCTAAATGTATCTTCGTAAATAAAGACATGACATTTGGGTCTTACGACTTTTTTCAGATACATTATAAACTGCAGGTATGTGATAAAAGTCCAAAACAGCATTATGTTGTTTTTTTTTTTTAACACATTTTCCTTTATTTGCTTTGAAAGAGTGTGGCATGTTTTCTCTGTCACACCAGTCACATCTTTGGGATGGATCTTACCCAAATGTTATTTTGAGAAAAATGTCTTGGTTCAGGTTTATGGGGAAAATAAAAAGCGATTCAATATTCAGCATCAAGAATTTCAATGGTGGCCATGAGAGCTCAACGCACTGCAACTTAAGAAAACATCTTCATCAATTTAACAAAACATGCTTTGCAAAAAAAAAAAAAACACATGCAAATACACAAACGTGTGCAAATTCAGTCCAAAAACACACTGTAGATTTCTTATCCCCAGCAAATTACTCCAAAAACACAACCAAAATTATGGAATTAATCACATGCAATTCATAATCAATGTACAAACCACACAGAACACTAAGGGTGTTTCACGTTAGTCCAATATAATGGGATAGTCCAAAACAACAGGCTATCTGATTTCATCACATACAGTCTACAGTATGACTGTGTGACAGCATTCCTGGTGTGAACTTCTTATCATACCTTTGAATCGTCTCTCTGGAAAAGATCGGCGTCCTCTGTGCTGTCCATCAGGATGTTGGGACGAGCCTCTTTCCCTCCCTGCTGTCCATCCCTGTACGACCTCTCACCCTGACCCCCGCCGGATCTGTCGCTGCTGCTGTTCCCCATCCTGGAGGCATCAACCACTGCCAGACACACATCAACATCAAGTCAACACCTCTCTGTGTCCTGGGACATGCAGGGCAGAGACCACCACCAGGAGCCTCACAGTGGTCCCTGGACTGACCAAAAAGGCCCTTCTATTATTAAAGCTAAAAGTGGCCTCTTGCAATCTCTACTATGAACAAAGGTGATTGTTCACTGGTTTCTTTTTTTTTCTTTTTTACCCTCCGTGCTGTAACCAGCTGTAGTGGAGAACACAACAACACAAAACACCACCAACCCAAATCTTCTCAGACGCGGGTTGTGTGACTGCAGTCTTATCAAACGATCTACTCGGGTCTAATTTACATGTCTTTGTGAAATCGTGTCCTTCTCGTTGTTGTTCCTGTCTTGGGGCTGAAGTTTTTCTCTTGGACTAAAACAAAAAACATCATGAGGCGAAGCAGCGTCGGAGTCCCACGGATTCATAACAGATGTGCGATCACCTCTGTCCCGTGTTTACCTACCTCTGTTTCTGTCTTTAGGCTCCTGTAGTCAGCCGCGTCTGCGTTTTCGCCATTTAGTGGAAACTTCAGTCTGTGTGAGTGTGTGTTGAAGAAAACACACCTCTTCCGCCTCCTGTCCTCGAGATCAGGGCGAGTTGAAGTTTAACCCGATTGTTGCCAACTGTTTGGTTTTACGTACGTGACTCGTTTTCAACAAGTTTAAATCAATACAATAAGAACAAAACTGTCTGACTTTCACCCGTTAGCTGGCTGAATTTACAACATGAAAACAGGCTGATAAAAACAGGCTGCTAATGGTTACATGGGGGAAGAAAATTAAAAGACACACATGCTCAGAGATCATTCATTCATTTTTGTTTTTGTTTCGTTTTTTCTACTTGGACATAGGCCTGCCATAAATGTATTTAAATCTTTTATTTGGCTACCCATGGTGTGTGTGTGTGTGTGTGTGTGTGTGTGTGTGTGTGTGTGTGTGTGTGTGTGTGTGTGTGTGTGGATGTTTTGTTGGGTTTTGGGTTATTGGTTTTTGTGTAGTTTATATGCTGAAATGGAATTGAGGCAATAAAAATAATATTTAAAAAATAACATTCACATATTTTTTCATTTTATTTATGTTACTTTTTTTCTAACATGATGGCATAGTTTTTGGCTGACTTGCAATTTTTGAGGACACACTGGTTGTGTCCCAATTCAGGGGCCACGGTCTACGAAGATGTGGCCCTTCATGGATCCTTCGTTGCCCAGGAAAAGAAGGACGCATTTCTCGGCCACATTTAAAGGAGCCTTTGAAATGGGACAGTCTAGTCGCATCACTGCGATGCCATCGGTCTTCAAAACCGATTCATGTTAAGGGGTCAAAAGCCAAACACAACAGGGACCTGCTGGCCTGGAAGACATTTTGTCAAAATAATTTTGTGGCCAGAATGTGTTTGGGTTATTTTTAAATGTATCATAAAAACAAATAAGTATTTTAGCTCATATATTTGTGTTTGTTTTATTACCTCTGCCAAGAAAGTTATGTTTTCACCCGTGTCAGTTTGTTTGTCAGTTTTGCAGATCTAAATAATTTACTATGAATTTTTTGTGAATGTTGTTTGACTTTGACCTTAGCGGAGGTCTGTACTCTCTCAGTGAGCTTCTGCTTTTTAAATTTTGTATCCATGTCGTGGGGTGGCCAGTAAAGCAGACGTCCGCAGTCAGAAAAGCTTTTTAAGATTTCTGCAGCTAGGCAAAATAGTGTCCTTGCTCCTTATCACATCTGATTTCTCTGAGATGTTCTCACGGCTATCCAGTTTCATGTTATCCACCTGTCTAAAGCCTGTAACTATACACACTCAAAATGAAAAAACACACAGTCATCAGTATTTCATTTTTCAACCTTTTAGTTACATGTAATCACAACTGAGAACCCCTCCCTCGATCCCTGCCTGTGGCTCTCAACCCCTGGCACTGGTTCTAGTCCCCCACCTCTGGCTACTTGGGCTTTGGAGGGCCTTACAAGCACTTCCTGAACTGTCCTCTCGTTCTCAAACACTGGCACTGGCCTCAGGCTGCCGGCTCTGGCTGTTTGTCATTGGGAGGGCTTCACACCTGTCAGTACCTAAAGTAGTGACAGGCACATTTTGACCAAGTGATGCATTAATGATGAAACCTGAAAAACTGTTTCCACACCACCATCATGTAAAAAACAAAATGTGCTAAGGGTTGAGAACCAGTCTGGATCAGGCACCAGGTGTGAGAACTTGGGTTCAGGGACAAACATCCCGAACTGAACACCAGGTCAGCAACCTCAAAGCCACAGTCCGCATTTCTGCAGAATTTGCATGAGGGAATTACCCAAAGTTCATAGCGCTGTGACATTAAGCGCACACAGACACACACAGACACACACTCACACACACACACACACACACACTTGTACTTCTATCTTTGCGAGGACAATCATTGATGTAATAAATTCCCCAGCAACCAAACCTAACCATCGCAACTGAATGCCTGACCCCAGCCAAGTCTTCACCTGCAAACAGCATTTTGAGGGTGTGTCAGAAAGTGAGGACTAGTCAAATTTTTCCCCCAAATTCAAAATTCACCAAATCTCGATCCATATTCAACCACAAATATGTCTTTTTACATACCTTCTTTGCAGTTTTGTTTGTGACTGCACTGATAAAGATATATGATCAACGATTGGTCATTATATAACAATACCTCATTAGTGATTCCCAGAGCTGTACTACGTTCCCATGGATTCTCTCTGTAAAGTTGGCCCTCGGTGCCAGGCACACACAGGACCCATTCAAATAGCTTATGTCTAGAACAACAAGAAGAGGTACTGTGGTTAAACATCTGACACACAGAGAGCATGTTGGATGGGTCAGTAGTTTCTTCATGTGTTGCCTCCAATGCTCGGCCCTTAGAGAAGGTCAGCAGTGCTCCAGCCCTGCAGAGAAAAGACCCTGCCTCCCCTGCTTCAGTTGTCTATGCGTTTGGAAGATGGGGTCCCCAGGGCCTAAACAAACAAAAAAGACCTCCCACTTCAGCTGGTGTCCACCTGGAAGTTCTTGAGTTGCCTTTTGACCTTCTGACCACAACTCCCAGCAGCCACATCAGCAAAGGAGGCTTTGAACATTGCCTGCTCAGATTTCATGTAGCCAGCCTCCCCAGGTGAGAGCTGATGGTTTGACTCTTTTTGATGTTTCCAGTTCATCCTCGCTGCACTTTGTTTATGGTTTACCACACCCGCCCAGCAGCTTCCTCTGTCACCTCATCCAGCTCACTGGCAGGTCGAGATCAGTGTCAAAGACACTTGGCTGCAGTTGCAACAATATGACTAAAAAGTCAGGCATCAGTCTTTGGCCTAAAGTGTTCAGGGATTTATTTATTCATTTTTTAACCTTGTTTTTATTTTTATTTTACTTTCTTGTACAAATTTGTTTTAATGTCTTTTCATCTGTGCTTTTGTATTTATTTATTCGTAGTATTCTTGTTTTGATGCTTCAAAATGTAAAGTTATTATTATAAGCATGATCATTATCATCATCATTATTATTATCATTGGTATCAGTTAAACTAACAGAACACACACACTCAAACACTCTTTATGCAGATTTATGCAAACCCTCCACCTTGATAAGCTGGTGATAAAACTTTTATTTTCTCTGTAATTAATGTGCTGGATCACTGCACAGCCTAAAGATTATATGCTCTATTTTTAGCCTTGTGACAGTGTCAATATGACAGAGTACACCATCCCTCAGACTCAACAAATTGGAACAGGTGTCAAAGGTGGGTGTGAACTGAGACCAGTCAGTACCACGAAACCCCCCCACTAATATTATTGCACAGTGACAACATTGTTGCTGTGTCATACTATTTATTGCTTCTGTGTCGAAATATGGAAATATGAAATATGAAATAAACATTTTGGTCAGGTCAACTTATGAAATCTAAATTTCAGAACTAGTTTTTGATTTCATCTCATGAAATATGAGAACATTTAATTTTTTTCAAAGCAATAATATCTTACTTTTTAGATTCCATTTACAGTTTTGTTTTGTTTACCAGACCATGTTTTGTGAAAGTAAACATTTTATTTCAGACATTTATGCATACAACATGTAAGCTACAGTGAAGCTGGTCAATGTTTCAAAGAGTCATGATATTCCTCTGCTTGGAATTGGCAAAGTTAGCCAATGTCAGATCACAGTTTGTTCATAATTAAAGGTCAAGGACCAGCTCCATCAGAAGAAGCACTGTAGGATCCTCCTTCGTAAGGACCTTTGTACGATCATTTCTGTCACCGTGCAAATACAAAAACTGTAAAAGTTATATTGCAATATAATGTAGACAGCTGCAGAGACCATAGATGTGCGCGGCTGTGTTTCAAAGTCGGACTCTGCCGGCTCATGCAGAAAACCTCCAGAACTGTTGATGATAGAAGTGAAGCAGAGCTCCTCCTCGTCCCCTGGAGCTGATGTCTCCATGACAGTTTTACCTCCTCTGCACTTCCACCTCCTCTTCATCCTCAGGATGTCACACCACATGCTGTGGAGGGACAGGATACTTGAAATCTTAATATTCTTCTGTTAAATTTTGCATCATTTATGTGGTGTATCCGTACCGTAGTAAAGTGCACAATGGTATACGCAGTGATGATCATGAGACCGATGATGAAAGAAACGATCCCCATGTGGAGAGCCTTCCGACCCAGCCGCTTGGAGCCATCATAGTCCTGCTCGTCATAGCTCTTCTGGGCCTACAGGGTGAGAAAGATTTAAACACAACTGAGGCAGAAATGCTGATGGTGTAAATGCTCATAGTGCACATGTAAGATCCTGTGGACAGGCGTGCACTATGAGGAAGAAACTAGTCCAACCTTCCCAGTCAATAGCACAAGTTATATATGACCCATAGGCACGTGTCTTTCATGGGAATCTATACTAAACATTCAGAAATATATTATTCACTGTCTTGATTTGGACCCACATTTATCTCCCTGCACCTGCCTTTCCTGTTGTCACTAATTCATATTTGCGCTGAAGCCAGAAGTCCTCAGCAGTGAAATACACTGGACTGCTGTGCCTGCATGCCTCATCCTGTTACTCACAGCTACAGCGATGCAACAGCTGCTGTTGGCACATCGTCTCAACACAGCTCCGTCCCTTCAGACGGCTCAAAGACGTGAGTCAAATCTGAATGTGTTGTGCCGATCTACTGCTTCAAACTTTGTGTCATCCCGGCAGGAAATGAATACGAGCCAGAGAGGTGCAGGAAGAGCCACATCCACAGGCTGGGCTGCTTCAGTTTTAAACACTGATGAGAAATGATGAACTGTGTGGTAAGCAGTTACGGACATGGTTTGGCACTTGGACAGAGCATAAACTGGAAGTATATTTCATCTTAGCACTGATCAGCTGAGGCATGTGTTAATTATGTAGCTGGGCGGTTCGGAGAAGTGAAGGAGCTATTTCTGTGTCTGAACTGGCTCATGGTGGTTCATATATAAACTATACGGAACACGTCTGCTGATGAAAAAGACACAAATTACTAACTAAATATGTTATATCCAGGCACATCATCCCACACAGTCTTTGGGGGGTTTTCCCAGCAGCGGCACTCTCCTCTCTAATTTAGATATCCATATGTCATGCCACATGTTGACCGGTCTCAATGCACCGCCAGCATATAACTAAACCTCACACAGACATCACTTGTATCCTATAACTACTCATAAATAGTAACCAGGTATGTCCAGGCAAAACTCACCAGCACTGAGAAAACCAGCGCCACAATATTGATGGGCCACGCAGGGCAGAAACAGGTGAACATGGTGAGACAGAGGTAGTTCCTCAGAGGGGGGATCTCTTGAGCCTCCCCGTTCTTCACGAGGTCAGAGCTTCCTTGCAGTGAGGGCTTGGTGTTCATGACCGGCTGCGGCGTCCCCCCCTGAGACAGTGAAAGCAGAGAGGCGAAGCAGAAGCGCAGGGAGACACTGGGAGAGGGGGAGCGGGAGGCAGGGGAGGGGAGGAGAGGGGAAGCGGGAGGCAGGGCAGGGGAGGCAGCAGAGCAGTGATGATGGAAGAGAGAAATAAGCCAGCAGAGAGACATGAGAGGGACGCAGAGGCAGGCTGGTGACGAGTCTGAAGACTCAGGGCAGCAGACGTACTGAGTGAATGCTGCTGCTGTCTGGAAACAATATCAGGAAATGGAGGGAAGTGTTGTTGAATGAGGTTTCTTCATGTTGGTGTTACTTGTATTCTTGTTTCTTGATCTGAACTCCAGATAATCCCACACAGCACCATCTCATGCCAATGAGGAATAATGCCCAAAATCCTAAACCCTCATAACAAATAGCTTAACAACAAAAATAACAACAAAAATGAACAGAAAATAGCTTCATAAATATGAAAAGTATTCTTACTTAATTTGGATTCCTGTTCATCTCTCAGAAAAACAAAACATGGGTCACTATGTGCAAAAAAAGGTCAAACAGGACACAAAAGTGGAATGTTTTAAAATAATTTATTAGGAATTTTTAAAAAGTTGTTTTTTTTTTTTTTTCAAAGGAATAAACATGACAGGAAAAAAGAAAAATCAGAAAATGTTACAGTGTTGACAAGATTGTTATTTTTCAGTGAAAACAGCATCAAAGTATGAACTACCATGGTAGCCCGCAGCAGTGTGAGCGAGTGTATCAAAATGTAAAACCTGGTATCCTGTAGATCGAGAGTGCTTTGTTCTTAAGCTAACATTCGAAGGAAAACACATTTATCGTGATCGGCCAGTGCAACATACTAGTAGCTCTGAACATAATTGTTTTGGTCTAAAAAATAGTTTGTCACATTGCTACAATCTGTGACCTCCGGTGGATTCGCAGTGATGGATTGGGGAAAAGCCACCTTTCTAAAAGGTTTAATCATCCACACTTTGACACAGATGTTAATGCAATAATAAAAAAACGTCAGATTAAAATTTCACATTTGCAACTGAGGTACCCCCACCCCCCACCCCACCCCCCCACCAAAAAAAACCACCCAGCACATAACACATTGGGAAAACCAATGTGTATAAAACCATATGACATGCTCACGCAAACATCAACAACCTGCAGAGTGAACCAGTCATAAACATGTTAACTGTGTATGACTGCTCCTGCACACTAGTCCTTCATTTTCCTTCACAGACAATCATCACATATTGAAAATCACAGTTAAAACAACAATATGACAAAGTAAGAAAACAGCATGTTTTTTTTTCCTCTCCTGATAGAGGAGCGTTTTCACACCCATACTTCCCCAACAGTAAAGTGTTGTTCAAAGACTCAGCCAGACTCTCCTGCTGGACTCAAAGCTGAAGGTGTGTCAGCTCTGGGGCAGCTCCTGAATTCAATAACAGACTCAAATCATTCATAAATGCCTGGAGAGAAATACAGCATGTGGCTGGTCTTATTTTGACTGACAAACTGAAATGTTCTTGACCTCCATGTGAAGCTATGATACGTAACAGTCAAGCTTTCCAACACATTTCTCCAAAGCCTCCCACCTCCCAGACACAAAATTAGCTGACCCCCCCTCTAAGCCCTCCAGAGTCCAGAGTCATATTTACAATATTTTACAAAATTGTACAGCTCATGTAGGCATATTATGTAACTGTGACTAATGACCTTTGTCGTCTGACCATTATTAGTAGAACAAGTCTTCGTTAAAAACCTACCAAGATATACACTCTGTGACACATTCTCAAGAAATAGTATTAATCACAAATGTTTTGTTAAATTCAGTATGAACTAGTATAGACAACTAGACAAATATACAGTTTTCCAGTACAAATTACAGCTCTTGACCTTCAAACAGGCTTCACCTGGAGATTTAACTCCTCTTATCTCAGAGAGATTCAAATAAACCAATAAAACACAGCCAAAACAGATAAAGAAACAATGCAGCCATCACAAAAAATAGCAAGGTGAAACATAACAACAGAAAAAAAAACACACTAAAATTTCAGCATCTGCATGTGTTGCTATTACATGTAGTGATAAACATTTCCGCTCCTTTTATGAACTTTTTCTGGTGGAGTTTAGTGAGGCGTCAGTAGGGTCGGCTGGGGACACCAGGTTTTGGGGGAAGGGGGGGGTGGGGGGGAGTTTGAAGGTCCAGCCGCCCCAGCCGGAGAGGTGGACTGGACAGAGACAGGCCAGATCAGCTCCAAAGCAGCTTCAACTCCTTCCAGCTCTCAGTCTACAGCTCTGCACTGACACAAAAAAAATATGTGGATTACTCACAGGTCAGAAATGATTTTATATGTTAACATGATAGCAGGCAAGAGGACTGACTCACACTCTCAGTGATATCCGTTAGTGAATGCCGTGGCGATCAAAGGGCCCTGTGGGAGCAAGAATACAAGTTTGAAGTTCACTTCTTCGGTTGCAAAACGCAGACGTTGATTTCATCTATTCAGAGTTAGGTTTTTTCTCTCCATCTATCTCTGCATGCCGCTGAGCTTTGCCTGAATGAATACCACACATCCTGAGTCATGATGGCACACACTGAAAGAATCAATCTAGCACTTTCAGCAGCAGCGCTTGGCTCCAGATTCAGGCAGCTTTAGGCAGTTAAAATATGAGTTTCCATCCACCTGTTCTAATGCAAATTTTTTAAAAAGTCAAAAATTTTGAGAAAAGAAAAAAGAAACATGCAAAATAAAGAAAAAATATTTCCTCTTGGCTTTGGCAGAATGGAAGACAGATTTTTCATACAAAGGATGGCAGAGCTGCACCTGCTTCTTCTTCTTCTGGTTTTATTTACAGCACAGTAGAGTCAACATCAGTATAAATGCTAGAAGCTTTAAAGCAAGAGTTTGAGAAATACACTTCTTTGCTCTATTGCCAAAGTTAGATGAGAAGATTGATAGCACTCTTGTGTCTTTCCATTCAATAAGAAGCTGCCCTCAGCAGCTAATTAGCCTAGCTTAGCACAAAGTCTGTACAGCACATTTTGTTCCCCCCTGTTGACAGTTTTTGTGCTAAGCTAAACTAAGCTAATGGACAGATATGACAAATTAAAATTGAAATTATCTTAAAATTTTAAAGGGATCTAGAAGCACATACACCTACAGTTTCACTGGATTGGATGTAACATACACATGCTTTAGTTATGTTAAGGAACAAGTACAGAGACTACTCCAATACAGCAACGATATCTCACCCCCAAACTATGGCTGAATCCAGTGCTCGGGGCGGGGCTCGCAGCACTGAGGTAACTGCTGACAGCCGACTCCTGACTGGCTGTTCCATACAGGTCTGCCATCGGCCCCGGGCTGCTCGTACCTAAAAATCCAGCTGAGCGAGACGGGGTGGAACCTAAAAGGAAAAATAAGAACAACCTTAGATTGTTACTGTATTAATATCTCTCCTATCTGCAGCCTCGAAGGCTCACTGCTCAGATTCAGTTTCTTTCAGATAGCTGCATTTTAAATCACACAGTACTATTTAATTAAACCACGAGGGAGATGAAGGAAAATCAGTGAATTTTATCCAACTTAAACCTCGACTGACATTTCCTGCACATTAAACTGTACATTTTCTTACCAAGAACAATTTAGAGGTCATGAGGTGGTTTTGAACGAAATGTCTTGACAACTATGGTGTGGACTGCTGTCACATTTGGCTCAGACATTCATGTTCCCCTAAGGATGAACTGAAATAACTTTAGTGACCTCCTGACTTTTCATTTAGCGCCACCATCTGGTCACAGAACCAATTTGTCCAGTACTTTAGTTTATGATCAAACAAAACTGATGACATCCACCTCAGTTGTACTATATGTTTGTTGCTAATTGGCAAATGTTAGCATGCTGACACACTAAATAAAGATGGTGAACTCCAGCATATTAGCATGTACAGTCTCACAGAGCTGTTAGCATGACTGCAGACTCTTAGACTTGTTTTTAATGGCTTTTCTAAGAAAATTGTTCTTCAGCTTCTTTCTACTGTCGCCTAAAGACGAAGTCAGAGCAATGCAGGTTTGCTGGGATATTTTACTACTTCCTGTATACAGTACAGCAGAATCAGTTCAGGATTACTAAATTAGAAACAATCTGTAACATGTATGAAAAAATCTTGTCTGATGAGAAAAACAAAAAGACATTTTTTTTCATTTTCATACCTCTGACTACTGCTGCTGCTGCCGCTGCTGCTGCCATTGGTCCATATGCTGTGAGAGGAATGGCTAAACAGAGAAGAAAAGGAAATCCAGGTTTAACACCTTTTATGTGCAAGAACATAATAGCCAACTAAAAACACACCATTTCAAGCCTCACTCCAGGGACCTCAGAAAACCAAGTCCTGTACCGATGCACAAGGAAACAGGAGTAAAAACATCATCCTGTGTATCTTTTTATCAGACAGAGACAGGCGGCTTCATGAGGTCAGTGGAGGAAGATTTTAACAACAAAACCTTCCTCTTTACTGTCAGCAATCCTGCCTTCAGTCGGAGACCGAGGAGGACTGACAAACACAAACATGCAAACCAAAGAGTGATCAGGTGTTGATGCTAACGTGGCGTGTAGCAGACTGACAACATGCTGCTTGTAAAGTCAAGAGGAGGGACTGACTGACCTGTGAGCTCAGGGGGGTGGGGTGAAGTCAGAAGGGGAGTCCTCTCTAAGTGGAACTCTAAAACAGAAACATCAGAGTGCTGTTGAGACACACACCACCAACGCCGGCGAGGAGAACACACACACACATACACACATACATACATACACAGGCAGGGTGAGCAAGTACACACACAGGGTTTGAGGAATGCAAACAGGAATTATGGAAGGATGGAAGGATGTTTTAAAGCCAAAAAAAGTGGTGTTAAAAATTATACACAGTAATTATCATGAAAAAGAAAAAATATAGCAAGTGTCATACAAACTAATAACTTCAATTCAAAAGAGCACTTTGATTTCATCACATTTTTCTTTGGTGGACATCTAATTTTGGAATTAACTCCCAGATCAAACACTCCAGTGAAATACACGGTCATGCTCGCTCACACACACACACACACACACACACACACACACACACACACACACACACACACACACACACACACTTAAACACATGCTAAGCATATGCAAATTCCACTCCCTGATATTTACAAGCAGCCATTTACGCTCGCAGTGTTTCATGTGCTTCTATGGAAACATGTTTGTATTTGTGACAGCGTTGTCTATACTGTCAGTTCAATACAAAACTACACCAGCTACTGACTGTGTATTTAAGATGCAGTCATCCTCTTTTTCCCCTGAAAAATCATTTGTTACAGGACTCCACTCCATTCAACCACATGTTTAACTGCTGCTTAGTGAATGAACATGAACAGTCGCTCACCACACAACATCACTTCCTATGGAAACAAGAACATGTTATTTTAACACCAAACTTTGAGTCAAATTCCCAAGCAGCACAAGATGTTCATTCCCTTCAATAACTAAGTGTAGTGCATGTTTAACTGGCTAGGGCAAGGATAATTTTAGTATCTGTGCTTTAATTACATTACAAGTCACCACAGAGCCAAACTCTTAACAAGTTTCCTTTTATGTCTCACCCAGCACCCAGGCATCTGCAGGTCTGGCGAACACTTGCACTTGCTAACTGAAACATGGCTGTGTGTTTATTTCTCAGTTAAATTTGACGGAAACAATTCAGAGCGTATCAGGAGCAGAAAATGTGCTGTGATTACCAGGAAACTGGTAGGTGTATCCAGGAGTGATGCCAGCGTAGCTCCGGCTGGTGTAGGTGGCCGTCTGGAAGCCTGGGTAACCTGCGGAAACAAAGTCACTGTCAACATCTGGATTACACCACAAAAAATGAGACGTGCACATGGTGTTGTTGCACAGTTAAGAGACAGCGCAAACCAGTATATCAAGATGCTATTAAAAGGAAATTAACATTATGGAAAGATGGTCATTTTCCTTAAAGTCCAAAAATGTTTTTGTTATTTTTCTGGATTTGGCCCAAGTGGACAGAGTACATCAAACCTGTAAGGTCAGACTTTAACTGATTTGAGAGAATAAATAAGGGAGAGTATAATGTGTTTTTGGATCGAATACCTTGTTCTTTATCCTTTTTTTTCTTTTGCCTTCTTTCTTTCCCCCATTTAACCCTTTGTAGTATCTAAGCTTCCCATGTTCAGTTGTAAATAATTAAAGCTAATGTTATAAGAGAAAACCTCTGGAAGAGCCAGGCTGTAAAATGGTTATCAAATGTGCTGCAATCTTTTTTGTTTGTTCTATGTGTGTGGGAAAAAAAGTGAATCTATTTGCATTTATTCTGATACTATGTAAAATGTTGATTGTAAAATGAATGATTTTCCATTGTGTGTGTGTGGGTGTGTGTGGGTTGTGTGGGTTGTGCTGCCCCCTAAGTGAAGCCCTGCACAGTGTGTGAAATGCAGGTGGGTGATATTCTACACCTGTGGTCTGGATTTCTTCACTGGGACAGGCCTGAGCAGCTTACTGTCTTTGTCTTCTGTTTCACTCTCACCAGTGCACATTACACAGAGATTGTCTTTGTACACAACCTGCCACCTGGAGAACTGACCTCAGAGCAGCATTCAGACGGGTAAAAATAAGATAATCCAGCACCACAAGATGCCACAACTAATTAATTATTATTATTTAAATTTTTTTGAATATGTAGTGGTGTCCGTACTGTCGAATGGAAGAACTGAAATACTGAAGAAAAAGGTGCAGTTCTCACACTGAACAGTAGGTGGTGGTATTGGTGTTAGCTTCAGATCCACAAACAGGTCCTGACGACTGTGAATACTTGTGAATCTGTTAACGAGTTGGGCCTACCACAGTAATAATGTAGTGATAATGGTCAAGGCAACGAGAAGATGGGAACTGTCACTAACTTTACATGTGACATTCATTCTACTGGTCATGAGGAGTGCGACTAAGTTGGTGGTGAAAATTGTTGTAAAATGAGACCAAGAAACTTTTAAACTTTCAAACTGGAGGTATGAGGTTAGAGGGGTTGCATTATGCGAAATGTAAGATCGAACTTTTTTAATCTTGACCAAAAAGTCTTGCCTATGTTGCTTCTATTGTGACCACTTGCTTTTCATCTGTGAGTCTCAAAATACGTAAAAAATTAAAAACGTAAAATTAAAACTTAAATGTAAAATGAGAACATTATGAAACACGCCTGAAACAAATATATATAGATAAATATATACAATTAATTAGCAGTTTGGAAATATTTTTCTACAAATCAGTACATTTATTTATTTTTTTATTACCGCCACTTTTTTGGTCCCTTCTAAAGTCTCAGGTCTAGATAATCAAAGCTACAAGCTGAGGCGAGCAGCCCAGTTCAGTGGTCAGCCCTCTCCCCATGAGCCACCATGTGACCTTTAAGGCAGCTGGGGACTTAATGCAGGAATAGTTTTCGTCAGGCTCAGGTGTACAGCAACATCCTTCCTGTCCTGATCAATACGAACTTACCCAGCATACCAATGCCCAGCATGAAGGCGTCCATCCCATAGGGCATCACCCGAGAGCGCCCCCTGGCTGAGCCCGTGGGGGACATCACCTCCTTGGGCTGAGCTTTCTTACACTCCACCTGTTTCCAGACAAATTACATCTGAGTGCCTCTAGTCTCTGAGTGAAATGATGACATCAGAGCGTTGTCACGGTCACAGCCACTCACCATTTTGTTGTTGATCTCGTGGAAGTGGATCTCGCAGACTTTCTCCACCACATCCTCGTTCTCAAATGTCACAAAGCCAAACCCTGGAGAGGACGAGGCAAATTTTGTGAGTGGCAAAATTTCACACAGTATGTTGGATTTGGACAGTAGGCCTGTCTGTGCAGTGGCATAGCTAATAGTCTCCAGTAATCAGCGCTGTAATAGCCGCTTAACACATTTGCCCCCCTCCCCCACCTTTCAATGCTGCTATTCTGCACTCATCCTTTCTTCCCTCCCTTCCCGGCCAGAAGGCCCGGGCAAAGCTGGTAGGCTGTCATAATCGATCAGTCCTCGGGTGGGGAGGAGGTGCTTAAGGAGGCTTTATCCTGATCCCGATTAACGGACTGGCTAATTAGACTAGCCCCGTTCGCCTCCTCCAGCTCAGCCCACAGGAAGGAGGCCTGTGGAGGGTGGGGTGGGTGGGGTGGGGGGGATCAATAGACACCCAGGAAGGACTGGTGGAAGAGTAGTAAACTTCGGAAGAGAAGGACAGGAAAGATAGAGATGTAGGGAATGAACGGACGGAGAGAATCAGCCCGTCTCACCTCTGTGTCTGTTGGTGGTCTTGTCAAACATGAGCATGGCATCGTCGACCTGGGGGGAGACACACAACACAGTATTTTAATGTGGCGTTCTCTTGCCACGCGGCATATTGCCTGACCTCAGCCCTTCTCAAGTTCTGCAGGGAGGCTCAGCAACAGATGGACAGAAAGGAGGGGGAAGAGGGAGAGAGGGAGGGAGGGGACTGGAGACAAGCGACAGGTTACAAAGAGGAGAGCAGAGGAGCAAAGACAGGAGAAATTGGAAGAAATACTGTACATGGCAAACAGACATAATGAGTGGCACGGAAAGTTGGAAGTTGCGTTTGCTGCTGAACTGCCCTGGTCACAATCCTTCTCACAGAGATCACATAATCCGCCCCCTTTCTCCCCTCCAAAGTTTGACATTCCCATGGCAACTGTACAAAAAGTCCTTATAAAAGAGCTCAAGCCAACATCAAAAATGCTTTATGAATAGTGGGAGAGTGCCAGTGAGACAAAGAGGGCCGCAAAGAGAGAAACACTGACACACACACACACACACACACACACACACACACACACACACAAAGAAATTAGCCAGTCACAAGCAGGAAGGTGAATCCTGTGGGCAGGTGGAGACTCGATGAGAGGGGAGAGCTGATAGGGAGAGGAATAGCGACAGGTGGAGATATGGTGAAAGAGAGCACAGAGAGTCCTGTAAGAGAGAGAAAGAAAAAAAAAAGGATTGGGTCAAAGTGGAAAGGGAGGAGAAAGAAGAGACAAAGGGAGAGGGAGACGAGAACAAAGAGGCCTGGAGGCTTTGTTTGTTGGCACAGTCAGCCATAATTCCTCCTCCTCTTCTCCCTTTGACCTCTCCCTCCAGCCCAGGCTCCCTTTATAGAGCAAAGACACAGGTGTCTATTCTACACACACACACACACAGACACACACACACACACACACACACACACACACACACACACACACACACACACACACACACACACACACACACACACACACACACACACACACACACAGTTTCTTATGTCAAAGTTGACCTACTCTTTCTTTCCCTCTCTCCCCCCGTCTCTTGCCACAAGCTGACATGTTTATACTCCACACAGAGGTCCCAATAAACATTTGGTAAATAAATCTGTGCTCTCAGTCTATAATAAGTTTACTGGATATGGTCCACTGAATAATTTGTCATAGCCACATAGTCACACACACTAGCACACAGTGTGTGAGTGAGTGAGTTAGTGAGTGTGTGTGTGTGTGTGTGTGTGTGTGTGTGTGTGTGTGTGTGGACCCCTAAGGGCAGTTTGCCTACAGAAAGGTCAAAGGTGAGTGAGGAGTGTCAGTTTGAAAGAGGACCTGTTACTCTGATGCCTCTCAAGTCACTGCTTCCTTCCAGCATGACATTTACTCAACGCCTGCAACATGGTCATCTCTGGATCTCTGCAAAAACACTTTTATCCAAGTAGAAAGTCCACAGACTGGCCAAATTTGAAATGATGCATTGTATGAAGAGTAGGATCAAGATAGCCAGGACACATTTTTCATGCTACGATCTCAATTTGAGCCACAAAAACAGGCTGAACAATGCAAACGCACAGAAACGCACACAATCCCAACATCAACTGAACCTGGACGCTATCAAAACATCACAACAACGCCCACAGCTCTTCTTAAATACCGCAAACTGAGTTCATTGCACATCATTGCTCGATATTTCAACCACTGGGCATTTTAATGGCGCACTGCCGGACAATATTCCCTCTTATCCTTTTTTTTCCACCTCTCATCTTCCCTGTTATCCCCTGCCCATCCCTCTCCGCGCTCCTTTGTCCTCACCAGGACGGGACACAAAAGGTCCAGTGAGGCAGTCTAATCAGGAACTTCCATGGATGGCTGGAGCCTACATTTCACCGTCCATCCCTCGATATCTCTCTCGGCAAAAATTCATCTAGACGTTATGATTGAGGAGGGAGCACAGAGAAACTGGAGGCCAAACCTTTGGCACTGAAAAAAAAAAGCGCCATGCAGCCGGAAACGCGACAGCTAAAACGAGAAGAGTCTTCCTATGCTTGACTTTGAAAAGTTTCAAGGGCTTGTGCCGTAGACTGTCCATCCGAAATCCACTGAAAAAAAATTGGTTTTTTTTTTGTTTTTTTTTTTATTGCTTTGTTTGATTTGTTTTGAACCAAAAGTCACATGACACTTAAATCACACATATCATTGATTTCTTTATACACATCGAGGATTTGGAGCAATCCAGAAACTTCCAGTATGCAGATAACTTCTGAGCAAACTAACAAAATATTTGTCTAGCTTTGTACAGAGGCATAATGGCCTTCGTAACCCCCCCTCCCACACACACACACACATACACACATGCACATACACCCCATCTTTGCCCCAGTTCCCTCTCTTATGCCTCTGCAAACCTCTCTCAATCAGGCCCTCCCTCCCTTGTCAGTGCCTTTGTCAGCCCATCATCTATTCTCTGCCTCGTGCCTTTCACAGGCTTCACGATATAGGAAACTTGGGCAAAACTTTATGTAGAAATATATTTTTTGTAAAAACACAAACACATTAAGGAAATGATGTAAAAGTTCAGGGGTAAGTCTGCAGGTTTTTGAGAATTAGTCGACTTTGTATTTCTTGTTACTAAACTCCTGAGTTAACCCCCACCCAACACACACACTCATGCTAACACCCCCGAACACCACCTCATCCCTCCTCCTCCAGAACAAAACCCCCTTACCCACAGAATTACTTGGGGACAATGGGCAAGCCTGGTCACCACGGTAACGGGCCAAGAGGGGGTTGTGGGTAGGAGCAGCTGTTACATCAGATTAATTCAGATTCTGATAATCCCTCCTCCTTCCTCACCATCACCACACACTCACTACAAAACTTTTCTCCCCCCTCCCTCTCCCTCCTCCTCCCCCCTCTCTCTCTCTGCTCCCTCTTCTAGTCCCCCCAACTTCGCCTGCTGCTCTCGGAGCCTCTCAGCCTCGTTATTTTTCCCTTCCTACCCTCTTCAAGCCTTTTCTCTCCATCCCATCTCGCCCTCCTCCTCCTCCTCTTCCCCGCAGTAACTCCTTCACTTCCAGGCAGTCGCTCGACTCCAAGTGAAGTTTTTCTCCGAGAATTAGGGGTGAGTCAGACTCTGCGGAGCTGGTGTAGTGCAGCACTACGTGTTTCTAAGCTGCTGATTTGTTATTGCACTGACCCCCACCAGGACAAACTTATGTGAGTCCATTTTAAGTGACAGTGATCCTTATGTCGACCCACCTTGCTGTTTTTTCGTCATGACATTTTGACCACAAGCTGACACCACAGCAGCTTTCACACTCTCTTTTAAAAGTCGCTCACCTTCCCAAACTGGTCAAAGTACTGCTTGACATCCTCGATAGTTGTGTTCACTGACAGGCCTCCCACAAAGATCTTCTTGGTTCGAGTCACCAACTGTAAGAGAAGGAAAAGCACTGATGATGCACTTTTTCTCTCCGTTACAATTTTCATTTAACGATCTATTTAAAACGTGCATATTTGTCCAGAAAGGTGCTGTAAAGGTTACAACAATTCCAAACACTTTACTACTTCAGTACTTTGAAATAAAACTATTGTATTATTAGATTCAAATGCCGCCAAATCCACATCACTTAACACATCAGTGTAATCATTATCTCCCATTAAAAGCTAATTTAGATGAGATATTAGGGCTGCAACTAACAATTATTTTCATCATAGAAAATTTGATTTGATTCTGCCGAATATTTTTTCCATACAAAAACAAAACATGAGAAAACAGTGAAGAATGCCCATCTCAAGGCCTGAGAGCAAAACAGTCCATATAAATATTTAGTTTACTGTCAATATAATTTTTCTTTTTAAGTTGGGTTCATAGGGGCCATTGTTAAGCACAGTTTGGCTCCAGCCTCTGAAGCCCAAGGCACATCTCAATTCTTCTTAATATTACCTCTGTCCGTCTCTTCTGTGATGTTTGCTGACCTGAAGCACTAAATCATTGAATAAATGACACTATTTCCTGGACACAAAGCCAACACTCTGCAGCTAACCCCTTGACACCTGTAGTTTTGATGGTCCACTTTGCTTCACAGCTGCTTGTGACGAGAGTTTGCTCAGTCACACAAAGTGGAAGACAAGCAGCCTGTAGCAGCATAGTTTTCAGTCAGGCTGCAGGCTGTAAGTGTGACTGTGACTGAGTCAGCAAAGGCCACTTTTATTTCTTTGAGGAAACAAATACATGGAAACCGGTTGTTAGCCAGATTTAAGCACATAACACTGGAGGCCTGTTAAAGTTACGTTACAATACACAAACACAACAAAACAGAAATGATTTACTAATGTAGCCAATGTAATATTTTTCAACGTCAAACTGTGACTTTGGATCACAACTATTCAAAAAATTTTGACTTTTTTTTCCACAGGGTTCACCACTCTTTTGTGCTGTTTTCTCAAGCTACGAGTCGCAAAATCAAGCAATTTCAGTGATTTGTAGAGATGTTCTGACACTATTTTTTCCTTCCCAATACTGATTCAGATACCTGAACTTCTACCGATCTGATACCACTGTATTAAAAAAATTATTTTAACAGCTGTATACCACTAACCCTGTATGGATGTGATGTGTCTTTGTAAAACACAAACAGATACATGAACGCCATAGAATCTTTCTCTTATTATCTAATTTGACTTTTAATCATGAAATAATAAATCTAGGAATAAATAACATTTATTACACTAGTTGTCCTAACACCTGTGCCACCCTTCAATATTAAAGCCTCACATACTGGACACGTTGCCTTTTTCCTGGTGGGACTTTCCAGTGCAACATATTGCCAAATTGCTGACATTTTGCTAACGGCTAACGTTACACTATTTACCAGAAACCAGTTCTTCCTCGCTGCTCTAAAACAGTAGCTGCCAGTGGCTGCACGGTCCAACTTCTCGTATAGGCTACTGTTTTTAGAGGAAGAAGAATTGATTTCTGGGTGTGAAGCAGTAAAGTTTGATAATAAATTAGGTGGTATTTGATCGATGCATAGACTCACGTACTCACCGATACCTGATTTCTGATACTAGTAACTCTGGTGGTTTTTGTTGGCATTTTTATGCATGGCTCATTTTGCCTTTATTTTTCTGTATGTGAATGCCTTTGCTCACACATTGCAGCTTCTGGTAAACATAATGGATCACCAGCCATGCAACAACCTATGAAGCAGCTATTTTTTGAAAATCTGGCGTACTGAAGTAAATGTTATAACTCACTACCAGTATTTATTTGTGCTGCTTGTCTCATAAAGCTTCTTCCGGTTTCCCACTGTGTTGTTGTGAATGGAAAAGACAAGTCGCCTTAGATCTGGACAGAGTGTACTTGAAATACAATACAGACAATTAGGTCGGTTTGACAATGCTGTGATTCTGAAGTCGAGAAAGTTTTTGTTAACACACAATCACATAACAGTTCAGTGATGTCAGCGCTGCTCATGTTCATCAGATTACGGGGCATTAGCCCAGATAAGAGACTGAAACACTCAACACACACTAACCTGATGCAAACAATGCACACACAACTTAACACGAGGAGACAGATCCACTCACCTTGGGCTGAGCTCTGCGAGGGAATGCAACCTTTGGATCAATCTGCAGGAGAGAATAGAGAAGAAGAGAGGACTGGTTATTAGTGTTGTGTCATGACAGAGATAAACCATCAGCCTGTCGGTGCACGCTGACATCACACCCTCATTTAATAACTCATCAATGAAGGTGTAATATATCCATGTTACACTCCTCTTGGCCTAACACAGTGCATTCACACGTCCAAAATCAAAGCAATGATGTCAAAGACACCTGTTTTTGTTTTTTTTAGGGCTTATCATACCCGGACTCCGCAGTGCTGATAAACACAACAACACCATTTATAGTTGTGAAGGAAAATCTAGATGAAGTTGACATCAAATGGACCGTATATTCTCAAATCAATACAGTTTGAGATCAAAAGACGGTTATGTTTTCTCATTATCACCTGCTTCAGACAGCAGACTACATCCTGGTCTGAACGTACTGCTGCTGTATGTTGATGTGTCTGACAGTGATGTCAGTGTGTGTGAACCTGTAACAACAGTGATGTAGTGGTAGATGATGTCTGCTCTAGTTGGATCATCAGGGCTCACTATCAAACTTTATTTTTCTGTTGGAGTGAGGTCATACCACAAAACCAAAAACTCAAGTACGGAAAGTTGACATCAAATTTGATCACATTACTGATCATCTGATTCTTTGATTGCATAATTTTGTCAATTTCAGACAGTATTTCATTTAAAGTATTTAGAGCTTTTGTGCAGCTGCTTCTGTTTAGCCAAAATACATTATTTGAAAATGTGCTTTTTAGAAGACAGAGAAACATTATATTTCTCAAATTAACATATTCTGAAAAAAAATACCATTTTTGTATCAGTACCAAAATCCTTAAACATTTCAAATGACTCTCAGCCTCACTGATCACTGATCAGAATTTTTCTTATGCAGATTTCTGTTTTTTTTTTCATTTTGTAAATTAGACTATTTATATTACAAAGACTCATTATTTCCATTATTATTTTGATTAACTCATTTACCGTGAAGCTATAAAAGATTGCTCCAAACACTGGTCTTTTATTTGACCAGCAGTGCAAAATTCAAAGGTGATCAGTTTATAATGATATAAAGCATCGTATTCTCATATTTCACAAGCTGACACCAGTGAATGTTTGGCAGCGTTTCCTGATAAATAACTTAATTAATTTTAATAATCGATCAATCAACTAATCATTTCAGGCTAATTAGAAGCAAAGACACTTGTTTAAAACTTGTTTAAAAATCGTGTGTAAATTGAATTTAGGTGGCGCCTGCTCTACATTCTAGAGTCAGGTTATTATCAGTGTGTGTGTGTGTGTGCAACATGAAAGCGAGTGTGTTATTATTCCACAGGTTTTTTTGTATGTTTGCTTGTGTTTATATTCCAGTGTGTGAATGATGTGAATGGCGTACACACATGCACTTTTGACGTACTTATACATGTAAGTGTGTGTGTGTGTGTGTGTGTGTATGTGTGTGTGTGTGTGTGTGTGTGTGCACGCTGTTGTGCTCAGGTGGAATGCCTGGGAATGTCCAGTGAACCCCTGCCTCTCTCGTCACTACCATGTGACATGTGATCTCCTGGAATCTCACACAGGCACTACAATCACAAACACACCTCACCTCGGCGAGGAGGGAGGACAAGTGTGTCAGACAGAGAGTGAGAGAGAGGGACAAGGAGGGAGAAGAGGACGGGATGGGATGGGACGGGACGGAGGAGAGGGAGCTGTCAATCACACCACACTGACAGCAGATCCACCCAATTTTGTTTGTTTGTGTTTGTTTGTTTTTGCCTCCCTCAGCTTTGGACAGAAGTGATGATGACGACAACACAACAGGGACTATTCATCGTCCTGTGCACTTTCAGCTGATCCGGATCGTCCTCTGCCCTGCAGCTCCTTACATTTGCATCCAGGAAAAAGGACACACTTCACTTTTCTTTAGCAGTGTAACTCCTTTGATATTAATCTTAGCACTACTGCTACAAAACAATGCAACAGAACTGATCCATAATGAGGCTGAGCCCACTGAATGTCACCAAGGTTAAGATTGGAGAGAGAACCACACCATGCCATGAGAATGCAATCATAGACAGGCTGTAAAATTGAAATTTGAGACCTCTATATTAGTCTATACTGGTCTAATAGAGCTAGAGAACAACTAGACTACTCCACACTGTACTGCTGTTACACTAACAGATGGTGAGACAGTACAGCGCTAAGATTAGTCCGTAACCATGAGAGGGTAGAGTTGAACTACAGTAGAGAGCTAGAGCCTCTATGGTAAACCACATGCGTTTACCAGAGTCAGGGTAACAGTGTTGTTTCTAATAAGAGTTGACATCACCGCAAGTTTTTTTTTTTTTTTCTTTTTTTCTTTTGTTCTAGAGAGCAGAGTGAGAAGACTATAGGCTAAGACTGGAGGATCAGATGCAGAGTCTACTGTTTAGTTTCTATGGTGGCTAGACTACTCTGATAGTCACCTCCGGTCACCAACCCTCCTGATGTCCAACACTCCTGTGCACATTCAAAAACAAACAGACACACACACAAACAAACAAAATCAAACACATGGCAGCACACAGCACATTCGCAGGGAGGAAATTGTGGACGTTAAACAGATAAAGTGGCGGCATTAATGAAATCGGTTTGTTTCAGGGATAAAAAAAATGTTGATCACAGCAGAGATGTGTTTAAAACCACCACCACCACCACCACCACCACCACCCCCCTCCCCCCCCCCGCTTCAAAATGTGTTTTGCTTGTTGTCACTTCACTTGGACGTTTGAGCTTCATTGTGCAGAGTTTGATGCTAACAGGCAGGAGGGGAAATGCTTCTTTGCGTTTACTTAAAATCTGAACGTACGAGCAGGATCTGTGACATCACAACTACTTCAGCAGCCAATCGTGGTCCAATATGTATCTTAGGTCACATACACTGGGAATGGGCTTTATTTTATAAGACATGTTGTGTCCAGCAGTTAAACTTTTGAAACAAAACATATTAGCATATTCATACATTCAAGGTTTTTCACTAAGGATGAAGAAGTAGCTGCAATTTTGTGGAAAGTCAGAAATAATTATCCCCAGCAGAGTGTTTTCATGTCATTATATGTCGTATCTGGAGGGGATCTATAACTTTCTCCTACATGGAGTCACTTTGAGGCGTCAGCATAGTTTAAAGAGAGACCTAACCTCTCTGCGCTCACAGCGAGGTAACGGGGAGGAAGCTGAACATAATTCCAAGAGAGGTTTATGAAATCAGGGCAATCCACTTTGACCAACTACGTCCCAGCTATGCAACAGTTGGCTGAGCGCGCTGCCTGTCACCACCTGAGCCGGGAACACACTTATAATGCAACATGCCGATTGGGCAGCACTCAACAGCCCTGAGGAACAACTCAAGCTTGTTGACTCCAATCCTATTAGTTAGAAGAGCCATACTAATCACAGATGGGGTTATCCTGCATTGCCACCACCCCCACTCCCCCCCACCCCCCCCCGCCACCTCCTCATCTTTCTACCCAGGTCAGCATGGAAATGGTTAATGAGGGCCACAAATATGCCTAATGCGACTCTGACTTTGTTGAAAAAACTCTCCTCTGTGTGCCTCAAGAGCTGCAGTTGAATGGAAACTTTGTCCCACAAAGGTGCAGTTTGCATCGGCCGTCACTAACTTTACAGATAGCAGGAAACTGGGAGGGCACCCAGAGGGGCGACTAACAGAGCGGCAGTTACATAAATCCCAGTAAAACCTGGCTTCCTATACTGGTCAAAACCGGGCCGCATCTGTCCTTCAACACAATAAGTACCAATAAATTCCTCTGCAGCACTGTATTTGCTCTTTAGCCTCTCGGCTGTGCAAAGCTCTGTTAATTCCAGTGCCGGAGCGGTTCAGTCGGTCACAGCATGGCACATTCTTTCTGTTGCCACTGGAGAACTTTTCTCTCCCCTCTCTAACAGGATAACCTGTCTGCATGAGAGAGGGAGAGGGAGAGGGGGGCAGGGTGAGTAGTCTAAAAGGCCTACTCTACTCACCATCCAACCCCTGTGGCTGATCACTGAGCCCTCTCCACGCCAAACACACACTCTCTGAGGCTGCCACAGCCCCCCACCAAACGCCACCGACACACCCAACTGCCAGCCACAAGGGGCCCTGCCACGGCCCACGAGGCTGCGGGGAGTTAACGCACGCACAAGTTGTGAGGGGAAAACTCAAATTAAAAAGGAGGGACTCATCATCATGAATCAAGCCGATAGGTTTCTTATCAGAGGAGGCGATGTGAGGATAGACTGTCAGTATCATGACCTCCACTCTCTGTCACCACAACTGTTTATGCAGTCTTGATTTCTGGTATCCACCAAATGATTGTAAATGATGTGCATTGTTATCTTCCTCTTTTTTTCTTTTGTGACAGAGCCATTCTTCAACTGTGGAGGGGGGGGGTCACTATGGAAACAAACCCCATGGCGAGTTAGTGGCGTCCAACCATGATAGCGCTACTTGTCATAGCTGTCATGCCTGCAAGTGACATTATAGCAGTAGGGCGCTGGGGAAACCAAGAAAAACTAAATTCAGTTCGACTTCTCTATCAAACAACTTCCACCTTGCTGATTCATAATAAAAAATTCTCATTTCCTCGCAACTTTCTACAGCAAATAACCTGTTTGTTTTTTTTTTCTTCGTCTTCTTCTTCTCTATTTCCCTCTTCAGCACCTCCACTTATGCTCCAGAGATTGGAGAAGGTGCATCGCTCAGAGCACAAAAGGGAAAAAGAAGAAATAGCCTCCCCTCATTTCAATACAGTGACTAACCCGCAGCCATCACCACTCCCACTGAGGAGAGAGGCGGGGGCAGTGGTCCCTATGGCGACCAACGGGCCACATTGTTCCCAGACCAGCCCACATTCATTACTGACAAAAAGACACACACACACACACACACACACACACTCTGCAACACAGGCAATTAATGCATTTTAAGTTACAATTCACACAGGTGAAAGGGCCTGAATGTGTCACGGTGACTTTTCTATCGTTACATTCACCGTTTTATTCTTTCAACAGTAAGCTGCGAGCAGTTTGTTTGTTGCTTCTTTCACACCTTGATGGTTTCAGGTTGCATTCACTTGTCTCCATTGAGAAACTTTCTTTTTTGGGCGGGGGCGGGGGGCGGCGGGGGGGGGGGGGGGAGCGTCAATTCTGCCCCTTGGGGACAGAAAAAAAAAAGCAGAAAGAAAGTTTTGGTTCACTCTTCCTAGAGACCAAATCAAAGATTGGCAGTGAATGCAACCCCGTCCAGTTCCCCTTGTTTCTATGGAAATTGACACTGGGTGACATTTCCTTGCCTGTTTGGCTGCAGAGCAAAGAGAGAGCTCAGTCTCCCATGTGTCTCCACTGTCGGCTACTGACTTTATCATGTAACGTGCTCACATGTGAGGTGTGGCAGCGGACACAGACATGGCGAGAGGAAAACATCAGCACGGTGGGACCTTAGTAAACATACTAAAATGTAGCAATGTTACACCTCTCTAGCGGATTATTGGAAAATCCACTAATCAAACACTAAGCAATGGGATTAGCTGGTGGTGGGAAGTAAATACAGAGAACTCACTGTTTTGGAGTCCAGCTCGTGCCTGGTTTGGGCCAAAACTTTATCCACGCCGGCCTGATCAACAAAGGTGACGAATCCGAACCCTCTGCAGACATCAGGGGGAGAGGGAGAGGGAGAGGGAGGGAGGGAGGCGGTATTAATGACACAGAAACTGATGTTGACATGTAATGATACGTTTTGAGCGGTAAGGAATCACGGAGGTCATATAAACTTTCAGCTCCGGCAGAGGAGCCGGGCTTACAGCTACCCTCACCTCGAGCGCTTAGTAACCGGATCTCGCATCACCATACACTCCTTCACCTCGCCGTACTTGCAGAAGTACTCCTTCAGACCCTCTGGGAAACAAAACAAGGCGGAGACAAGACCCGTTAGTGGATGAATGAAGAGGTTAAAAACAGATGACAACTTTTTAATAAAAAGTTAGAGGAGTTTGACTACAGGGGCAAACTTTTTCACCCTGCTGAGATTTCCTTTACCAAAAGTTCATGCATTTTTCAGTTAAATGTGTCAAACACAAAATGATCAGGGCCCAAAAGGCTTAAAATTGCACAATAATTCCAACCTAAATTTCTCATCTTAACACAACCTAAATAATTTAATTTCAGGCTTTTTAATAAGATTTAAAGAATCACACATTTACTCTATGGCAGCTCTGAATGGGGGCATTCATTCTGGAGCGGGTTTCATATGTAAAACTTAAAAAACAGAAAATAAATAAAGGGATTCAAAGTAAGAGAAATAATAAGAAATACAGCTTTTCAAATGGAGTGCTATTGGTTCCATGAAACCCACGCCAGGGTTTTGCAGACATGGTGGCATTTTATGAGAGCAAGTGGTGGAAAAAGATTTACCTTGTGTTGTTTGCCAGCTGAGTCCACCTATGAACATTTTGCTGTGGAAAAAAACAGAGAAAATATCTATATTTACATATTCATTAAAGGAGCGTTGCGTGAGTTTAATATTTATAGGGTTACAGAGGAAAGACAAAGTTGTGATTCAGGGTTTGAAAGTGTAATGGTGGAGGTACAGACGTGTGTGTGAGAGTGTATCATCTCTGGTTTTACATGAAGGCTCTCAGTGTGGAGGTGTGTGTGAGTGTGGCTGCGAACCAGAGTCCCCTCGCAGAATACCAGGTTTGTTACTGAGGTGAACGAGCAGAGGAACGAAAGAGGGAATTAAAAAAAAGTTTTTCGTTACCAGGGGTCGTGAGGGGAGTCCGTGGTGGACAGGCTGCTCTGGCTCCCTTCCGTCTCCATTCCTTGTCCTCGCTGGGTGCGTGAGTGAGTGCCGTGTGTGTGTGTCCGGGCCGAGCCGTGCGGGAAAACAGGCGGAGAGTGAGTGAGAGGAGCTGGGCGGGTTTGGCCCGGGGTGACAGAGAGGGGAGCGGGCCAGATGCAGGCTGGGACAGACTCCACCTCCTCCAGTCAGTCCCCGCTGCTGCCTCTCATCCCACCACGGAGGCACGCGGCTCCGCCGTCAATAATGCTGTCATCAACCGCACCGCTTCCGTTTCAACCTTTCAAAATATAAGCCTATTGGAATGTGCATGTGCATAAATGTCCAAAGTACATGTTGGTAACACTTGACATTCAGTCTCCCAAGTTAACATTTCTAAACATGTCAGGTCAAATTATTAATACAGCATTGATAAACTACATTGACACATGCTATCAACCATTTATTGAAGGTTTATACCGCTTATAAATGTTAAATAAGGGAACTTCAAGTACAGTGTCCAAAATGTCCTTGATTTCGTAATTTTATTCTTTATTGCTAAAATACTTCAAAGTAATCTAAAATTAATTTGCATAATATATTGCTGCCCCTTAAATTTCATTGTTGATTATTTAGCTTAAATGAGGTAACTAACTGAAGCCATATAAAGTATCCAAACAACACACATTCCCTCTCTATCAATTAGAGAATACATATAAATGAATTACAATTTCACTCGCTTGTTTTAGTTCTGAATGCTCAGTAGCTTATAGGTCTTTCCTTGGACAAACTGTGAGTCCTGCTCACCAGTCTTTGGAGTTAATTTATAGAATAAGGATTGCAGCAAATTCCATATTATTTTATGTCAAAGTGGGAGGTATGACCAGCTTTAAGTGAAAAAAAAATAGCTTGTATGATGATAAAGCTTAAAGCGAAAACATATTTTACAAAGACATTGATCTGATCGACTTGACAGGAAGCATACTTGGTAAAAACAACCATACTGAAAAAACATCTTGAAAGTGAACAAAACATAAATATAAACCTTAAGTAATTCAAAACTGATTCTCATAGCTTGAAGTTTTCAACTTCACCTCTGTATTTGCTTTGACAGACATTAAGCTTTTATTATGAAGGTACAATCTCCTTGCTTCCTCTCAAATTCTGGATAGTTTTGACTAACTTGACGCAATTTCCATATTAGTTTAAATAAAGTGTTAACAGGCACAATTTACAATCATTGCCATTATCTCTTAACCCGTTTAGAGAGTGCTTTTTAAAAAAAAAATGCAACGTCAGTGATGACGTGTTACACATTACAGTGAAAGTCTGACACACCTCATGTAAATATTAATGAATATCATGTGCCTGTTACTTTGATCTGGTAAGAAACAATACAGACATAACTTACTCTCAACAGGTGGTAGGCTGCTCTATTAGTGCTGTGTTGACCTAAAAGTGCAACAATCAGGACACAGAGTGAATCAGTTTCACAACTATTGGCCACCACTCAGAATTAGGAAACAGGTTATCAATCCTCACCTCCAGTTGCCTGTTTAAATAATATCAAGTACATTTCCTTATATAGCCTATTTCTCACTAATATAAAGTCACACTACTCCTTTAATATACTAGTGATTCTGAGGTGCTTGCACATGGTTTCACATCCTCTTTGCTGATATCTTGATATTAGCTAATCTACTAGCTAACTTCATTAGCTTTTCCTATTCATCATTGGGCTTCTTGTTGAATCATTTCAAGTGAATGTCTATGGAGAGCCGGCTTGTATCAGTGTTGTTGTTTGCAGCTTTAGATATCACCGTTCGCAATGTGTCTGTCTGTCTTCATGCAACTTCCATAATGCAAACAGGCTTATGCTATGTGGTATAGCAGGAGGTTTGTGTGCTGTGCGCTCATTCATTGCTGGGGTTTAAGTATTTAATTAGTACCAAAGCCAGCTTCGGCTAATCTTCTCAACACTGACTCAACATGTGACCTGGTAACCAACGTTAAGGCCAATCAATAGCCTGAGCAATTCAAACAAAGACAATGGCGGCTTTGACTTGCGGGTATAAAATGGATGCTGTCCTACCTGAGGCTCAGAGTTTCTTGCAAAGTTTGCAGTGTGAAGTCTGTGGAGTTTAGGAGCTTTTTGTGCATGCTGACACTGAAACACATAGGAACAAGCAGAAATAGTGCTGGTTATGTCCTCACAATGCGTCTGTGTTTCAGAGCACCACTACAAGCTGAGAGTGTGTAACGCAGGATGTTTGGGCACAGATTTAGATTTGTGATTGTCCTCTCTAACACAGTTCATTCTCACTGAGTGTGTCCTGCCCGCTCACAGGCCGACTCTACCCTCTGCAGATGAGCAGATGAAGCTCTGGAAGTGGGACAGGCGCTATTTGGACAGGAATTAAGGGGTGTGTTAAATTTCTGCATGCATGATCAATGGGGTTGAATGGCGGGGTTGGGGATGGGGTTGTGGATGAGGTGGTGGTGGGGACTAGGCTGAGGCAGAGACAGAGAGAGAGCTAGCAGTGAGAACACATACAGAGAAGCCAGCAATGGCTCACTAATGAGAGATGGACAGTGTGGATTGTATGTCATTACCAATCAACATAGCTTTGAGTTTCTGTGTAGAGAGAAAATGCAAGCTCTAATGTGTGCTGCATGTGGTCCTTTTTGATAAACCCAGCTTGTGTGGTGGAGCATTAGTCACAGCGGTATCTGAGCTGTTGGAAATCCACACACACTGCCCTCTGTCCGGTTTGGTGAGGAGTTTCCTCTGAATAGTACAATGGGACTTAATTACAGGTCAGTGGCATGTCTCAGGGAGATAGAGGGAGCTCTGTTACCCTTCCAAATACAGTATAATGCCATCTTCCCAAGGGTGGGGTGGGGTAACACCAGCTCCACACAAAAAGGTGCTGATAGGCTGAACCTGAGAATGGGATAAGGTGATCCAGGCAGAGAAAGTGAGCGTTTTACACTGAAAGAGAGAGGGAAAAGATAAAGGACTACATTAACTCTTAAAGGTTTTCTCACATTCAGTTTGCCCTCTTTCCTTTCCAGTCTGCTGCCAACTTATCATTCTAGCCAACTTTCTTTGACAAAAAAAAACAAAAATGAAGAAAACACAAGGGGGTGAAACAAAGACAAAGTAATCTTGAATTTGGAAATACAAAAAAAACTCAGACTGTACCAAACATAGAGAAGAAGAAAAATACTTTAGTTATCCTACCTGTGGGGGAAGCTGAAAGTTCAAACATGCCCACAGCTGGTTTTTATTATGAGGCTCAGGTCAGTGAGTTTTAAAATTACATTATTTTAGTTTTCTGTGACATTAAGATCCTTAACTCAAAATCAAAATGAAAGGAAAGGTGAGTGTTTGTGGAGATGAGTGGTAACAAAGATAAGAGAGTAGTTACAATATCAACAGGTGAGTAAATGAAGTGTAAAATAATAACATAGCGGTAATAACAGAAGATTATTCTTGAAGCATTAATCAAACCAAAAAGTGCTTTACAAGGAAAATAAAAAAGTCACAATACAGATACAAAGTCATATTCACACGCAAAGAGTGAGAATAGTAAACCATAAAATATGTTACCAGTGGTGGAAAGTAACTTATTCAAGTGTTGTACGGCACTTTTTACTCCACTACATTTATTTGACAGATATAATTGCTATTCATTTTTCATATAAAGATTTTTCCATGCAAACATGCAAGCTTATAAAATACAACACATTGTTAAATACTGAGCCAGAGGTCCCCAAGCGTTTTGGCTTGTGTACTCTCATAATAAATCAGTGTCTATTTGGGGTTACATTTCTGATGTCTATGAATTGTTTGCAGCTCCACTAAAGATACATTGATTTCACATGGCTTCATTTTAATATGTCGGTTTTGAATATCTAACCAAACATAAAAAAGTTTAAACTAGCTCCACCTCAACCAGCAAGAAAAAATAAAAATACAATGCAATTTTCACATTCATTTTCAATATTAACGATTTAATATCTTATGTAATAATATACAAATCACAGTTTTGGGTTTGATACTTTAAGTATTTTGTGATAATACTTCTGTACTTTTACTTACGCAGGATTTTGAGTTTGTTTTTTTTTTTTAGCAAACTGTATACAAGCATAAAAACACATACATGCAAAGAAACAAAAAACAAATAAAAAGACTGTAAAAGTAATTTAAAAGAGGATACTGATTTTAAAACAATAAAAAATAATAATGATGTAATAGCCCACAACATTAAGTGACTGTAGTACAGAGATACATTCCCAGACTGGGCTGCTCTGATGTATAGATGACACAACAGCACTCTCAAGTGGCGCATAGCACAGGTGAAGCCATGTTTCTATTCAGTTAATCTGATGTTGGTCTGTGCCTTTATTGTGTTAAACTTGGCCTACAATTGACTGTTTTAACCAAATGCTTCAAAATTCAAGTTTGGAAATATCCACAATTCAAACAAAAGGATGATTTTGTTCCCCCCAAAAGTCAGTTTCAGTGTGAAATCAGAAATATCTGCACCTCACAACTTTTCTGTTATGTTTTCTTTGTCTTCTAAGTCTGCGCTCAGAGGTTATCTGTTTGCCTTCGCAGCTTTGTTTGCCACAGCAACATCCCTTCACATTTATTTATTGTTTTTAAATTGCACTTTGGTCACTGTTGGGGACTGAGGGAGGGAGGACAAAGTTCACAGGGCGCATGTAAGGAGGAGGGGGTGAAGAGGAGGAAGGTTAAAAAAAAGAAAAAAGAAGAAAATTGACCTTTGAAAGCAAAACAGCAGGTGGAGAGCTAAAACCAGACAGCTCAGGAGGAAATTCAACACAGAGGAAAATGAAAGTATACGTTCTGTGGAGCTGAAGAGGGACTACAGATATAATGAGGCCCAACGCTGGCTGCCTGGCTCTCATTTGAGTGTGGTAGTGCACATGAGAGCAGTGTTTGTTCGCGAGGCAGTGGCGAGGAAAGGCAACAGACTAATGGAGGGAGAGGATACTACCAGGGCAGCCAGGGCGAGGCCGAGTCGTCTGACTGCCCTTCAGGAGCAGCTGATCTGGGCCCTGCTGGGATCTGGACTGTCTCGGGACGTCCTGGTCCAAGCCATGGGGGAACTGGAGCAAGACAGGGTGAGCGCTGGCGCCGAGAGGGGAGAGAGGGGGGATGGAGAGAGCTCCGAGGAGGGAGAAATGGATTTCCCACCGCCCATATTCCGTGAGCTGGAGAAGTTTCCCCCAGAGGAGGCAGCCAAACTGAGGGTTGAAGTCGACCGGCTACTGCAGTAAGTAGATCCGAGCATTTCTCTGGAAGCTCCATGGCAACAGGAAAACCACCTTAATCTCTCACTAACTGCTGTTCTCACACAGCAATTTGTCTGGGCCTCCCAATAGGACCTGATCAGGTAAAATTAAAAAATGCCCTCACCACGTCATCAGCACTGTTTCTGATGCCCCCATCTCTCTTTGACCTCTGGCACCATCAAAACTAAGCACCTGAGAGTGGAAACAACAATTTTTCCCGTTAACCTCTTTTTTCCTTTATTCTTCTAAAGCTTGGTTCTCCTCTCTTTACCAATTCCTCCCTCCTTCCCCTGCTTCTCTGCCTGTCTCTCTCTGCAAACTGGCTCCTGAGGCGAATTTAAAGAGGGTTCCTCCTTTGCTAGTTACTAATTACCCACCTCCATCATTATTCTCTGGCCATTTCTTAATAAATAAGCTACACGCATAGGTGAAGATTAATGGAGTAGGGCTGGTCATGTGAGATTATGTTTACACAACGCATGAGTGATAGTTCTACACTCAGTTATAAGATTAATATTTGTTATAATACACAAAGTTTTTATTGGGCAACTTATTGAAATGTAAAATATAGTTATAAAATTTTCTTTGACAGGCTGTTTAAAAATATTTTATTACGTTTTATTAATACAATACCTAATTAATATTTGTGGGGTGAACTTGAATCTGTTAAAGTTAGGGTTCTTTGCAGTTTTGTGTATTTTTACTGCTCCTGACTTGACAGTTAGAAAGCGTTAAATTAGGCTTCATAAACCTTTTACATGTTTTTTCCCCTCCAGTGATCTGAAAGGGCTGGACTTTGCCCCTGTGTGCTTTCCCTTATCTCTCTGTCAATACGCCTCTCTCTACTTCGCTCTCAGTGGCCATGCTTTATATCTAATGTTGTAACAAACTGTGCCTGTTTAGCACTTTTCTAGAAGGGGTTTAACTATCAGAAATACCCAGAAATGTTTGGGAAAAGAAAATAATCAGTCAAATAAATAAAAATACACAAGATGTAAATAAATAAAAATACACAAGAAGATTTAAATAAATAAAAATGCACAAGCGGATGTACGAGGCAAGTTCACACAGACATGATGTCGTTCTCTTATAGGGAGGACCCCTGGCATGTTGCAAAAATGGTGAAAAGCTACATGCAGCAGCACAACCTCCCTCAGAGAGAGGTGGTGGAGTCCACAGGACTCAACCAGTCCCACCTCTCCCAGCACCTCAACAAAGGCACGCCCATGAAGAACCAGAAGAGAGCTGCTCTGTACAGCTGGTACGTCAAGAAGCAGTGCGAGATCAGCCAGCGTGAGTACTGACGCAGCTGTGGAGCTGCAAAGTCCCTCCTTTCTGCTTTCACACACGGTTCATGTTTCACAAACACACACCTTTTCACACACTCATCAAATGTCAGTTCTCTAGGAGACTGAGACAGAAAATTTTAAAAAGAAAAGAAAGAAAAAGAATAACACGCTACCACTTCCTTTCAGAGTTTACCAATGCCAAACATGGCCTTGCATCACTGGAGGAGCAAGGAGAAGATACCAAGAAAGGACGGAGGAACAGGTTCAAGTGGGGTCCAGCATCCCTGCAGATCCTTTTCCATGCCTATGAACGACAGAAGAACCCCAGCAAGGAGGAGAGAGAGGGGTTGGTGGAGGAGTGTAACAGGTGAGATACAGTGATGGCGCTAAGACCAAACAGTTATATTTTCTACCTATTTTTACAACCTTGCTGAAACATGATGTCTGATCTCACATATTTCTCTATGACAATATAATATGACTAGATTAGCAACGATAACAATTAAAGTCAGAGAGGAAAACAGTTCAAACTAATCTGCAGCATCAGGACTATGTGGGTGTGGTTTGGTCCCATTTAACTGACAGCTCAAAGCACTGCTGTGTCCAAGTAAGGTCTCACAAAGCCACTAGCATGGCTGTAGACGTACAGGCTTTCAGTGATCAGTAAACTATTATATGTCACAAGACTGCTGAAACTGCTGTATCTCTAAAGAAAAACTACTGGTCATTTTACCCAATATCTAAAGACATGATAGTATGAAAAACATGTGTGTCCCTGGTGGGTTTGTCTGGTGCATGAGCGAACACCTACACTAACCTATGTTTAATAACTGTAGCTGACTAGCTTAAATTCACCAATCGGAAAAAAATCTAGTCTCAAAGAGATAGTTTGGGCCTTTGAAATGTAAAGCCATGTATCAGTATGCCCTTCCTCTCTCAGGGCAGAGTGTCTCCAGAGGGGGGTGTCCCCCTCTCAGCTGGCTGGACTGGGCTCCAACCTGGTTACTGAAGTTCGGGTGTACAACTGGTTCGCCAACCGCCGCAAAGAGGAGGCCTTCCGTCACAAACTGGCCCTCGACACGCCTTTCACCAACCAATCAGCCTCATCTTCCAACCTCAACCTTCCACCAAGTCCCGAGCACGGTAATACCCTAACAACCTTCAAGCAGGACAAAGTTTAAAGACAAAGTGAAATTTAAGAGTGAAATCAAAACTGCCTCCCAAAGAATGAGTGATCTGTTCATACAAAGTTGGACTTGCCTTGGCCAGATCTCTAGATGTTGTGTTTTTGGGGACTGACTTGTGTTGTATTCCAGGTGTGAAATACAGCCAGCAAATCCTATGTGACACTGTGAGCTCAGCCAGGGGTAGCGGAGGAGAGAGAGTGGGACGTCTCGCAGTCAGCCCTGTCCAACTGGAGCCAAGCCACACACTCCTCGAGACCCACAACCCCAAGTCGGTGAGTGTGTCATGGTTCCTCTCTAGTTTAGAGTATAGGCTACATGCATGCCCTGGTGCTGTGATGACCATGTTGTTCTCTGATCTCAGGTGTCCAGTGGAGGCCCACTGCCCCCAGTAAGCACTCTGACCTCCCTACACAGTCTGTCTGCCTCCCCTGCTTCCTCACAGGGCCTCATCATGGCCTCACTGCCCAGCATCATGAGCCTGGGGGAGTCCTCACTTCTCATTGGTAACATTTGCTCGCTAGTTTCCTTTCTTTTCCATGTAAGAATAAAAATAAAAATCTGAGAAGCGTGTCTTTGCCTGTTGTTTCACAGGTTTAGCCTCCACGCAGCCTCAGACTGTACCTGTTATAAACAATGTAGGGGGAGGTTTCACCACGCTTCAGCCAATCTCATTCCAGCAGCAGCTTCACGCCTCTCCACAGCAGCCAATATCACAGCAGCTTCAGAGTCACATGGGCGCCAGTCCATTCATGGCAACCATGGCGCAGCTGCCATGTCACAGTAAGGCTTCACCAATAAAAAGACATGAGTTTAACATGTTATGTTGAGTAAGGATTTCATTCATGTGCTCCTCATTTCAGTGTACAACAAGTCGGATTCGCCCCAGTACCATTCGTCCAGTCTGCTGTCACAAGCCATGGTCATCACTGACAGCAGCAGCCTGGGGACCCTGACCAGCCTCGCTGCCGTCAGACAGGTAACAGGCCTGATGGGCTTCCGAGTTTAGGAAAAAAAGGCTTCAGCGCAATGGGATGATGGTGTCTGCCTTTTGTTGTGGCCGCCTGAGCCAGGTCATAACAAGCAATATTTGCTCTCATATTACATTTGCTAAATTGTCCTCTTTTTTGTTTTGTTTAGATTCTAACAGCAGATCCTGAGGAACAGACGGACCCACCTTTACAGGAGGATTCTCTGCATCTGCAGCCAAACACACCTGTGCCAGGTACACAGCTTTAAATCCAGGTGTAATCCCAGACACCTGCATTGTACTACAACATTTTTGAATTGACGTCATGTCTAGTTAGGCAAATGTCAAAGTGATATCTATGGAGGACCAGGGATGTCACCCGAAAAGTAATAGAGCATTTCCTTAATTTAATATTTTAATAGACATTAAAAATAGGAATTGTAAAAAGAATTTATAAATGAACAATTATATTAATATCAATATCAATATCAATATCAATATCAATATTAATTCATTAATAAATAATAGAATTTGAAAAACTATGGAGAGGCTAAAAGGAGAAGCTAAATGACTGGGCTGGTCTATTAGCTAATAGGAAAAGGAAATTGAGGAGAGAATCCAGGAAATAGCTTTTCAAATCATTTTTCAAATTTTATTATTTATTCATGAATTAGTAAATGTATTTAAAATGGTGTATTTAATGATGTTGACAATTCCTACTTTTAATGCCTAAAATGTGAATTTAAGAAAATGCTTACTTTTCCTGTGACATCGCTGGTCCTCAACAGATATTCTCCCTATCAATGATTTTTGACCATTTCAGAGCAACATTCATCATTCAACATGACACAGTCAATGAGAATACATTAAAGTTGCTCTACACTGTGTGAACCTTGGGGTGGGTAAAATTATCTGGGATTAATCTGAGGGATGAATTTGAGAAATTATAATCTTCTGGAATAATGTTTTGTTGGAAATGAAATTCTCTAATTAATTTTATCACATAAACTCAAACAACTGCTAACAAAAATTTTAAAGGAACATTTTGGGGACTGCGTTGGTCTTTCTTCCACACATTAGGTGAGATTAGTACCACTCTCTTACCTGTTCATTCAGGAAGTCACTATAAGAAAATGTACGACACATAACGTCATTTTGGAATTTCAATTTGTGTGCAGATTACAGAAACAAGATATAAAGCGTTAATTGATGATGGTGAGCATTGCTGGTAGTTAGCAGGCTACCAGTTTCCCCCCGTTTCCAGTCTTAATGTTAAGATAAGCTAACAGCTGCTGGCTCCACCAATAAAATTCTTCTTGTTGGTCATAGTGTGAACATAATCCAGTTGGGTGTTTACCTTTTTCAAGAAGTGTTTGATTGAGGCCTTATATATCGTGCAGAAGTCCTAGTCTGGTATTGATGTCCCAGCATTCTTGCCAAACTAATTTTTCATATGATAATCAATAATAGTTTTAACCTTAGCTTTATTTAACATGGCCTCTAGATCCAGCTACACAGGCAGGAACCCAAAGAAAACAAACACTCAAACCTCTGCTATGAAGCCTGAGCAGTACGCAGTTGAAAAAAATGTTCTAAATTGATGTTTTAAATGTGATTAACGATAATGACACTGTATGTAGTACTTATATCTCTGTGCTTCAAAGAAACATTCAGAACTAATTTTGCTTTACGGTCCAAATAAACTACTTTTCTCATTTTTTGTCATCAGCATCTTCTGAGAGCTTGGAGCTGTACCCTGCCTCTCAGACGACAGACAGCCATCAGTCCCACCTCCTCTCGCCTTCACCAACAGATATCAGCTCCTACATTCCTACACAAATGGTCTCGACTGCACAGTAGAAGTGCTGTGGGAATGTAGCGTCTCCTCACTATCAGCTGGACTCAGTTTTGTGACAGACAGCTACCTCTGGTGTTAAGCTCCCACAGAAACCTGGAGTCAGGGGCCACGGGGACATGATGTTTCAAAGACTCTCGGATGCAAACGCCATACAACTGCAATGTGAACAAGGATGCACGTTAAAGATGTGGAAGATTTGATACTCAAGGGAATCAACTGAAAATCAACACAAAAATGTATTTTTATTAAAATAATGTTTTGTAATATTCAGAGATTGTAAATTCAGGTGAAACTTATGAAGCACTTGTTACCTGCATTATTTTTTAACTCACTGCCTTCAAATGCTTTTTTCACATTTTAATGAGTCTCTTTCAAAGTAAAGGCTATTTGAAGAATAACCAAGACAATGGTATTAAAAGATTTTTGATGAAAAAAATGGCTTCCAAAAATATCCCCCAAATGTTTTGAATATCTCACCACCCAATCATTTCAAGCTTGTGACAGAACATGGCTGACTGGAACATAGACAAACATCCTATAACAGTAAAAGGTTAGTCACAAGAAATTCAGTCCAAAGCTTCTTCCACTGTGTTTCCTTCTCGCTTCTTTTTCTTTTTCCGTTTTACTTTGACTTGCGTGTTTTCCTGTTCTGAGCTCTCGTGCTCACCGTTGCTTTGAGCATTAAGAGGAGAAACTGCACAGTCCACCTGCTCCTCTTGATTCTGTTTCCTCTTTTTCTTTTTCTTGACAACATGGCTGTCTTCTCCCTCTGCCTCTTTTTTCTTTTTCTTTATTTTTCCTGAGCAGGGCGGCTCCGCCGAGGGACGTGAGAGTGTAGAGGGCAGTGTCAACGAGGGTAAGAGATCTGTGACTGCCACCGCTGCCTCTCTCAGCCTATTTTCCATCTCGCTGTCGCTGTCACTGTGAAGGACAAAGAAATACATAATGTTAAATTCTCAAGTATTTAAACAAATCAACATTTTAAAGAAAATATAATGAATAATAACCTTGAGCTAGGAACTGGTCGACGCCTCACGGGGGCTGGAGGCTCCTCGGCTGTCTGTCCTGGGACTGATGTAGAAAACAGACGAAATCCTGAAAAAAAAAAAAAAAAAAGCGTAGGTAGCCATGCTTAAAAATCATAAAAGCAATAAGGGTAATAAGACAGAGAAACATTACCTTCATCATCGTCGTCATCATCATCACATTTTGCTGATTGCACATAGGATGAAGTTTTGGTCTGTGTTTCTGTAATGCAACTTACAGTAACAAACATATAGCATAAAAGAGGTGTAAAAATGTGCATGTATCCTTTCCTCACAAAACTAAAAAGAAAAAATGCATCACTTTGACATGTTAAACTTCTCTAACAACTTACCTGTCAAGAAGATGTCCCAACTTTTTAGCAACATGTGTTCGAAACCCTTGACTGACCTGGAGCTCGTTGCCATCATGTTCATGGTCAGCGACAACAACACTATGACACAGTAAGACAATAATGAAACTTGCTTATTTTTCTTAATTCAACCGATCATTTTCATTGGGGGATGCTTCAAGCTGCAGATGAAAAATCTTTATATTTGTGACAGGGATAAGTACAGTAAGGTCTACAGAACTTCCTATGGTATCTGCAGTTGAAAGGCTAATAATGAAGGCTACTAAAACTGTGTGTGGATACAGACTACATTACACTACTGCTGTCTGCACAATGGCTGGTTATTTTGAGAGAAAGACATACCGTTTCGACTGTTTCACATCACTGTCTCCTTCTGAAAATACACAAAGACAGCTACAGTCATCAACAGAGACATAAATGTAGTAAATGAAGTACTCCACCACTGTTTTTACAGACTAGCAGCAAGTTAAAGCCCATACACTGCAAGAGGTCAGAGCAGGGGTCTCCGGAGCTCACCCCGTTTTAGAGAAGCTTACCCAAAGGTTCAGAGAATATAGTCTGTATAAACCATGGATGGATAGTACAATCTTTAATCAACAGAGCTTCACTCAGTAAATCTCTTCCAAACGCGACTAATCAAATACAGAAACACACACCCGCTCTTCAACACCAAATAATTATTTGTCAGTTGTCAGTCCAATGAGTTAACATCAAGTTTGTTTACATCAGATCTACTGTAGGCGACATGCAGTGATAGCAACTCTTCTGATAACATATAAACTAAAGTTTTCCAACAAACAGGAAATGTGTTGCTATGGATACAGTGAGTTAAACTGTGGGGTTCAACTTGAGCCCTGTGTTTTTTGTGGTTTTTTTACAACATGTTTGTTGACATGTCTGAAAATTAAATGTGCTGAAATAGCAATGTTATGTTTTTGTTTATTATGTACCTCTCACTGGATTACTGACTGAGGAGCTTCTTTTCTCTGGTTTCTCAGCAGATTTAAGGACGTTTATTTGCAGTGGGGTTATCATGTCTGCCTGTTCAGGTTTGACTGAAACATGATTCAGATTTTTGTCTGATGTGAGTTTCAGATGTTTTAGGTACAAAATGTGAGGTTTGAATGTTGATATTTGATGACCTGTTAAATTATCTTATTCATCTGATTTGGGTTGGAGATGTGTTTGAGTGTTTTGAATAAATGTAACAAGCGATATAAGACATGAAGAGCTCTAAAATCAGTTGGAGACCACTGGGTCAGAGGAAGGCACTGGACTCACACAAGTAAAATGTGTGTTTTTGACAGTTATGCAACTTTAGCCAATGTTGAATTACAACTAACTCCTCTATACACGAATCAGAAATATTATGGGGTGGTCTTCACCAGCCTAATGTCGTTTTTCTGCAGGAGTTTATCGGTGGTGCATTACTGCTGACTGGATCCCTCACGAGAAACAAAACGACAAAAAAACTTTCACCTTTGTCTTTGACAGGTCGTGTCTCCCAAACCGCCTCCTGACATCTCTTCAGCGCTTCATCGTCACTGCTGCTGGAGTCGTCAGAGACACCAACCATCTTTTTAACGGGGGCCGCCATGATAAGGCATGTGCTGCTGCTGGTGTCGTCTTGTTTTGTGCTGAGGATTGTGGGTAATGTAGTGTCTTCGCCAACGGGAACCGTGCGGACAGAAAAAAATCTAATTTCTCAGATAGCCTGTGCGTTTTTATTCATCGCTGAATTCATACAACTTAGAGAAACAATCTGAACAAGAATATAAAACAAGTCTTGACAGGTTCATTAAAATCCTCGTTGTGATTACAGAGTTCAAAGATCTTGAAAAACAAGAGCTTGTGCAAAAATGACAACATTTCATGAAAGGTAAAGCAATTTAAACTTCAGGAGTGGAGATCAGAATCAATTTGAAATTTTTAAAAAATGAACATGGCGCCAGAATAATGTCATACTAAAAATTAAAAAAAAAAAACACAATGGGATAAAATCATGTGGGTTTAAAAATATCAGCTGCAGCAACTTGCTATTTTTTGCTTATATTTTGTGAGGTACAAATATAGCTGACATAGTGTAAATATACATTGATAAAACCATGTTTTAGTGTCCTGGACATGCCACATGATCAGATTACCTGCTTATTGTTTATTATTCATGCTATTTGTGAAGCCAGCTGGAAGACAGGAAAGCCCCCAAAAATCCCTGATAATCTACTTATTAAGAGCACTAGCTTTTCAATGTGAATATGTTTTGTCAGCCATTTTTATTAACAATAAATCTAATATGACGTGTATCATTTGTAAAAGCAGCCAATATAAAAAGAGGAATTACAGTCAGTCATGTAGTCTTTTTTGTGCAGATACACAAAGTGTACTCACTTCTCAAGGCATTTAGATAATCAGAATTTAAGATAAAATACCACTGACTGATACTGTATGGCAAAACAAATGTAGTGTTATGAACTACTACACCATCACTGCTGCTTCCCAGCAGTTCAACCGACAAACACCCATTGAGTCCAACTGGCAAAACAATTGAGGTTGTATAGGGTCATGGAGCAAAGATTACGGCCGTGTGTGCCTGACATCACACTTGTTGAATGTTATTAATGGGTACGTAATGATGACAATTTTGTAACACGTTGAGTATATGAAATGTCTTATGTTAGGCTATATGATGTCCCTTGTTTCACACATGGCAGTACTGCAAGATGCTGTAAAATATTATATTCATCAGAGAGTGTGATGTGAAGAGCTGAATTCTCTTCCCTTCATCTTATTTTGGGTGAGAGAAGCATCGTACTGCAGCGCTTGCCTTCAGCAGGATGAAACGCAAGGTTCTCAGACATTAAAAAACACAATGAACGCCTGGATACAAGGCACAGGGAATCAATATTACAATGTACAGTAAAAGGAAGCCCAGATCATTTGAGCATGGAAAAAGATTATCAGACCGTTTCGGTGGTTTTGCATGATTTAACCGATTAACTGCAAATTACATATCCCACTCTTAGAGCAATTGTGACCATTTACAAGGTTTAAGACTTACTTCCAGCCTTTCAGGTAGCTGCTGATTTTCATTCATTTCTGTGCAATATGAAAATCAGTAATATTGAACTAGATAATCACAGTGGATATTTACATTGCAAGCAGTGACTATTTTCAAGCTTTTCATTGTTGAGTGATTCATGGCGTATATCAGACACTTTTACACCGAGTTACCAGATTTAAGGAAGACCTTTTAGTATATGCAGAATAATTTAACAGTATCAGTGCCTCCTGAATGGCCATGAACTTGAATGAACACTTCTCTGAGTGTCAACAAATAAGCATTAGCTGCTTAAGGGAGCTGTTTGTAAGTTTTGCTAATGCTATATAGCCAATGGTGGCATTAACAGCTATTTACTTAACAGTCTAGAAGAAACGTTGCAGGTTCAGCATCACACTTCATTCTTTTACTCACCAAGACCGGTCTCCAGTGGTGGAAACCAAGTCCTTTTTTGCTTTTAATTCTATCACTTCTTTTCTTCTTCTGAAATTAGCATGCTAACCAGCTAGCTAGCTGCAGCCCAATTGACCCATCTCTTCACTTTCCAATACTGAGTCAATGTATCGTTCAGACTGCCCTGAGGGAGCAGCCCTGCTCAGAGGGTGTATAACCTCTTGTACTGTAAATGCAATGATGGCTGACTGGTAAGTAAACAGCTGTTTATGCTAAAGCTGGCCTTGTAGCAATAGCAAAACTTACAAATAGCTCTAACTAAGTAGGATTTATTGCAGGACTGTTGTGAAAAGTTTCATTACATAGTACTTAATAGACTTGTGTGTAATAAAAATATTACACAATTTGTAGTGAACGAAGAACATTTACAATAAATTGTACAAAACCACCGATATGGTCCTTAAGCAGGGCTTCCATGAATAGAAAGAGACAGGTCAACCTCTGTATCTACCCCAGGACCTGATTAAAAATAAATCAACCCTGATTAAAAATAAATCAACTACCAAACTACAAATCTCTGTACTGTCAAGTTGTATGCTACTAATAGGTACACCACACCATTGGCCAAAGTCAACTCCTTCAGAGTGGGATTCACAGTGCTGTTGTACCAAATGAACCAGGAAAACAGACCTCAAGGGATTAAATATCTGTGATTACACACTGGAGTGGGTAAACAGATCAAATAGTTTTAGACATGGACGGCATTTAAAGAAAGATGTATCAAGTCCAGTAACTTAGATTCTGCTGCTACCATGTCCTATTCAGGTATCCCAGAGTTTGACAGGCACTAGATTCCCAGTCGACAGCCATGATGTTAAAAAGATTTTGTCATAAAAATGTAACAGATTCTAGCAAGATGAAGATGACATCTGAAATTGTGAAAGGACTGCATGCTGTTGTTGAAGAGATTGGTCAACCTAACAATGTACCATATAAAATGAACATCAAGCTTAAATATCTAACAAAAACAGTCCCAATTACTCACAACTGATAGTAGATATCTAAGGAGCAATGAAACTCAAACAATTTCAACTAGTGCTACATGATCATCTATGACTAACAATACTGTAAAACATCTAGTTAATGCTCGCTTTTCCATATGGGAAACACAGCGGTCAATGGCAAGAGGTGGTTCAAATAAACTGCAACTGATAACATCTATATATTTAAGTAAATGAAGTAGTAACTAACACAGTCTATGGGCTTTGCCATGAGAAAGTCTGTGACTCAAAGTGTCCCTTTCCAGCAGAGACAGAGACAAAAAAAGGCAAAAAGTGTTCAAGCAGTAACATGATACTTGTATGACAAACTGAAAGACAGAACAAAAAGGCTTCAATCAGATTTAACAGAGAAATATTTAACAGAACATTCCTCTGAGTCCCAGAAACTGAGCTCTGAGAGGTACTGATGAATGGATCCATGATTTCATTACAAGGCAGATGTGGTCTGTTGATTCTGAAGTATGTTGTCATGTTTGTAGGAATGTCCACAAAGGAGAGAATACTTCTGTCCACTGAAAAGCTTTCTGATGGTTGTAATCCGAGAAATCAATCCCCTGGGAGGTATTGCACACATTTTCACATCAGGTATTACAGACCACCATTGTAGGCATAGTCTGCCTTGTTGTGCATGATGAGTTTGTTGTCCACAAAGTAGAAACTGTCTGATCTGGTCTCATAAGGGTGCTCCACCATTAGGCGAACTAGAAGGAGTGAGGGACAAAAAAACAAAGATTATTATACTATGGATTATGATATAAAATATAAACCCAGTAACATTGAAATAAGTGGCTGACCACAACAGACTAGAACTCACTGAGGTCGTCTGGAAGCTGTGGAAACTCATAAATGTGTTCACATGTGTTGCGGCTATTAGGAATGCAAAAGCCAAAGTCAAAGTCAAAGTTCTTGAGAAGGCGCCCCTGGAAGTAATGCCTCTCAATCATACGAAAGCTGTTGATTGGCCGGTCACCCACTGTGAACTCGACACTGTAGTTAAGAAACAAACAAGACAGACAAAATTTACAACTGACTATCAAGACACTGACAATACAAAAGGTTGATTACTATGTACAACTATGTTCATTCAGAAAGTTATAGTCGGTTTTACTTACGTTGCACCAACAGTGCGCAGTTTTAGGAAGGCTGGCGTAAACTGGTATCTGACAAAACGTCCTGCACTAGTGTCTACATCTCCACTCTCCTCTTCACTCTCCATAGGACCTAATACAGAAAACATGTTCATTTAACTCGTATACATTGACAGGATAGGCCAAATTACAATAATTGGCTGCATATATATGTATATACATATATATGCCTCTCCAAACTGGTCAACTTACAAAAGGACAGCTTTACAAAAACAGTTATTGAGTATTCACACTGCAAGAAGGTGTAAGTTTGCAATTACAAACTTTACAGAACTCTGACTGTACAAGAAAAAAATGGCTTGTTGCAAGAAATAAATCTCCGTGTGAAATTTATAATAGTAGCATCTATAAGTGGGCCCATAATTTGTACATTTCCTTTGTGTCTATCCTACATTTTAAGGATATTAAGCTTGGTTGGGTGGCAAAAGTTAATACATCACTTACCACTGTTGGGAGGCTTGGCAATCTCAAACAGGACTGTCCCTGTCTCCAGATCTCTGATTTTGAAACGTGTAAAGTCAATGTTGTAGATATTGTCTTCAGGTTTGCAAAGATAGTCTGCAACATGAAATAAAAGTGTAAGTTTGTGTTAAGAAAAACACAAACATATAAAAAGTGAGATCATTATCTAACAAGCAACCACCCATTAGCAGTCACATTATATTTAAAATGAGTCTTTCATATTTCATCAGGATGAATTTTGTGAGCACAGAGGCTTACCCTTACTTAGAGAACTGAGATAGCACTTGATGAGTAACTAGGGTTTCAGTATCTGTTTTCTAGCTTTGGCAAGCTGCAGTTGTGGTGAGTAATGCTAAAGCACAGGCTCAACAAAGTGTTGTGAGAGAGAAGGGAAGTAATGACATTGTTGTCTGGTCGGTGAAAAAGCCAAAAACAATGAGAGGCATTAAGCATTAGCTGCAACTGTTGCAGACAGGGTGTCTGGTGACAGACCCTGGGGTTTGAGTCAGAGGGTTCAAGCAGAGCAGTTGTGGAAAGGTTGTATAAAAACGTCCATTTAAACTACTTAAAGTTGCATGAAGATGTTTGGATGAATAAACTCTGCCAGCAATGGCAAACCGAGAAAGTCTGTGACTATTACCTTCACAAATGGCTGGAGACCAAAATAAAGCTAAACGTTTAGTGGGCAGACCTACATTCGACAGGTGGTAAGAAACATAGCTGTGAATGAGTTTGTGTCCAGTGTTGCAAACCACTTTCAATGGAAAGTGGTTAACGCCTGCTTGAAAAGTTGCTAAATGTTACGGGATGACATCATGCACTAATTACCATGTTTGTCACCTCAATGCGTTGTGCTCTGCTTAGTGTCAAATGGTCTTTACATCTGGTTGCTTCTCACACAGTATTTTGATACAGCCAAATTCCCGATTCACCTGTTTTCATTTACATATTTTTATGTTTCTGTTGTCAGACAAGGGAAAAGTATGCAATAGTGACTGAAACACAGCCCATTTAGACTACATGTTAACCAGCAGTAACTTTCAAGTCATTTCCAAGATGATTCTCAGCACCGCCAAAATCCTGCCAAAATCACCATACATATAATTTAAAGACAAAGGCTGTGCTGTAATTTTGCCTATATTTATGTAAATGTAAAAATGATCACTCAGAGAGAAAGAAGCTAAAGAATATCTTATTTTTGTTTTTTCTCTCACACAGTGCACAGCCTGCACATGCGCAGCTCATTCTCGTCTATGTTAGCTGAGGTGCTCTCACTGAACAGAGCAGACACAGAAACAGGTGCCTCTTGCCCGTACTGGTGACCGTCATCCATGAAAGACGCTGAGGTTTGTCCAAAAAGTCGCTAGATTTGTCGCTTGGTACTTAAAAAAAAAAAAAAAGTCACTAAAGGTATCTGAAAAGTCCCTAATTTTAGCAACAATGATGGCAACACTGTTTGTGTCTTTCTAATCTTTTTAAGATCATAAGGTCAGTCTTGTGTTTTCAGCTGCTTGACATTAATGCAGCTTTAAGGACAAGGGACCCTGAACAACAGTCCTTCTAGGTGGCCCAAATTCCTAGCTGCACCCCTGGGAACATCCTTATTCTTTGGTTAACAAAACAAACAATGAGAATGCCTGACTCACAGCAGAGATATATGGCGTTATGCATTTAACTAATTCAACATTAACCAGTAGATCCATTTACAATTAGCGGACCTATTGTCAGCTGTTTTGCAAACTGGGTGCTTAGCCACAATTAGCTCTGGGTAAATTAATGATGCCCGTTGAGTGGTGTGATTTAACCGTATTAAATAAAACCAAGTTAACGTTCACAAAACTTACCCTCCGTGACAGCCCGGAGACCCAGGACATGGTCCGGGGAAATATCTCTTCCCAGAGCCCGGAGTTCATCCTCTGTGACCACAGGCCACTTATCCGTTTGACTGCGCCTCGACTTCAGCTTCTTCAGCATACCTCCTCCGATCTTTCGATCCCGGTGGGTCGTCTCCGAACTGCTGTCTGCGTCCGCTTGTCCCTTGCCGACTGCCTGTGTCGGTTTGTTTCGAGAACTGTTCATACCGGAAACTGTGGCGATAATGAAAAGAGTTGTTGTGCTTTCCAAATTGGGAGCGACTTGACAAACTGCGGGTGTAATTTCAAGATGGCGTAAAACGTGTACGGGGACGGAAAAGCAAGATTGTGATTGGCTGAGAACGATGGAGGTTGTCATAGTTACCGACAGGGTATGAATGGTTTAAAGCCCAGGCCTTCCCGTTTCCTCTTCAAGTGTGCGTATTGTGTTACCTCTAATGTGCTAAAGACTGGCCTGCGTTAAATCAGACAGTTTTCTCCTCTTCCGTTGGTGGAATGTTACTAACGTTCAGTGTTTCTGTTTGCCGTTAGGAAAAGAGTCTTGACAAATAATCAGCTACAGATTCGTGCTGCCCAGTGTACCATGTCAAGTACATCAAGTGTCGGTTGCTATTAATGTCCAGCGTGTGGCGCTACTGCATTTCCCCGGATAGCGGATAGGTTTGTTGACGGAAGTTCCCACAGAAGAAGAGTGGAGCAGCGATGGTACGCGTGAAGTCGAGGTAAAAAAAATGTCCCCCTCGTGTTCCATTTGCCCACATATTTGTGCTGTCACGTTTAATTTCTGACTGTACCTTATCCGTCGGCAGGTATTTACTGTGCGAAGTCAACGTGTCAGACCGGAGCCGCCTGTTGCTGCTGGATGACCGAACTATTGCGGTTGCAGTGAAGGCAGTGGTGGCCCGCACACACGGGGACTACGGAGCAGCTCTCTGCAGTGTCGGATTCTCGGGTAAGAAGTGGTGCAAGTACTTTTTAAATGCTTTACCTTGGTAACGTAGAAAAAACACAATTTAAATAAACTCAATTACAAGTAAAGATCCTGCATTCAAATTAAAAATACAGACCTATAATCAGAAAATGTACCTAAACTGCCAAAACTACTCATGTAGCAGAATGGCCTAGGGACGTGTTATAATATATTGATTTTTTATTTTTATTTTTACTTTTACTTAATTGGATTATTAAAATGACTAACTCCACAATTCATCCCCAAGTCATTTTGCACAGCATACATATTTGTATTGTATATAATTATATTTTTCTATCATTTTTTCACAATTATTATTATTAATTCATTATTGTAAATATTTTATCCTATTGTTAAACTTTTCTATTTATATTTAAGCTATCTGGCCGGCAGTACTTGTTTCATCTTTGTATATATTTATTCTCTTCTTACTAAGTTTGTTGTCATGCACACAAACACCAAATTAAATTCCTTGTATTAAACCAGATTCTGAGATTCAGATTCTGACATGGTTTGAAAACTGATACTGATCATATTTTTTTGTATGTAAAATCTTAACTAGTAAAAACAGCTGTTGGATAGATGTAATTGAGTAAAATGTAGCCTATACTATTTGCCTGTGAAATTTGCTGAATAGGAGTAGCATACATGTACAAGTACATATATTATTTAAGTTAATATCCATCACTGCTTGTAGGTTAAATTACTAGAGTTTTAGAGCTGAAGTAATATGAATCTGTCTAGACTTCTTAAAAAAAACATTAGATGTAACATGAGAATATTAAGGATTGTCCCAACCCTTCAACTCTTAGTGCTGATACTGGTTTTGACTCCAAAAATGATCACTAATACTTAAAGGACAGTGTAGTATTTACTAACCTCCCTGTGTTCTCTGCTTTTTCTGTCTCTTTTTAGTGAAGTATCTGAATGCTCATACTGGAATAGTATTTCTGCGTTTGCCCAAAAGGTGTTACAGACTCCTCTGGTCTGCATTGCCTTTCATAACTAGTGTTGAAGCTCGTGGGCAGAAGATTCCATGTTTTCTAAACTGTTTGCATGTGGGAGGTAAGAAAAACATCAACACCCATTTCATAATGAATCAGCCATACCTTTGAACAATCTTAAACATTAATTGAGCAATATTTGTTTTCCAGGAACAATTAGAACATGTCAGAAGTTTCTGATTCGATATAATACCCAGCAGCTCCATCGAATGCTCCCTAAATGTAAAAACGAAGGTAAGGGATTTGATTGACTCCTATCTTAATGTCATTTATACAGAACTTTGCACTTACAGTCAGTAGTGGTCTGTTTATTTATTTAGCTGATGTGTTTTTTTAAACTCTTCAATGATAAAGTCCTGATATTAACTTAAATGTTTACCAGTTTTGAGTGTGATTCTTATAGGATGGATTAGACCATTAGACCAGCCTTTTGAATTTTGCATTGCAGCCTTTAGTTTACTGAAGGTCTCAACATATCCCAATACAAGGCCTACAAAGAAAAACAGCATTTGACTGGTTCCTTCTCTTTTTTTAATTTACAGAGGAAAAACAACAGGTTCGCCAAGCAATTCTGAATTGCTCCCTAACAAGAGGAAAGAATGAAGCATTAGAAGATGAATTAGGAAGTGAAGAAGATGAAGGAGAGTGACTTCACAATGTGCAGTAAAAGGTGGCAGCTATGTTGTTCTCCCTGGATGTCTGGCTCTGACTATTTTGGTTACAAGATTAATAGGGGGGGGGGGCATATGAAGCCATTGAAGAAATGCATACCCAGCTGTGTGGAAACATGGTTCCCTGCCGCTGCTCAGCGGATTTGTTACCAAAGAAAGATGACTGACCTTATGCCTGTTTTCAACAGAGGAACACATTACATTGTATTTGTTTCACTTTGTCTCATAAATAATTTGGGTTGGCAGGATGACCTGATGGTCAGCATGAAAATTCTTTTACAGCAAGGTGAGGTTTGTTTCCAATGCTGATGCTGATTTAGTATCTGTTATTTGTTTTGGATAAGGCTCAGTGTAAATAAAACTGCAGTCGCATAGCAAAATAAGACTGTGGCCTAATTCTGAAGAAATAGTGTTTATTTTTTTAATGAATTTCTTTTGTATTTATACTATGTTTTGTGGTAGCTAATCTGTATTTTATTTCCAAATTAAAGAACTACTTTGGAATCGTTTCGTTGTGGTTCCCTAAAAAATTGACTAACTGCTGTTAAAACACTTTCAGACTATCTGCAGCCTATATTCAAAACCTCACTTTTACACTAAATTTAGTCTAGTTTTTAAATGTTAAAGTATTTTCAGTTGCACTACTGTCATCCTCACTCAGAAATATCACATCATCTACAAAATGACATGACAGCTATGATAGGACTGTTCATCAGTGAGACCAATCAGCATGAGAAATGATTCTTCGTAGATCAGAGGCTTGTGTGTCTAAAGCAGATTTTTTTTTATTCACTGATGAATGCACAGTAAATGCTTCAGTGCAGAGGAACTGATTGACAATATGACAGGTATCTTAATGTCCAGAGTCTCAGACTGACCATGCAGATTTTAATTTGAGCTGAGGGTGACGCCTCTATATGTAATATCTGAATGTCAGAGATCGCTGTCTGTGTCCTTAGACTGATCAACCATAAAAGAGGTAATGTTAGTAAAGATGGTAAGAAACTAAGGTCTAATCGGGATTTTAATCTTCTCCCAATGTACATTAATTAAATGAATGTGTCTGATCTCCACTTTTCCACGCTATGTCAGAAGCTGGCAGGAGGGGCGAAGACAGACAGAAACTTATGGTTTGTTGAAGAAAACCTGCCAGTGAGGAGGTTAGCTTAACAGTAAGTTACTGTGGCAACTGACCCAGAGTTAAAGTGATCTCAGTTTCAGGAAGGGAAAACCCAGAGATTCCTTCATCTCAGGATAAAGAAACTCACTTTTCACTAAACCCACCATCTGGAATAAACCCCTGATGATCAGCATGAAAATCCTTTCACAGCAAGGTGAGGTTTGTTTCCAATGCTGAAGCTGAATTTGTATCTCAAATTTTTTATTTATTTATTTTTTATTTTTAATAAAGGTCAATGTAAATAAAAGTGTCACATATCAAAATAAGACAATGGCCTAATTCTGAAGAAATAGAGTTTATTTTTTCTGAATTTCTTTTGTATTTATACTATGTTTTGTGCTTATCTTTATTTTATTTCCAAATTAAAGAACTACTTTGGAATCATTTTTGTTGTGGTTCGCTTAAAAAAAATTAACTACTGCACACACTTTGATGACACGTAGATCATCTAAACTTAGCAGAACTGTACAGTTGGTAACCATATTTTATTAAAGATGCCCAGATATCTACGTTTGGTCAATATCAGCTGATATTAAATAACCTTTAACGACACTGGTATTAGGTCAGTATGGTGTCATACCAATATCTTTAACACCACATGCAAATAATTAACAGAATAATTTTTTTCTAACCCCATTTTATTACCGTAAAACTGTAGAACTGGTTTATACCTACATAGCTGACAAAGCTGTTACTACTACATTTCCCATGATGCCTACTGGGCCCAAAACAGGCAGGCAGTACAAGAAACATCCGGGTCTCTCAGGTTCTTGTCTGGCGACCCGTCGCCATTAGTGCAAGCTCGTCGTAACGGAAATATTTTTTTGATCAAAATCTTTAAACTGACTCGTTTTCCAGCCGTTGGAGAACATTTAAGGCCTTGTTAAGGGCATATTGTTTTCCTTAACGAGAAAAAAACTTAAATTTAGGGGTCTTGGCCCCTCGTGGCGAGCTTTCGTCCTCTTTTGCAACAGCCTCCATAACTTGAGACGCCGAGATCGTGTCTCTTATTTTTTCTCGGGTTTGTTTTGTTGTCAAGATGTCGCCGTGATGGGGTCTCCGCGTTTGACAGAAATGAATCAGGGCCTTCGTCGCCTGACCCGCACTCACTGCAGCCCGCTTTCCTCCGTTTTTCTGTTTGATGCTAGAGAGCTCGGCAGCTCTCTGCCCGGAGCTCGTCCTCACCACCGCTCACTGCACGGAAACAAACATGGAGAAAAACCCCAACAGCAGCACCAGCACCAAGGTTCCGCCCCGTTCCAGCTCCACAGGCCCACCACCGGGCGAATCTAAACCCAAAACAGGTGAAAACCCGTCAGTAAGCAACCACGAATGTCACTCGATGTTGTCACACACATCGTCTGCAGCTAAACACCCTCATTGCTGTGTGGCCTGCTGGGGCCTAGCAGTAGCGCAGTTTATCTGGTATGGCTGACGTCGCTGTCAAAACACTTGACCCACTAACAGACAGAACTGTGGCTGATATTTCAGACAACACTGCATTTGTAATTCCATTTGCCCTGTATTTAGCACCACAGCTGTCATATGTGTGGATGCGGAGTCTCAGTGAAACATTTAACAATCAACTTCTGCATAAACAAAGTTTTATCCCCCCACAAGTTGTATAATTTACATGTCATGTCAATCTAATTTAGGTTTTTTTTGTCTGAACGACTTCCTACCTCATGCATAATTTTAAAATCCCCTTTCTCAAGTGAGAGTCCACTTTCACTTCCATTCCTTTTGTACAATCTAAATATGACCTTTAGGATGTGTGGATGTTGTCCCTAGCTTCAACACACCACCTTGAGGCTAGAAAATGCACAACCTGCAGAAGTTGGCCTGTGTCACTACTAAACTGTTAAATTCTCCAAAATGCTGTGTGTGGTTTGCTCACAAGTACATCTATTCCACCAGCTGGTTTGAAGCCGTAGAGAAGGCCTATTTTTACCCATAGCGCTAATGATGGTAAATTTCATTAGATATGATTTCATGCCTACAAGAGCCCAGGTTACCAAGTCACTAAGATGACTTTTTTCGTCCACCAGTTTCTGGTTAACAACCTCCAAATCGCACGTCAACAAAGTGAAGAGGTTATATTGAAATATGAATTTCTGTATTCATGTAGTTAATGGATATTTTTACTTAAATTTCAGAAGGTAAAAATAATGGAGGCTCCAAGCGCTACAGCCGCAAGCGTGAGCCTTCCTTTCCTAAAGCTGAGGGTTTCCAAGGCCCTCGCCGCACCAATTCACAGAAAAGCAAGAATTTTGACAAGAGACCCCCTCAGAGAGGCGGAGGACGACAGTATGGAGTTACAGGTGGAGGACGACGTGAGGAGGTTGGTATTTTTAAAGGGTGGCCTTGTATTTAATTTGTTAAAACAAGTCTTTCATGTGAAAAACATTTCATCAGTGTGAGTGATTAAGAAATATGTTTTAATGTGAAGTATAGCATTAGTTTTAAGTTAAAATGTACTTCACAGATTGTTTTCCACATCTGCCTCTCCAGGTAGCAGAGACGCGCCGGGCCGAGTTTAGCCCGGCTCAGTTTGCTGGACCGAAAAAAATAAGTCTGAACCACCTGCTGAACTTCACCTTTGAACCCCGTGGAGGTAATGGTGGCGTCGGAGATGGAGGCCACTCCTGTTGGGGCCGCCGAAACAAATGGGGCCACAAGCACAAGCCCTTCAACAAGGAGCTTTTTCTGCAGGCCAAGTAAGCAGTCCTGCAGAAAGTAAAACATATGTAGACAGGCTGAACATGTGAGAGTCAACTCATCTTTGTGTGTTTCAGTTGCCAGTTTGTTGTGACTGATGACCAGGACTACAAGGCTCACTTCACTGATCCAGACACTCTGGTCAACTGGGACTGTGTGCAGCAAGTGGTGAGTGCTCGCCATCTGTTGAGCTGTGCCCACCAGTACACGTGTGTAAGAAATGTAGCCCACATTCATTTATATACTGATACACATAATGACAGTCTGTTTGTGTTCGTCTACAGCGCATTTACAGCCATGAGGTGCCGTCTTGCCCCATCTGCCTCTATGCTCCTCTGGCAGCACGCATCACTCGTTGTGGGCACATCTTCTGCTGGCCATGCATGCTGCACTACCTCTCTCTCAGTGACAAGAGCTGGTCCAAGTGCCCCATCTGCTATGAGGCTGTGCACACCGCTGACCTGAAGAGGTAAATGAGAAAGAAATAAAGCTTAAAGGTGTGCATCCATATAGCATTTTTTTTTTCTAGTGGAAAAGCCGGGTAGGGCACTGAGGAGGGACTCATCCCAGCACTCTGTCAAAAAAAGAGATGTGCATGGGTTTTCTTTCAATGACAACAATATCTTGACAGCATATCACCACCTCCATTGGGCTTTTCTGTCTCTGTTGTGGTAGTTTCTATCCGACATATACATCTCTGAATAGACACAAACGGCCAAAACAAGCTTCTCTTTCTTTTCTTGGTTAACAGCGTGACGAGTCCCACCCCAGCTCAGTTACCTGAAACGGAGCTACAGTGATGACACCAGCACATTTCTGAAAAGTTCAGAGATTTTCAACTAGAAGCGCTCGGAGCGCTCTGAAAAAATACGCATACCCTCTCTCCTTATTGGGAATAATTGAAAAAAGAAACAAACACAATATGGACACATGCGCTAACTCTGAAGGAACAGACAGCAGTAGGAAAGGAGTAAATATTTCTTAATAAAGGTTAAACAAGGAAAACTCTGAAGCCTTCACATAGAAGCAGTTTAGTATATTTTGTTTTGGTCAGGTGTGTTTTGACACTTGCCTCTAACAATTGGTTTCTTGTTGCAGTGTGGTTGCTATGGAAACCAGGCAGTATGCAGTAGGTGATGTAATCACCATGCGCCTGATGCGGAGGGAAAAGGGGGCTCTGGTGGCGATGCCTAGCTCTCAGTGGGTGAAGGTGGAGGAGCCTGTGCGCTTTGGAGGTGAGAGGCAGCGGCATCTTTGTTTATGAAAGAGATCGATTGGGGAGGTCTTCCAGAAAACAGGTTTAACAAACTCTGAGCCTAACCCTGAACTCTGAGTTGATGAACCCTTAGATGGGAGACTGAGTTATCAGTTCCAGAGCAGCTGATTTGAGTTAATTCAATCAACTCTGAGTCTGTTCTGTGAACTGCATGCACAGTGAATGAAAAATAGCTATCATCAATGGAGCTGCGACTCAATATTCACAATGACAGCTGGTAAATAAAGAGCAGAGCCTCCATTTTAATCCAGTGGTACCAGAAAGATTAGTGTGGCACATAAATGCACATTTATTTTTAAAAAACAGCAGCAGTGAAAGAGCCTGAGTTGGAGAAGAGAGTAAATAAGTGAAAACTATTAAATTTTATTCAGTGTACTTCACTAGACCACATTATTTAGAAGTCTTAGTCCCTTAATGGATGTAAAGCACTTGTTAGATTAAATGTTAAAATATTTATTCAGCCGTAACCTGATGGGGACAAAGTTCTGCTGTAGCAGAAGATGAAATATAGATGAAACTAATAAGACACATGTTTATAGATCTATGATTGTAATCGCATAGTTTGACCCTCATTTGCGATTTTCAGTTGAAAAAGCGTTCAAGTTAATACTGACTATACATTTTTGGGTGTCTATTCTGCACTTAAATATCTTGCTCAGCATCATAAAGATGGCCAATGTGATTTTTAATCTGAGCTGAGGGTGAAGCCTCCATGTATGATATCTGAATGTAAGAGATCACTGTCTTTGTCCTCACACTGATGACTGCTTGATCATAAAAGAGGTCATGTTAGTAAAGACAGGTCATGGGATGAATAAATGTGTTGACAGGATGGTTTGTGTGTGTTTTCTAGATGCGTGTCTTAGCCCGTACTCCAAGCTGCTGCTGACCTCCCCGGCCCAGGGCCTCAGCCTGGTGGCAGAGGAAAAGGCTGCCCTGCAGGCTCAGCTTGGACTGGAAGAGGACGCCCAGGGCTGTTTCATCCAGAGCGCTCTTTGTCTTTTGCAGGTAACTAAAGCTACATGCCTATCTGTGACAATGAACAATTATATTACTTTGTCTGTAGACAGAAATAAAACATTAGACAGTACATAGGGAACACAGTGTCACTGTATGAAATGATAGCATGCAAAATACATGAATTAAACATGAACAATGAAACACTGATAAAGGGTAACAAGTGTGTTTTTGAAATGCCACTGAATGTAAAATCAATACATTTTTGTCTTGCATGTGTGTAAGTGGAACATGAAACCTACTTTGTTATACAGAGTAAAACCATACACAGCTGTAGACTGATCATTTACTGTCTGTCTCTGTGGTATAGGAGCGAGAGGAAATGCTGCTGAAGCAGGTGAAGGCAAATGCAGCAGACAGCTTTGAATTGTCCTCTCTGACTCTGGAAGATCCTCCTTCCCCTGTGGAGGAAGTGGTGACTAACGTCACCAGTGCCAAGGTGAGTCTACAAATGCACCTTTTCTACACATTTTGGTTGGTATCGTATCTGTTGGTGATGAGATCAAATTACTTTACTTTTTTTTTTCCTTCTCTAGCCTGTGCTGCAGTACTCCTCTGCATTTGATGATGAGGTGGCAGAGCCCACAGAGGAGCTGCCAGGGTTACCTGGAGGTGTTCTGGAGAGTGTGCTGGAAGAGCCTCCTGAGGCTGTAATGGATGCACCCCCAGAGCCCCAGCTTGATGAGGAGAACCCAGCCGACCAGGCACTGCCAGGACGTCCCTCAGCCAGTGTGGTGCATGGACCCTACTACTATTTCTACCAAGGTGGGTGATTCTCTGCCCTCCTGCCTCAACCTTGTGTGGTTTCCCAAAAGTTAAAGGTAATTTTCAACTTGTGTCAAGCTTGCCTGCTGTGAGGGAAATGTTACTTTGAGGAAACTGAACTGCAAACTTTGTGATTACATAAGCACCAACTGATGGTTGAATCTGACTAAAGCAAGACTTGGGACAAATCTTGTTTTTGTACAAAAAAAATCAGAATTGAGGGACATTAACCTTCTTTAAACATAGTTCAAATGTTTGTCCTCATCATAAAAATCAAAACAATGAAGGATGTCCTTGGGTCTGACCATTACAAAGTACAGGAAGCCTTTGTTTTTATCTTGGCTGTTGTTTTTTCTTTCCTCACATTTAAGTTTCAGTGTTGATTCAGATTTTCTCTCATCAACTTTTGCTTCCTCACATTTTTCTCCTTCCAGCTGAGGACTGCCAACAGATGTTCCTGCATCCTGTGAATGTACGCTGTCTGCTGCGTGAATACGGCAGCTTGGAGGCCAGTCCTGACTCCATCACAGCCACAGTAGTGGAGATAGTTGGACACACAGTCACTGAGGTCAGCAAACAAAAATCACATACGGTTGATACAATTTTAATGATGAGACCTTGATATTTAATAGTTTTTTGTTGTAATATTTTTATTTCCAAAAGTGAAAAATTTTTCTGTTACTTCTTTGACCTTGATTTCTCCTGTATGGCTTCGTTGCAGGAGATCCGTCGTCGGCATCGCTATCTGGCTCATCTGCCACTCACCTGTGAGTTCAGTATTTGTGAGTTAGCCCTACAGCCCCCTGTCCTCTCCAAAGAAACTCTGGACACATTTGCAGGTCAGAACACTTTTCCTGTTTACAGGATGTGAATTTACAGTTGCAGCAAAGAGATTTTTGAGTAAACATTTTCTCCAAATGTTTAGATGACTTGGAGAAAAGAAAGCGCCTGAGGCAGAAGAAAGCGAGGGATGAGAAGCGCAGAGAGAAGCGAATTGAAATCGAGGAGAACAAGAAGCAGGGTAAATGTAAGTACAGCGGAACACTTCATAGCACCAGCTGAAAATGACTGTCCAGTAAGATGAATAAAAATCTCTCCCTAACAATATATTTGTCCCCTCAGATCCTGAGGTGCATATTGGATTAGAGAACCTTCAGCACTTCCCAGCATTTGGCTCTCCACCTCACAACAGCAGCCCCCCGATCCAACCCGACTTCACATTTGCCCCTCCTTCACCTCTCAGCAGCAGCCCATCCTCTGGTAAGAGTAGCTCCTTCCTCTGCAATTTATGGTGCCATGTTTTCACTCTCTTCAGCTGACTGTTTATGGCGTATGATGAGAGATGTGAATTGGTTTTCTTCTACTCTCTTAGATGGGATGAGATTCCCGAGTCTGAATGGGCAAAGCCCTTCACCCGTTGTGGGTAGTGTGGAGGACGACTCCCACTGCATGTCCTTTGCACAGGTGTGTATGGTTTGAAATTGCCTTTGTCATAAGGGTAATGTGTAACATAATTGTTGTAGCACATAGCTTTATATACTTGACATGGTGTGACCCTGACTGTGTCCTGTATAGATGCTAAGAGATGGGAAAGCCAGAGTTGATGCTGGGCCCAGGATCACTCCAAAGAAAGGTAGTGCAAGATCGCTGATGTTGTGGTGGCTTGTAAAGTGCTGATAGGCATCACACAGTTTGAGGTTTGAACACAGTAACTTGAAAATTTGATATTATAATGCACCCAACAAAACACTAGATTTAGTGTTGACTCGAAAATATGCAGTACTTAATATACAGTAATTAGTATCCACAGGAGTCCGGCGTTGTAGAGTTAATTAGTGGATATTTGTTTTATGGTGGCATTGTAGCACCTGCATGAATTAGATTAGCGTACAAACAATTATAGAAATGTAGAAATACACATACTAATGTATAATACTGGAGGCTTTTGATAGTTAAATGCAGCAGCTAAAATAATGCTAACAGTGTTAATCCACCTGTTGTTAACAGGTTGATTCTACTTAAACCAGGAGACAAACCATCAACCCCATTATTTCTAGAGCTTACATAGACCAATTATTATAATATAGATCTTTATGCAAAAGTAACTTGAGTGCTTTAATTGACTTCATTTCTGTTGTCTCATATTTGAGTTCCAACAACAGTTTGCTCTTTAAGTATATGTTTGTATATTAACAATGTCCTTGTTCTTTTAATAAGGTTGTCATAGTATCAAGTTTTGAAAATCTATATTAAAGGAAAAATCTCTAATTAGTCATAATAATGCTAAATCTTACATTAATAAACTGATAACTGAAACTATGCTTTACTTGTTAAATGGCCTGTTAGGCTGCTGGTTACAAAAGAATACATTTCTGTGTTGATGGATTGCTATGAACTTGGATTGCTTGTATACTTGAGTCACTTGGTACAAGTAGCACATACTGATAAGTGTGAGGGTGAAAACCAGAGCTCAGTGTATTATTTAGTATTTCCTGTAAAACCTGTTTTTAGGGCTAGTTGAGCAATGGAACTCCCTGAAGTCAATATTCTGTCTTGTGCCATGTAGATAAGCTCCTAGCTCCCCCAGCAGCAGACAGTGATGGAGAGAGTGATGGGTCGGACCGTGTCCCGGTGCCCAGCTTCCAGAACTCCTTCAGCCAGGCCATTGAAAAGGCACTTCTGGAGCTGGACAATGGTTCAGCTTCTCCTCCACAACCTGTGGTTGACCCAGGTCTGGTATCCATGAATTAACTGCATCAAGTTATTTTTTTTATTTTTTTTTTTGTCTGAAGCCAATGTGTGTTCTTAGACTTGCACTCATTCTTGGTTTCCTTCTTTCAGATGAGAAAGGAGGCAAGAAGAAGAAGAAAAAGCAGAAACTTTTGTTCAGCACATCCATGGTTCACACAAAGTAGACAACACTGAAGTTCATTTAATCATATCATTTCTTGAGTTGATCTTCCCACTGCTTGTGTTTTTACTTCCATGCAGATCTTTCTTGGACTTACAAGCTATGGAAATAGGTTTTAGCATGTAGCCAAAGTTCATGCTGCTTAAGTCATTGTTCCATTGGCTTGATTCATTGTTTGGGTGTCATGCCATTAGTTTAATTTTTTTGTACAACTTGGTCAAAGCTTTGCAGCAACCACCTGCCACACTGAAAGCCATATGGGGAACATTTAGTTCAGATGCTATGTAAAGCAAGGAATAGAACAAGCTGCTGGCTCTCATACTATGTTTGCTTCAGGCTTTTCATGGATTCCAGATGCCTGGCTTGCATCACAGTGGTTGCTACATGATGTCCAACTTTCCTCAAATTGACCTTGAGCATTGCATCTGGGACCCATGAGTAATAAGGATAAGATAATTCGAGGGTGCTTTATATTACAGTAGCAGTCAGCCAGCTGCAGGTACGTTGCACCTTTGAATCTTTCCAGGATACTCAACGCACAAACATTATAACTCTGGAACGTTGTGTTACAGCAAAAAAACACTTTTTTTTTCTCACAGGTAATAATTTAGGCCTATTCTTCATCAGCTTTCAAGAGGATAGATTTTGTGGGTTGCTGCTTTGAGATCTATGCCCTAGTATTTTGTAACAACAACATGAGTGCATAATGATCTAATACCATTGTGAGGAGGTGAAAACACAGTATTGTATTAAAGAGATTAGTTCTGTTGTTTGAACAGAACTCCAGTATACTCTGCTTGGTTAAACCATAAATACACATTTTCTTCTCATTCATCTTCTGTTGTAGAATGTTAACTAACTTTTAACATTACTCCCCCAGTTTAATTTCAGTGTTGGAAATGTGTGAAGTTAGTGAATTGCTGACATTGAAAGGATGCTTGTGAAACCTGAAGAAAAGTAGAAAATTTAATTTTTTTGTTTTGAGGGTTCTATATTCACCTTTATGTTTGAGCAAGTGTATAGACTAGTGGACATAACTAGTCTGTTGAAATGAATAAACAATTATGCACAATCAAAGAAGTGACTGTTTGATTCTGCAGTTAGTGTAATGCCAGCGACAGTAAAGGATCATGTTTGGTAAGGTCATCATGAAATTAGGACAGTGGCTGCTGTATTATTGATGCAGTATTTTCTTTTTTCCACACGAGGGCAGTCCTGATAAGTTTGAGGTCTATAGTACAATCTTTTTATTATAAAGTTATCTCAGCCACAGAACCACGAAGGGGCTGGTTAATACCAGGCTTGGAGCAGGGCTAGACATTCATTTAATGTATGAAACAACTGAAATGAATGAATTATGCGGGTTTTTTATTGTCCATGTAACAATAGTTCTTTTCATTCAGACAGATATTAGGCAAAGTCTTCACCCCCAAACTGTGTATTTACACCAAGATAATGACTGATTCATTTTATTTAGCTGTGATGGGATATTTCTTGCCCAATCTCATTATCCCATTGTCAGTTTAGTATCAACCTAAAGACGCTTCAAGTTACATAGATTCAGCGCAGCATCAGCCCGGAAGTCAGTGTGATTTGCTTACAAAATATACGAATTGGACGAGAGTTTATGTTGGCTGTTCACCAAAGAAATGTCCTGTAGATTTAAACTGACTCATTTATCAACGTATGAATGTTTACATTAATATCCCCAAATATCTGGCTTTAATATTAGTTCAGTTTATAGTTGTGCTGTAGTTTATTTCGAAAGCACTAACCGGAAGAGCAAGTGTAATGCTGGCTCACTTAACGCTGGTGTTAACCCGGCAGGCGGTTTGTTCAGCGCTGTCTAGTCCAGCTTGTCAACAACACTGCAACCTGAGACGGGATAGCCGGCCAGCCAGTTGGCTAGCTAAGTAAACCAGCTAAGTTAGCTGCTCCGCTAGCCCCTATATTAACCAACTGTCACGACTCGTAATTATTCTGCCAAGTTGGCTAAATGTATCGTGTTTGAAGTTGTTTCGACAAGAGAAGAGGCAAAACTGACTTTCCCGTCTGGTAAGTTGTCTCCATTCGGATCAAACGGCCACCAACGGACAGGTTCAGTCAGTGTTTCCATTTTGCGAGTTCAGCCTCTTGAGTAGTTAGCCTACGGTTGCTAGCCAGCGAGCTGTTGATGCGTTTATCTTTCATCTCATTTGAAGTCTCCGCAGTTATTAGACACTGTGAACTATACGTTTGCTCTGAATGCATCATGCTCATTCAATACTTATGCATAGTTTTAGTGCATAAAATGCTGTTCTGTTCTGACCAGGCCAACTCTTACTCTTGCTAAACTGGACCGGGAACTGTCCACGATATGTTTCGAAGTAGTTGAGGTGAGCGGACAGGAGAAGGAGAGGACACTTGTTGCCAATTCCACACTGGGACAGAATTAATTCAATGGGAATAGCTGTTATTAAAAAAATCACCAAAACAATTTATATAGCGTCGTATTTAATACAAGTTTGCCTTATTTAGATTTATTGAATAACGTTGAATGATCTGCATCAACATGTTTTATCTGACAACCTCCACAGGTTGTATTTAGGTTGCTTTTTGGGAGTACCTATGTAAAACATTAAATCTAGCCTTTTGATCAACTGTGGCACATTTATAGCGAATTGTACCTTAATCTAATGGATCGTGTTCTTATTAAAGCTGTTAAATATTACAGAGTCCTCAGGGATCACACCAGAAAGGTTAAATTGTAGCTTCAAATTGTTTACTGTAACACTGTGGATTCTAATTTAAAGCTTTATTGTAGCTGTGTCAGGAATACTAAACTTCTTCTTTTAGTTGTTAATGTATGAGTTATCACGAAGTTGGCTGTCGTCTATGTTAGGAAGTTTCCTTTGTATAACTGGCTGAACCAGGTTACTGACTTGATGTCTTTTGTTAGTGACACACTATGCTGAAACACAACAAACACACTGTGCTGGTTTACCCTATTCCCTACTCTCCTTCTGTATGTGCTTCCTGCCAGAAATCAAAGAATTGTGACTTTTGCTACACTTTAAAGATGCCTCCCAAATGTTTTAAACTGTCAATACATTTATGTATCATGCAAGTAGAAATACTTATTTACTTTTGTTGTTGTTGTTTATGGGTTTCAGTAATTGGTTTTTCTTTAGGATACTTGTATTTCTAAGGCTATATAAGGCAGACACTTTCTGAATCCCCGCTGAGCTGCTGGACCCACCATCACAGCGAATGTTTAGCATTCCATCTTAGCGAAGGCGTTTCCTGTCAACATCTAAAGTTCAAGTTTTCAAGTTTTCAATCTGTTTGCCAAGCAAAAGTCACTGTGTTTTCTCAGCATCATTTTGTTTCCATTTCTTTGTATTCTTCCACACTTGTTGCACTTGTAGATTTGTGAATAAAAATAATTTAATCAGCAGCAAAGTAACTGGAATTTATCAGTCTAACTCATCAGTTAATGTACATTATGAGATGCACAGAAAAAGATTAGACATGTTGTGGCATGGTTGACACAGAATAGGAAATAACAGGCAAATAGCCATGTTTACAGTATTTATAGCTCCAATAGTCACATACTGAATTTACATAGATACGGCATGTAGTGTGTGAGTGATGTCAGGCAAGCAGGGATCAAGGGCATAATGCAAATATAACAATAGGAAAAGGTAAACAGCAGCGTAGCAGCATTCAGTTAATGACTTTCCTCATACATTTTGTTTTTTTTTTATGCCTGGACATATGCCATTAGCTCGACTGTATGGGTGTGACTATGTTTACTCAAGTCTGTGTCAGTGTAAACATTATCATCTATTTGCTCCTGTATGGCGGCGTGAGAATGCCACAGTGAGGGAACACTTGGACAGCTCCGTAGTGGGTCTGCTGTGATTTGTCTATCACTAGAAGCTTGTGTGCTTTGTTGACAGAAAGTGTGTTCCTCTTAGGCTCCTTCAAGTCCTTCCTCCTTTATGATATGACATCGCTGCTTGGTTTCAACAAAAGTCAGAGCTCCACGGCAGACGGTTGACATCTGGTCAGGTAAGATATGTTGGAATTAATAACAGCAGATTCCTCCAGCATGTCATTTTTCCAAAAGAATTGTTGCTGGTCTCAACAGTGAAGTATCTCAACACAGCAACATGTGGAAAGCATTATCAGATGTGAAGAAGAAGCCTCTTAAAGGGCTAGCACAGAGTTGTAATGTTTTCTATCTTCAGTCTAACTATAGAACCATCTGATAAAACTGATTATTGTCATTGTCAAAAGAATGGAGACAGATAACTTTTGTTATCTCATATTTATCATTAAAACTCCTTAAGACTAAAGAGTCAGTTTAAGATAAACATATGAAAGGTAATTAGGGGAGGGGCTGAATCTTTAATGGCAGTCTGGTGTGAGTTTGCAGTGGAATCCCCCATTCACTGTCAAAGCCTGACTTGCCTGTGTTACAACATAGAAAAAGAAAACAAGGACATTGTACAGTTTTCCAGCCCCTCCCCTGTCTCAGGATCCACCTTAAAGGTATGCCGTCCAGATCACTAATGCACCAGAAATTCAGCTCAGTGGTACATGTTGTACACAAATTAATTTGATAGATTACAAGTGATTATGATAATTCAAAAAATTATATTGTTAAAGACAAATTACAATTTCTCACATTGTAGGCCAAGCCTAATAATTGTTAATAATTGTATTGATTCCAGGCTTCCGCAGTGTTTTTTTTTTCTAATATTATCAGGCTAAAATATATATCACATTGAAAAAATGAAGCAACATAGTTAGTTCTGCTGACTTACTCTAACACCTCTTCTTTCTTGCTTTTTTAAACAAAATGTAGTGCAACTGGTGTTAAGACATCTACTAAAAGAGTATGCAAAGTATGTAGCTAAACAAATATATTGTATGTAAAAATAGAATTTTAATAGCAGTCAAACTATAACTTGAGTTCACCACCATCACAGGTGAAAGTGGAAGTAATAACATAAGTAATTCGTATTTAGTTTTGCCAGTTCCAGTCTCCTGGTGTGCATGTTGGTTCACTGGGACACTTTAATGGACCTGAGCCACTGCTATTGTTATTAATAACAACATGCTTCTTCTCTTATGACAAGTTTGCCTTCAAAAAAGGCCCTAGTTATAGGTCATTATCATTTATTTCATTAATTAACAAATTTATTCACTATCGATGCATGTGTTTTTACCTGCAAGAGTGATCAATAACTGTGTAAATATCTGTCTTGGGTGTATAATTGTGGTGCAGCGTAAGGCACTCCCAAGACAAAGTCCAACGTAATGGCTAGATATAGTGACTGCTGGGAGGCAAATTATGAGCTGTCTTTGCATGATGTAGTGCTGTGATTGAGTACCATAATAATAAAAATGACCATAGATTAGTTTCTGTTTTGTTGTTCATTTATTTAAGGTAAACACAAGAAACTTGTGCTAGTTTCTTGTGCTTCTTCTTGTTGTTCATAGGATAACCTTTGTTTTTACTTTAAGGTGCCGTTGAACAAGATGGCTGCTCAGGTGGAGGTTCAGACTGGGGAGGTGGGGAGGACGGTGGCGGGAGGACGACTTCACCTGAGTCCCCTGACTGACTCCAGCAATAAGAGCCCCATCGAGATCCCTTCCATCAACCAGTCCCATATCATCACTCCAGAGCCGAACAAACCTGTCCCAGGACCAAAGCCACGGCTCACTCCTAAACCTTTTGCTGTGGATAAAAACCCCACCATTAAGCCCATACTTGCCCCTAAGCCCCAAACCAAGCCCCGGCCAGAGTCCACACGCCTTGCTGGATACAAACCAGAGCTTCCAAGCAGTCCAAAACCACAGCAACCAGTTGCCACTCTTAAACCCAGGCCAGTGTCAACCAATCCCAATCGTCCTGCCCCAACCTCCTTTAAAACTTCTAATAAGTTGAACACGGGACAAACAACCAAGCCAGTAGTACAGCCATTTAAACCAGCCCCTCCTCTTGACCCTGGAGACCCCAGCAAACCCACTCCTCCTGTGCCAGCAGAGAGGCAGAAACCTGGTGCATCAAGCTTGGGCTATTCCAAGAGCCTTAAAAAAGCCCCAGCTGCAGAGTGGTCTGGAACTACTAAAAAGGAAGATGACAAGGACAAGATGACATCCAGCACAGGTGGGGCCTCCATTACCAGAGCCAAGTCCATGGGTTTTCTTTTAGAGGTAGGGCAGGAGGAAGAAGAAAAGGAAAAAGCTAAGCCTGAGACAGCTGTGCCACTGCGACCCCAGCCCAGAGGCTCTAGGCCTAGACCTGTATCAGCCATTTTCCTTGACAGCCCAACTAAGACAGAGGCACCAGTTCCTGCCCCTCGCTGGGTCGCGAGACGGCCACTTTCAGCTGATCTTACATCCAAGTTTGAGTCTATCGGTCTTTCACTGCACTATAAAAGTCCTAAAACAAACAGTAAAGAGAACACTCCAGAGGAGATGCCATTGCCACAGAAGAAAGAACAAGAGAAAACCCCTAAGAGTACTACATCACAAAGTACAGATGGTGTAACTAAGCATGCCCTGTCAGACCAAAGCAACAAAAAGACAGAGGAAATGACTGCGAAAGAGATTGATGAGGATAAGCGTGGGGTTAGCATCAAGTCACGAATCAGTCTTCTCTTGGATTCGTCCTCCACTCCTGGGACTGGTGCCCCAGGCCAAGGATCAGATCTTCACTCTCCGGTGCAGCTGGTCCCTGAAAATGAACCAGCAGTTGGTGTTAAACAGCTCATCAAGCAGCTGACAGAGGACACACCACCAACTCAGAGTCCTGTCATGAAACCAGCACTCAAGCCCCGCCCCTTGCCCCTGGACCTGACTAAAAGGTAAGAGCTGCTCTTCATGTCTCCTCGGTTTGCTTTTGTCCCATGTCTTTGTCCATGAGATCCATTGTCATGCATGGCTTTTGTCTTGTGTGCTGTATGTTCATCAGGTTTTCATCTGAGAGGTCGCCCGACCTTGGCAGTGTTTCCCTCATTGAGACAACAGACCATCATGAGATCAGCAAAGATCCTCAGAGGAGGGTAAGAGAGGGACTTGGCTTCTCAGGAGCTGGTTTCTGTTGGGCTCAGTCTATGTTTAGCAGGCAAATGAGTATAACAATGTGAAACTGTGTCAGCTTAGTGCTAGGAAAGGCTTTCACGTGCTATCCTCTAAAACAGAGTTGCGGTTCAGAGGGGCTTCCTGTCATGTCTTGTCCAAAAAATCCAAGACATAAAACAAAAAGAGGGAAAGAGAAACGAGAGGGGATATTTGCGAACTGCTAATAGACGTTAAGCCTGAGTAATACAATGTGAACTAGATGTAAGTTGATAGAATGAGCTTAACTGTGTATTTGCCTATGTAGTTACCCCTGTAAATTTATACATGAATAGGAAAAATATTGTGAAATACACCTTTGACAAATAAGAGTGTTTACATTTCCTGTCGATCCCTGTCTGCATTGAGAGGAAGATTTCCCTAGAGGAAGTGAGGCATTGCAGGAAAAAGAATTGTCACTGCCACAGATGTACTAAGCTGTGAAACCTAAGACAGCCGGCACATTAATCATGCCTGGCGGCTGCTGGTTATGAAACACACAGAGAGGAGATCACCAGGAAAAGGTCAACACAGAGAGGCTTTGATTACCACCTCTGCACCACACCCACTGTTATGAGGCCAACATAGAACAAGGGGATATCGTTTCTACGCTGACATTTGTTCACTCAATCAGTTGAACTCCTTTGTTTACTGTATTTCCTCCTGTTCTGTTGTGTCATTCTGTAGTAATGTGTTTCAGTTCAGATTTGGTTTTTAGAGCTTTTATTTCTTTCAGCTGACTCCATATTTTATGTTGCATATTGTTGGTGGGGAACAGTTTTAGAGAAAAAAAGCAATGTAATCATTTAACAGTTCTCAATATGTTTCTTTATTTTCTCAGAATGAAGAGTTAGCTCTTACCCCCAGTGACCACCGGACATTTGTGGATTTAAAAAATTCCCAAGAGCAGCTCCAAAAGGCCTCCACCCCTGAAGGGCCTGAGGGAGGGCAGACATTTGGTGCCACTACCAAGGAAAGTTGTGCCAGTGGTGAAGTACAGACAGTGCGAGCATCTTTGTTTGAAAATGTTGTGGAGAGGCACAGTGTGCTGATGGTGGATGAGGCCAAGCCTGTAAACAAGCCCAAGGATTCGCTCAGCAGCCCATCAGTTAAGAGAGGAAATAGCGAGGATGAGGGAACTCTGGTCACTGCCACCTACAAAGAACCTTTATCTCCATCAAGTCCTATGCGGGTGTTACATGCCTTTGACACAGTGCAGGCAATCGAAGAGAACAGGGCAGTGAGTGAGAACGTACCATCAGCTCAGTGGGAAGATAAGGCCATGACACTACGCTCCAGGCGCTCAGAAGGGAGCAGGCCGGTGGCTGAAAGGACTGGTTCAGCACAAGCAGACCCAGCTTTGGTGGCACCAGAACAGCAGCCACGATATCTGAGAGTTGGAGCTTTGCAGAAGTGGAACAATACAGGCATTGACCAAGATGCAGGTGTGGAGAAAGGGATGCTAAAGGAGCCACAAAGGGAAGGACAGGTGGCTGTAGATGAAGACAGGCAAAGAGAGCAAGAGCAGGAGGAAGTGGCTGCAGCACCTAAACGTTTGAAAATGCTGCAGCCAGAAGACCAGCAGAAACCAAGGGCAACCTACTTTGCTTTGACCGGACAAATACAAGAGCCAGCCTCTCCTGTAGATGCAGGAGCGAATATGAGGGACATGACTGTGCCCTTTGATAATTTTACTGTAAGGTCTGCACTGGGAGGCTCCCAAGGGAAGATTCTTCCAGTTAGAAGGAATCCATCATTGGATGAAGCTTTTGGAAAAACTTCTCAAGATCAAATTGAGGAGCTGATGATGGGGAGCCACATGCCACACAGGGAGATGAGCTCAGCGTTGGATGGACAGGCGACAGAGGAAATGATGGAGGTTGAAAAGAAAAAAGAACTTAGAAAGGAGACAGAAAAACACAAAGCAAAAATAAAAGAGCTTGAAAAACAAAGACAGCTTGAAATGGAAAAACAAGCACATTTAGAATTTGCACGAATGAAGGAGAGAGATTTGCAAAGAGAATTTGAAAGGCAAAGACAGATAGCCTTTGACAAGGAGAAACAAGAGTTTGAGAAGAAACAACGTGCACTGGAAAGGCAGAAACAAATAGAACTCGAAAAACAGAAACAGCATGAATTGGAGAGAGAGAAACAAAGAGAACTGGAAAGAGAAAAGCAACGGCAACTTGAGAAAGAAAAACGACGAGAATTGGATAGACAGAGAGAGATTGAAAGAGAGAAACTGCGAGAGCAGGAAAAGGAGAGACAGCGTGAACAGGAGAGGCAAAGACAAAGGGAGGAAGAGAGGCAGAGAGAGCTGGACAAGGAGAGACAGCTGCTGGAAATCCAAAAGGAGAAACAGAAAATGGAGGCATTGGAAAGGATTAAAGAGTTAGAGAGACAGCAGCTCTTAGAGTTTCAAAAACAGAAACAGAGAGAAATGGAGAGGCAGCAGATAATTGAGCTGGAGAAGCAGAGACTTAGAGAGAAGATGGAGAGAGAGGAGGCTGAGAAAATAAAACAGATGGCACTAGAACATGAAATGTTAAGACTAAAAGAGATTGACAGGGAAAGGGAAAGACAAAAGGAGATGGAGAAGGAGCTTCAGAAAGAGATGGAGAAGGAAAAGCAGAGAGAGCTGGAGAGACAGAGACAACTAGATATCGAGAGACAGGAATTAGAAAACCAGAGGCTGAGACAACGAGAACTTGAGAAGGAAAGGCAGAGGAAGGAGGAGATGGAGCGAAGACGGCTCTTGGAGCTTGAAAAGCAAAGGCAAGCAGAGAGACAGCAAATTTTGGAGTTTGAGAAACGCAGACTGAGTGAGAAGATGGAAAGAGAGGAGGCAGAGAAAATGAGACAAATAGCCAAACAGCAAGAAGCAGAGAGGCAGCGACTAAAAGAGAAGCAGGAGAGGGCGAGGTTGGAGGCATCATCTCTTAGGCCTAAAGTGGTGGATCTGGACTCTGTGCTCAGAAATGACCCATTTCCCAAGGCTGCTTCTCAGCGCAGTGACCCTGCAACACGATGGAAAGAGCCGTCTCTGAGAGCTGAAGAGTCTTACAAACCTGCCATCCTTGACATTGACGCTTTCTCATCCCAAACCCAGCTCTCCTCCAGTAAAGACTTGTTTCCTGTTCCTAGTATTCAGGGAGTAGACACTGGGTTTGGAGCTAGGTCACAGTCTACACCCGAGAGAGATATTAGCTGGAAGGTGCCACCACAGTCTTCAGTAGGTTTCTCAAGCCCAGTATGGACAACATCTCCTCAGGACCCGTGGGAGCTGCGGCCTGTTGAGATGTCTGTGGACACCGCTGTAGCTGAACCCAGAAAACATTCCAACAAAGTCAGTCCAGAGCAACTCCTCCTCAGGCAGGAGGAACGGTTCCTGGCTCCACAGGGGCGCTGGTCTGCCCTGCTGGACGAGCCACTTCACTTGGCCCCTTTTCCCGGCACAGAATCCAAAGCTGGTGGCTCTCCTGGTGGAGTCTCCAGCAGCACTCCTGCAGAGCCAATCTGGTTCCCCAGAGAGCCACAGCCTCCGGAAAGCAGGGTAGAGGCCCGAAGCCACAGGCGATCACAGGGATCCCAGGTGAGTTGGAGGGATCCATGAAATACTAATATTACTTTAAAAAGCTTTGTTGTGTTGAAGTCGTTTTTTGTATTGTTAAGTTTTGTTTTGTTTTTGTAGAAATCAACCACCAGGTTGACAATTTAAAAGTTAGGGAGGGAAATCGAAATGGTAGATTATGACACAGTACAATCCATTGTTATCAAAATACAGGTTATTCTGCGATACGCAATATATTGCAAAACATTACTCCATTATAGATATGTATAAGTAAAGACCAAAAACAAGGCTCTAAAATTGAAAAATTGTTTCTCAGAAAGCAGCTTTTATTATATAGTCTCTTAACTGTTACAGTAATTTTGTAGGTGCCCAAAATAAAACTGTATTGGAAAGAGTGTTCACAGTCATAAAACATGTACACATGTGCCATTATTCCTGTATAAAATTACTAAAAAGTGACAGAAGTTGAACTGCCAGGAAGTAGAGTTACAGTGGTTAGTCACTGGAGGAAAAATGTTAACAAAACAGTAATAAAACTTTATTGTCTCTCCAAATAAATATTTAGTTAACAAATAACTGAAACAAGTCTCATTTCCAAGGAAACAACAGATAATTCAAATTAAAATACAAAAGGGCTGTTGTTCCAGTGATGCCATACCTCTTTCATGGAACTAGTCTCACGCTTTGGCTTTGCATGTCTGCTGGACACCTAATGACTTTCACATGTATGTTATGTATGTATATGCCATAGTATGTTTAACAAGCACCTGAAGAAAGTCAGAAAGCTTAAATGTAGTTCTGAGTGGGGAATTAAGTGAAGCAGATGAGGAGTTTACTTTGGTCTCGTTGTGTTAGGAGTTGAACAGGATGCGGTCTCGCAGTGTGTCACGGCGATCGACTCCTTCAAGCAGTGCTGTGGAGGGCAGCCTTTCCAGGATGCGGAGTCGCAGCGCCCACAGAGAGCGGGACCGCCACAGCTGGGTGAGTCAGGCTGCATCTCGGCCTCTGCATCATTAATACTGCGTTCCAGGAAACCTGTAGCCCAGTGAGATTTAAAACTGCTGCCCAAATCATTCCTTCAGATTGATGACTGGCTGTGAGCCCTTTGTTGGAGGCACTGTTTTCATTTGGACTGTTTCTCACACAACTCTCTGGAGTCAGGGAAGGAAGTCTGTGTGCCCTTGAGCAGTATTACATGTGTTTGAACCTGTGTGTGTGTATGTGCGTGTGTGTGTTTCTCGTGCATTGATGACAGACAGTAGGTAGACGTGGAATGCAGTTCGTTGAGTGATAGTTGACAGCTGAATACTGCTGTGCTAAGGTAGTAAAGAGTGGGTGACTAATGTTGACGGCATGGCCTCCTAGACTCACCTCTGCCCATCCCACATCACGTTCCAGAGGAGTGGCGACCAAATACCCTCTCAGGCCTGTAATTCAGGACTGGATTAGAGAAATGGTTAATGTGTAAGAGTCACTGCTCATTTATCAGAAGCCTGTCAGCATGCCTCAGGCAAACCTGTGAAGTGAAATGGCCCGTAATGAGCATGTGTCCTGCAGCCAAGCAGACACGTAATATTTGTGTGACTGCGTTTCTCAGCGCTGTTTGGTTACACCTGTCATTCCAAGCTTGTAACCTTGTAGTTCAGCTCTGCTTTTTCTTTTATTTTGAAATTGGTAAACAAAACTTTGTCTACGTATTTGTAATTATACACATGACATACATACATACATACATACACATATGCTTTCAAGCATATCTGTTCAGTGTCTATAAGCTGTACAGGGTTAGGTTCAGTTGGCTCTTTGAGGCTGTAATTGTAGGCCCAGGTTAAAGGCCAACACTACGAACCCAGAAGTGCAGTGTATTGTGTCCCATAATTGCACAGTGCCATGATTCAGAGCTCAGATTAAGTCATCATGAGTTTAAGGTCACTACTACCATCTAGTGGTTGTGTTTCAGTTTATCAGTATCACTCTCGCGGTGTCAATGCAGGCACTATATGAATGATGTGCAAAAAAAAAACATATTGCGATTATTTTGGCAGATATTGGGATTGTGATTATGAGTCATGAATGGTGGAATGGTGATTTTTGCATTTCATTTCACTGAAAAAAAATCTAAAAATAATGATGAGGTGAGCATGTTCCCTAATGTCTGGAGAATATGATTTGAACGCTGGAGCATCTCTGTAACACAAGGGTGTCCAAACTTTTTGCAAAGAGGGCCAGATTTGGTAAGGTGAAAATGTGTGGGGGCCGACCATTCAGTCTGACATTCTTTGAACTATTAACATTAAATACAAATGAACTATTTTATGAATTTTTTTATTGCAAATGGCATCCTTCATTTTTTTTTTCATTTTCAAGTTTTTGCCAAAATCACTCTGCCTTTCATATTTGATGGCCAAATAAAATGAAGAAAAAGTCAGTATGGAAAAAAAACTTTTGGGAAGATGAAACATATCTAGGTTCATTTGAAACATTACATATTATTCACTATTAAATGCTCACTGTAAACTTCTAAATTCAAAACAGCGGTCCATGCATATTCAAAACTGTGGTTTTGATCATCACAAATAAATCAATTCAGTGAGATTTTAGAATTTATTCACCTCAGAGGACTAAACACATATCTTGCCTGCACTAATGTGAAGGTTGATACTGAGATCTCGACTGCAGTGTGTAGTCCAGGTCTGGCTCAAAAACAGTGGTTTAGATGCGCAAGACGTCACGCAGTTGAGAGTCACTTAGTCTCGTCCTCACGCGGCTCTTGTTAATGTTCATAACCATAACCAATGTCTTCTGGCACAAGTATGTCGAGCCAAACAAGCTCAGCATTTTCTTAGCAAATGTTCGAATCTCTTGGAACCTGCCTTCATCCAGCTGGCGGTAGAAGTTGACAAGAGGGAGCTGTTGGTGCCGACTGCTTCATAATTCAGCGAAAAAATATTCCAATTTCCACTTGTCCTGGAAGCGGCGGCCCTCGCTGTCAACTTTTCTTTTTTTAGTTAGGGGCTGAAAGGATCACACAAGGGTCACGGCGGCGAGAGTGCGGCCACAGGTCTACTGCCATCTTCTGGTGAAATGTAAAATAGCTTTTTTTGTACACGTGTATTTTATACTGTGGTCAACAGTGCTGGCGGGCCGCATATTATTGATTTTATGACAGAGGCTGCGGGCCGGTGAAAATTTGAACACGGGCCGCAATTGGCCCCCGGGCCGGACTTTGGACATGCCTGCTGTAACACCACAATGCTTAATTTATGGTATGTTGTGACACATTTGAACTTAATCAAGAAAAATGCAGCTCCTCCGATTTGGATATTGATCTTGGCCATATTGAGATTCCGATAATATTTCAACGAATTGTTCAGCCCTAATTGCTGCTGTCAGTGCTTGCGTGTTTTTTGTTTAAAAGTAACTGAGTTACAGTTGTCTACAGGTTGACATTGAAACTGCCCTGCTGCTTTAAAAGGTGGCACTGGTGGAGCTGATGATAGTTTAATCAAGCAGAATTACACACCGCTCCACCAAGATCCACTAGATTAGAGACTTTCACATGATCGAAAAATGGCAATAAAGATGCAATAAAATAATTTCATGTGAGATTAAATATTGTAAAATCAATGATAATGAAAAAATGATAATGATTTGCATTACACCATTTGACCACCTCCTCTCATTGGTTTGAAATTGGAGAATGTGTCTACTCACCTCTCTATTACATGTATGTGATTATTTCTCAGACTGCAGGAACAATGTGGCTACAGTTATTTTCATTACAGACATTTGTAATTGAAGAACATGCCACATGTCACTGTTGAATTTGACCATGCCATGGGTTTGTTTTAACTAAGTAACTAATTTTGAAGGTTAACATGCTGATTTCTTTAAGCTCAGATGACATCTTCATGATGCTTGTTTTGTCCCACTGACAGTCCAGTACCTAAAGGAATTCATTTAGTTATCACATGAAACAAAGTAAGACATGAAATTCTCACAAGCGAGAAGCTGAAACAAATAAATGTTTACTTAAACAAGTAATCAAATATCAAAAATTAATTTTCTGTTAATCTACAAACAGATACATTTTTCAGCTCAGCTTCGGTGATACTTGTATCAGAAGTAGGTACTCAAAATTTGATATTTTGGACCAGATGACAAAAACATCCAGAGATTTAAGTGATATTATCAAATTGTTGTGAGTGTATTAACAAAGCAATAACAACACCATCACAAATAAAATATATTTATTTTTATATTGATATTGACCTGCAGAGTTTTAAAATAAACGCCCATAAGCAAAATCCCAGAGAATATGTTTTATAAATCTGGTTGAGAATTTGGCTTCTGGAAGAACAGAAATTATGTTTAATACAAAAATGTAGTCATCAGTGTTGGCAGATATCAGCTATGATTAATTTCCCCACATTGTATTCACTGGTGGGCGTGTCCTCAGACTCACATAGATGAGATAATAGTTGTGCAGTGACATCACTGGTTTAAGTCGGAGGGTCTGAGGCAGAGCGGAGATGGGCACTGGGCTGAGAGCTGTGTTGTACATGTGGTCATGCTGCCTGACTCCATACTGCCTCTGGGTAAGTGACAGCACAACTCTCTTATTACAGATCTTTCTCTGTTAGACGTATACATGATACTGAATGTAGTTAGTTATTATTGCAGTATAGTGTATGTTCTTTGGCTACAGCCTAATTCTCTCCTGTGTGTGGATGCTTGTTGGGTTTGTGGCTGATGCTGCACACAGCCTGATGAGGTCAGCACGAGAAGGGAAGTGTTGAGCAGATGTGAATCACTTCCAGTAGATGATGTTTAGTAGTAGGAGGAGGGGCATTAGAAGAATACGGGAGCAGTAATATGATTGTTCTTTCTTTGTCTTTGGTTCTTTCAGTTGATGTCTAATTTTATTCCTTTTATTGGAATAGAGGGAATATTATCTTAACTCTTTTGCCATCTCTCCTCTGTGACAAATTATTGCATAAATAAATGTGCACATATTGGTAGAAAATAACAATTGAGTGTGGCAAGAACGATTTATTTTGAGTAGGGCAACAACTCAGTTAATTTCATAATTAAGTAATCTAACAATTTGTTTTGGGATTAGTTAGTCCTACATGACATTTGAGAAGCCAGAACCAGCAAATGTTGAGTTGAACAAAGGACTAAAACAATTTCTAAAATGATTTCTAAAAAGTGATAACAAAATGTATGTGAATTGCTTAATCAATTATTGGACTAATTGCTTCAATTGTCAACTTGATATTTAAGTTGAGAAAACAGAATATTGAGGGAATAAGGTTCCACATGTTACAGGAATGTGATAATACTCCTGTAATGCCTTTACCACCCAAACCAGCAGACATTCAATATTCAGTAATTGTGCAAGTTAGCTTTTTTTAGTGGAATTTAGCTTGTCCTTAAAGGTCAGATTGCTGAGGAAGAGGCAGCCATTTTCAGGCTGGGGAGTACGTTAGAGAGGTCTGCTGTTGTGCTCTCGGAAACAGAAAAGCTCACCACAGACTTGCCTCAAACACACCACTTCAAAGAAAAGTTAATTAGATTACCTGTAGGGGGCATATGTGGACAGGGATCCAGCTTTTATGAGCCCCACTGTCCCAGTTTGCTCTGAGGTTCACTCTCTGAAGTGCGTCTGGAGTTGCCCATTGTGGCTTTATTTAGGATACCAGCTCTCTGGCACCATATAACAGACTTGTTTAAGTTGGCAGTGTGTATTGCTGTTTGCAAGAAACTGACTCTGAGCGAGATTTAAACAAACATTCCCTTGACTCTTGTGCTTCTCGCTTTTGGCTACAATGTGTGGACGAACTGGTTGATGAGCAACATTACAGTGTCATGTCATTGGTAGTCGCACCTGTCTTTTCACTCTTTTCTTTCATGCATGTCTAATCAGTCTATTTATAGTTTTCTCTTTATCATGATCACTCACTTTCTCTTTCCTTCCTGATTGTATCATACTTTATCATGGTTAACTTTCTAGCTTCTTTCTGTTTTGAATGAAGATGCTACTTCACAGCAACATCATGCTTCCTTCCTTCCTTCCTTCCTTCCTTCCTTCCTACATTTGTTTCCACTGCTCCTCTGCCCTGGCTGTGACACTTCTCTGTCTTGCCCTGCAAACTGAATCAAGCTGGAGTAACAGAGCACCGCAGAACATATATCACCCTCCCCTCTCCCTCCCGCTCTGAATCAGGGACCTCCCATTCTCTCTCTCTCTCCCTCTCCCTGACTCCGTGCCACACTCTGTCTCTCCACCCAGTTTCTCCTTGACGGTGAGTCCTATAGCGCTGAGTACAGAGAGCAGCACTGCTGACGCATTTTCTCCTACCTGCCTGTACCTGCAGAAGAAGGCAAGGAGAGCAACATTTTCCCTCTCTTCCCCTTTTTCTCTACCATAGCACTCCCTCCTGTTTCTTCTGTTATGCACTGCGTTGGTTGCCCCCTGGTTTTCCTTATGGAATACGAATGACTACAGCAGCTTTCCTGGACTGCCACCTCTCCAGCTGTCCTGCACCATTTCTCCTCCCAGCTTTTTGCCACAGGGTAGAATAACACCACACACCATGGGGATGTAGCCTTGTTGGATGGACGGATTTCTCAACTTTTAACCTGGGCCTGGTTTTGGAAGCAAAACATCAACATCAGCTCTGGAGGAGCTGTCAGGTCGGCTGTGATTGAGGCTGGGATCAGCACAGGGAACTCAGACCTCGAGGATTGGCAGAGGTGTCACTGAGTGTGGTTAAAAATCCAATTCTTATACTTGGGATTATTAGCAGTCAGCCAATATGATGGTAATAGATAACTTAATGTTGTGCCAAACATAAATGGTATGTTGAGGATGTGATTCTATGGATAATGCTCATAGTTGTTTGTTGTTTGTACCAGAGAAACATGGCCGAGAAACCTGTTGGTAGACAGCGCAGCAGTTTTTCAGGCTTTCTCATAGAATAGTGGCCTGTATAACTAATAGTAAGTGCTGGCTGTATATAACCTTTACATGCCCTCTCTTCAGGTGCTGTGCCAAACATATCATAGTTAGTATATAGTTTGTGCATTGACATTGACATTAGAAAGCTTCACAATTAACTCCACGTCGACAGCCTGGAGCCTCGACAGTGATGAGTTGAAGCTGAGTCCTGATGGCTCCAGTGGGACTGCACTGCAGAAAGGCCATTTAGGAGTGAAACTGAAGAGAGGCTCAGTCCAGTAATGGTCAGGGACTGACTGGCGTTGTCCGTGCTGCAGTGCTGTGAGCAGCAGACACCACCAACATCACCACATCAAAATAGCTGAGCTGTGTTGTGTTCTCTCTGTCACCTTCCTCACTGCTGCAGTATTGACCCAGCAACACACCTCAGTGAATACCTAGGACACTATCCCTGGACTGCCACCTCTCCAGCATAACTAGACTCTAATGATTTCCTGCTGCTGTGATAACAAGAGTCACAGATCAGTTCACAGACTCTCTTCTAACACAGCGGGTCTTGCCAGTAGTGGGTTGTGATGGAGTATCTGGGGGACAAGCTGTCAGTGGCTCAGTCTCAGGTGTCAGGATGGGTGGGAAATGTGCGACGCTCCCTCCACGGGGCGCTCGGCTTTTTATCCAGCTCGGTGGAGAGGGGAGGCAGGGGAGAGGACGGGACTGGGGACTTCAAGAGAACCAACTCCCTGCGTTCCCTGGCCTCCCGCAGCAGGGAGTCCATCCGCAGGTTCTCACTGCGCAGCCAGCAACGTCTGTCCTTACGCAGGCGCACCGCACCCAACACCCCTACTGCTGTAAGATAACACACATTTAAACACACAACAGGGAAGCACTGGTGCCTCCTTCCACTGCTGATACCATTTACAAACTATAATCATAAGTATTGTCCAGGCACAAG